GGAGTAGACATTTTGATTGTCATAGCCTTTTAGACAACATAATCAAGATGAAGACCCTCAAGAATGACGTTTTTTTTTAAATACATGGCAAGATATAATATGTAAGTATAAAATTCACTTCTCAATCCAAATTACTAGATAGCCTCAATTAAGAGTTGTTTGTGATTAGTGGTATGAAGTAGAAGTAGAAAGAATAAAAACAATAGAAATACAATATAAAAAGAAGTGAAACAAGTGCAATCAAGTAATGGTACATTATAAAATTAGTCATAATCTGTTTACTAAATTTTTATTTAATAAAAAATAAAAAATAAAAGTAATAATATATTTTTAAAATTTTAATTTTTTATATTTTTAATGATATAAAAAAACATATAAATCTAAGTTATTATGAATAAGTTACAAAGGTTTAAAAATAATAAGTAAATAAAAAAATAAGTAAATAATTTTTATCTCAAGGATAACTTATTAAAGAGGTCAAGTATTTGAGCCTCACCAAGGCTCATAAGTAGTGTATATGGATCTTTAAGAGAGGTCATGAGGCTTTAATCTTATCCTTCTAATCACCTTCAGGGTGCTACAACTTATATGAGACTTATATACCTCTCTTCTCATAAGAACTATATGTCATGGACATACGCATGTAAGCCAGTAATTACATGTATAAATAAGTAGAAGTAAGTAAAAATAAGTAAAAATAAGTTAATTCTATAATATTTGCTATAGAAGCTTCTTAGAAGCTTTATAGATGCTACTTTGACTTTATAGGTGTCTTTAATTGACTTTTTGGATTAGAAATGTGGTCAACAAGTTGGCCATGTATCATACATGTTGTTAGCTTGAAGACCAAGCTAACTATGTGGCCTACACGTAAAAAAAACTTACCTTATAAGTCAAGACATGTATCCTACAAAATCAACACATATTGAAGGTCCTATAGAATATCGCCACGTAGTCATTAGTTAGATAGTATATATAGAAATAAAAGTGAAGCCTTCTTCACTCTTGTCAACTCCTTTCTTGCTTCCAGTCTAGTTTTAAGGGTCTCTACTTTTTTTAGCTTTTGGCAATAGCTATTCCAGTTTCTTTCTTTAGATATATATATATATATATATATATATATATATATATATATATATATATATATATATATATATATATATATATGTGTATATATATATATCAAGTTATTTCTATTTTGTCATCTTTTTTTGAGAGAAGTCTCACTTATTTACTTGTATTTATCATGTTTTTGTCCTTGATACTATACTAGCTACTAGTCCTTCTATTTTCTACTAGTAAAACCAAAATTTTTCTATTTTTGACTTCTTCATGGTGTTTAAAAATCCTAATTAGCCTAAAAACCTCTTCATAATGGTCCTCAAGGTAGTAAAACTCATTTTTATTAAAGTCTTAAAAATTATTCTAAAAATTCTTTAAAAAATCCAAATAAATTCTAAATAAATTCTAAGATTATTATAATGTTTTTATAATATTAATATCAGTTTAGAAATATAATTTCCTATCTTGATGATTTTTATAGTAATAAAATAAATTTAAATCTATTATAAATCTTATTTTTAATATAACTAATTAAAAAGATATGAGGTTCTTTCTCATGCTTCTTCTAACTATTAACTAATATTTTAATATAAATATTTATTTTAGTAAATATTCTTCAATATTTAATAATAAATAAATAAAATACTAAACTAATCAAGATGATTTCCTTCAAGACTTAATAAGACTCCATTTCTTCTCCACTAATAGTATTCTCCTTTATTTAACATCCTTTAAGTACATCTTTAGCTAAAAATTATAATTTTGGTATTCTAAATACATTCTTTTGTCTTAAAATAACTAATGGATAAATTTGATGACTTATACTTTATCTAATAGCTTTTTATTCAAAAAAACTTTTAATAGTCAAGATCAACTACAAAATTTACAAAAAAGTACTTCTTGCAATTGTGGATTTGTTTCAAGAATGGCACCATTATCTAGAAGGCACTTCTAATCCAATCATAATTTAACAAACCATAAGAATCTTAAATATTTTATATCAATACATGTTTTGAATTGTTGCCAAGTTTATTGGAACATGTTTTTGATAAGATTTGATTAAGAAAATAATAAGATTTGTTAGACGCTCTTTCTAAATATTGTTATCTTATATCGAAAGAAAGAAATACATCTTTTGATCAATAAACAAAAAATAATTTTGAAGCCAGATCATTTTCATCTTCAAGCAATAAAATCAACATTGAATATTGATTCAACCTTTGTCAAACAAATTCAATTAAGTACGTCTTGTGATCTTTTTATTCATGATATTAAAAATCTTTTTTTGAAGTCTCAAGATGCTTCTAAACTCAAACTTAAGAACAACCTATCATATTTTAAAAGATATATATATATATATATATATATATATATATTTCAAAAAATAAAGTATGTTTACATGTTCTTTAAGCATGTCATGACTTTTTGGTGGCTAGATATTTTTGATATAATAAGACTATGGAGCTAATATCCAGAGACTTTTATGTGGTTACAAATGTAAAAGACAATGAAAGATTTTATCTAATCATGTGACATTTGTTCAAGGTCAAAAATTCCTCATTATTGATCATATGAAGTTTTTCAATCATTGCTTATACTTAAACAACCATGGTCTTTTATTTCTATGGATTTTATTATGAATCTTTTAGTCTCAAGTTTATATGATTTTATATTTATGATAATTGATCATTTTACTAAGATGGCATATTTTGTACCATGTACAAAATGTATAAGAGGTGAAAAAATAGTTGAGCTTTGTCTTGAAAATATTTGTCACTATCATAAATTATCTAGGGATATTATATTAGATAGAAAGATTCTATTTTTATTAAGATTTTAAAGAATCTTTTTGAAGATTCTAAAGGTAGATATAAAGTTATTTTTGGCCTTTTATCCTTAAATTGATAGACAAATAGAGTATATGAATCAAGTTTTAGAGTAATTTTTGAGATATATCATCAACTATGAATAAGATAATTAGATGACTCTTTTTTCCATTGGCAAAGTTTGCTTATAATATTATGGTACATTTTTCTATTCACTAAAGACATTTCTTTGTTAATTATGGTTATCATCTATGACTTGATGCTTTTAACTTTTTAAGAGTTGATAATCTTGTAGTAGAAGATTTGATAAATATTAAAATTAAAACAAGTTCAAGAACAACAAAAGATAAATACAGATGCTTAGTGCAAGAAAAAATTACAATTCAATGTAAGTGATAGGGTATGGTTACTTTGTTGTAATATGAAGAGTATTCAACCTTAAAACAAGTTGGACTATCATAAGCTATGATCTTTTCTTATTTGTGAACAAATAATTCAGTTGCTTATTGATTACACCTATCAAAATCAATAAAGATCCATTTTGTATTCCACATGTTTTTTTTGAAATATACAAGACAATAAACATACCAAAAAAAAACACATGTACCACCTTCTTCTATAGAAGTAGACAATAATGAAGAATTTGAAGTAGAAGAAGTCTTAAATTCAAAGCAATACCAAAATAGATTGGAATATCTTGTTCAATGGCATAGATATGATATTAATGGATGCATATGGGAGCCAACAAAGAATCTTGTTAATACTACAAAGAAAGTGGAGGCTTTTCATGTTTATAATTGATTTTTAGATTAAAAAGTCTTTATTTTCTTAGTCTTTGATAATAGCCATTTTGACTTCTTATTAAATATTTATATTTTTTTATTTTTATTTTTTCATCTTTTTTTATTCATTTTTCACTTGTTTATGTATCTTCTTTGAGTTCTTGTTCTTAATACAATATATGATAAAAAAATATACATATATTTTTATTTTACTATAAAACATCAATGGTTCATACACACACACACACACACACACATATATATATATATATATTCACATTACACTAGCTTTAAATTTGAACAATTCAAATATTTTTATAACTTATTGAAATATCTTCTAGAGCCTGTCAATTATAGACATCCCTTATTGAGTTTATAAAGATCAAAAGAACTCACAAGATTCTTTTATGTTCCTATAAAAATAAAAGAAATGAAAGCGCTTGAATATGTATTTGTGATGACTAAATGAAGGATGGATAGTATTGTATTTTTATTTATCATTATTATCTTAAAAAAGGATTTTTAAATTAATAATTTTTTTAATAAGTTAAATAAAATAAAATAATAAAAATAAGATTATTTTTTTGAGTATCATATTTTTGGTATTAAAATCATACTTTGAAATTAAATATCTTTAATGTTATAATTTTTAAAACTTAATTAATTAATTGCAGTAACAATAATTTTGTTTGCCTTATATTTTGAAAGTTTTAGAATGACTTTGTCAAAAAGAAAAAAATATAAAAAAATATTTTTAAATATAAAAATTAGTATTTTTATTTATAAAATGCCATTGCTCATTAATTTATTATTGAATGTTATTCCTATCAAATGTAGTAATTAATATTACCTACCATGAATTAATTTTAATAATTCTAAAAATTAATTGATTTTTAAATGGTTCTATGTAAAATTTGGTATGCAATTAAAAGCATTTGAAAGTAAAAAAAGTAAAAAATAGATTATATAGCCTAAAGCAGAGAGACGAGGACGGAGCTCCAAAGACGAGGAGGGGCTGCCCGCGCTGGCTGCCCGAGATCGCTGCCCGTTTCTCCCCCGCGAAACGCTTTCACACGGAGTGGCGCTACGTTTGAGTCGAGCAGGGCGATAATGCCACCGTGTTCCCTCAGTCGCCACGAGGGCGCCAATTCAGCAGGGGAGTACGGTGACGTGGTGAGGGGTGCCGTGGCAGTGGAACATCCTCATGCACGGACGCAGCCCGGAATTCGATCCAAGCCCTTCGTAGGGGGGAAGGAGATCGCACGGCGCTGGGCTCATCCACGGCGACGCCACCCCGTTACCTTTTCATGCAGTTTCCTCATTTCCACCATTTTCAGTTCAATAATTCCGCGCTTGTCGTCGGGTTCATGAGAGTGTGTTTGTGCTGCGATTATACATTACTTACAGTTCCCTACAACTGGGTTGGTGTTGTGTTGTTGTTGTGTAGAGACGAGTGTGTGGTATGTTCTTTTATTGGGTTTTTGAGGTGAGTTGTGTGGTGGTGGTGACACTGAGTTGAGGTTTTGCGGTGGATGAGAATGGCGGCTCAGATGATGCGTGCTGTTCAATATTCGACGTTCGGAGGGGGCGCTGCTGCGCTTCAGGTACTCGGTGGTGGTGGTGGTGGTAGAGAGTGGTCTCTGTGTTTTGTTCCTCGGGGTTGTGGTGCTTGCAATTGCTGCAGGTTTTGTGGCCATGGTTGCTGAGTTTGCGCGTTTGTTTTGGTTTGGTTTGGTTTGGTTTGGTTTTATTTATTTATTTATTTATTTATTTTGTTGTGATGTTGAGCTGCAGAGAGGCTTCAGTGCAATTTTTGCGCCGGTTTTTCAGTTGGTTCTTTTTTTCTTTTCTTTTTTTTCTTTTTTTTCTTTTTTTTTCTCTCTCTCTCTCTCTCTCTCTCTCTCTCTCTCTCCTGGTTCTCGTTGGTGTGGCCTCTCGGAGGGTCAAAGTTCCTCTAAAGGTGCGGGATGCATGGGCCGCTTATTGCGGACTTGTCCTTTTTAACTCCCCCCCCCCCCCAGGTTATCGTTTTGTGTGGGATGTGGTGTATGTTCCGTGTGTAAGCTCGTGAACCGTTGGGCCTGATGAGAGTGCTGGAAGGTTTCAAGAGTTGTATGGCCATTATGTTGGTCTCTTGCATGTGACCGTCGAAGTTTAAATCCCTATGAAGTTCATACAAGATCCTAAGGTTTCCTTCTGCTGGAATACTGGATAATGTTGCACATTAATTGGAATAATGGATAACTTGGTCACACATGGCTCCCTTTTGCTCTACGCCGTGTTGACGATTCTTCAAGGTTTTCTCGTAGAAACTTTGCATCGACTAGCTTGGGAATACGTAAAGGAGCAGTATTCTGGAAACAGCTAGTAGTAACTCTTCTCAAACGAACTTGTTTATTTGAACTGCGTATTAAAGTCCTCGAAACTTCTCGTTTTTCTATCATGCTGGGTGGTTAATTTTCCTTCATGTCGTAGATAATGTCAACAACTGTATCGATATTAGAAGCTGTGGCCTCTTGAAAGTGTTTCGATGCCTGCAAGACATCTACTACCTCTTAGCGAACCCGAAGGCTTAATTTCCAATTGGTCCATTGGTTTGTGTAAATGCAGCATGTGGAGATACCCATGCCCGTGCCAGCTAAGGACCAGTTGTTGATTAAAGTTGAAGCTGCCAGTGTGAATCCGGTAGACTGGAAAGTCATTCAAGCAGGTCTATTCAAGCTTTTTCTTCCTGCAAAGCTTCCTTACATACCAGGTGCGACCTCTAATATCATCAGTGTTGTGGATGATACAGTACTTCTTAGCCACATACCCATGTGGAAGATTGGTTCTGAACATGCTGTGGCAGGAAATGATCTTGACTCTCTCTATTACCAGAAGAGAGGGGGGGATAGGTTCGCTGGATTGATGAATGAGTGTTAACTATTTGGATACTTGGATGTCAGGCACTGACATGGCAGGTGAAGTTGTTGGCCTTGGTCCTGGAGTGACATCTTTTGCTGTCGGCGACAAAGTATCCTGTTGGTCGGATATCCGGGTATGCAATTACTAGTGAATTGAATGATATTAGTGGTTTCGATTGTATAGCTGTTGCTGGTTTTGATGGACTTTTGTTGCTAGTATGCGGTACTTGCCTCCGGGTAGAATAATTGTATTGACCTTGTTACAGCAGATTGGTAGGATTTTTGGATTACCGCATTTTCATAATGAAGCATTGGCCTGGTCACCAGTTTGGGTCATTTCCTATGTACTTGCTGCATATACAGAAGTAGATCAAACTTTGGCAGGATCTTCTGAACGGTTTGTTTTGAATCGGTTATCTGGGCGTGAAGCTGAGCTGATATTACACTTACCGACGGGCTTCCCCGTCCATTAACCTTGTAAATACAGTATAATTTATTCTGGATTTAGATTTGAGACAATACGTTTTTGTCCCAGAATGGGGGATCATTAGCCGAGTACGCAGCAGTGCCAATCAAAACTACAGCGAAGAGACCAGAAACAGTGTCAGCAATTGATGGTGCATCCTTCGGTGTGGCTGGTCAAACTGCTTTGCAAGCTGTGCGTGATTCTGCAGGAATTAAGCTTGATGGGAGCAGCAAAGATAAGAATTTGCTCATTACAGCAGCTTCCGGAGGTGTAGGCACCTATGCTGTTCAGGTACGAATTCTTTGCTTGCGTTTACAATATGGTATCATCAAGAATCATAAAAATCCTTGGTACACATCGTTTAGTTTCTTGAAGTAGATTTGGTAGGATAAATTTGATATGTATACCCTTTCTTATCCTCAACACGACACGTGCTTCGTGTTTTCAGATTGCTAAACTGGGAGGTGCACACGTGACAGCTACATGCGGAGCTCGCAATGTCGCCTTGATCAAAAGCCTTGGGGCTGACGAAGTGTTAGATTACAAAACACCCGAGGGAGTAAAAATGGAGAGTCCATCTGGAAGAAAATATGACGCAGTCATTCACTGTGCCAAATACCAACCATTCTCTGACTTCAAACCGCAGCTCAAAAAGAATGGCAAAGTGATCGACCTCACTCCATCCCCAAAAGGTCTTCTTGCCACAGGATTCCAGCTTGCAACGTTCTCGAGCCAGAGATTTGTACCATTCCTGATGCGCGGTAACAGTGATGACCTCGCTGTGCTGACAAGTCTTGTCAATGAGGGGAAGCTGAAGACCGTTGTGGACTCCACTTTTCCTCTGTCGAAGGCCGAAAAAGCTTGGGAGAAGCAAATAGAGGGGCATTCGACGGGAAAAGTATTGGTTACTATGGTTGGTGAGTAAATTCGTTCATTTGCCTGTGCCCAAACAGGTTTCTTTTTTGAAGCCTGGCAGGAACTTATCATTAGAATTACGCAGCCAAGCTGGGGTATGATGAGTTTTAGTTTACTGATTTTCTGTACATATAGCTGGGGCGGGTCAGTCAAATAATGTCGCCCAAGGCCTTGTTTGTGATCGCTGGATTTCGCTATTAGAACAGGCAGTATCTGGGCTTTTAGCATCAAGCAAGGACTGTATATAGTGCTTCTAATGGTTCTGTTACTTGTGAAGGAGTCTTGTATGCCTTATGTGCACATCATAGAGATTAGTCCACTTCGAACACGGCAATGACCACCATCCTGAACGTTGTATGTTAATAGATGGATGAGAAGCATTCATCCTTTAGGAGCACCTCTTTTTGGGAGTGAGTTACCTTGCGACTATGTTTCGTGACCATGCAGTTACATTTGCTATTTTTCCTTAGCAGGCTAATCATGAAAAGCTTTCCATAAAGCTTAAGAATATTTCACAGCTGAAAAAAACTCTTTATATAACTTAAGTAACATCATTACGCCATAATTCACAGCAAAGCTGAACGTTCGATCGCCAAAGGCGATATGTTATATTACAGTAGTATGCATTATAACTCGATTGCTAAAATGAGAAAAATAGTAATGTGAAGATTTTCATTACATTATACATCCTCGATGCTCCCCCACTTAAAGTTAAAATGTGTTGGAAATTTCGGTATACAAAACATATTAAATGATTCAGTACGAGTGTACCAACAACTAGCCTATTACAAATAAGTAATAATCAATCTCAGAAGTAGAGAGATTGACCTACGCGACATACAAACAACTGCAACTATCAGCGCTTGTACAATATGTATTCGTTAACCTTCAGAAATGATACCTAGTGAAAATAACATCAAAATCACTTATTAGTCACACCAAAATAATAAAGACGCATCATACGACCAATGTCAGCAAAACATTCCGGACCTGAGATTTCTAAAAACACCAATTGTGGTATTCACAATGTAGGTCAGAACCTCAAAATCAAACATAAATTCGAGGTTCCAATCTTAAAATGATATAACCTTGAGGGGGAAGATTCATCAATAAGAATATGCTAAACTGCTTCTGCAGCCCTGCAATCGTACAAGCTGTTAGTTTTTCTGCAAGTCGTTCAGAACGGAATAGTCTGAACGCTCGACTTAATAATACAGAACTTCGGAAACCATATCGCAGATCAACACGGGGAACCGCTCAGTTACCCGGTGGTGCAGAAAGGAAATCCCTTTTGATACTCGACCTCTTTCCAAACATTAACTGCAGTAGCTCGATTTCGACGTCTAATCTTCTCATATACATATGTGCTTGGAAGCAAGTTGAGGATCAGGGTACAGAGAAAATAATCATTTGAAAAAATCGATTTTACGCCTTCAAAATGAACAGCCAGAGAGCTGTCGAAGAAAGGAATGCTCAATACAAGGTGTAGTAGCCGATCCATGTGTACACAGTCGTGAACGCAACGATGAAGAGGGTGGGGAACATGGTTAAGTTGAGGAGATTTCCCACGCCAGCTTTTCCTGCGACGGTGATCATCCCGTCCGCCAAAGCACGAGCAAGTGTACCAGCCTCCGTAGAGAGGAGACCACAGTTGAATACTCCTCTGGAAAGTCGTGGGGACATGGTCTTTGACAGTAGTGACATGTTCACCCCTGCGTGACAAAATCCGGTTCACAAACGTCAACTGTGCATTTTGTTCAGAGTAAAATAGACTGCAAACCTCAGTGGAAGCGGCTAAGAATGTCAAGAAGGTAGGATTTTTCTTGCTTTGCATGCGGTTCCAGGTTGATAAAAAGTTGGGCATAAGTAAACAAGCTAGACTACCTTAACAGGAAAAGGGATCAAAGTCACTCTCCAGGCAAAGATAATAGAAGCCTTAATACCTTCAAGCACGTTCGTGGAGACAAATATGATAACTGCTGCAGCTATATACTGGTATGCACGGTAAGGTAAAAAGGGACTGTAGCAGAGAATGGCAATGACACCAACTCCAGTGGTGATTTGTGTCCACAAAACCACCAACCTGCCAACCAGCCATATGCCCCGAAATAAGACAGTATTAAAGCCAAAGTTTACGATAATTAACTATGTGTGTGTGAGAGAGAGAGAGAGAGAGAGAGAGAGAGAGAGAGAGCATCTTTCTCTGTGATGCAAACCAAACACAGCACAAAGCGTGTCTCACAAGATATCGATATTGTTTATTTCAATCAGCAAAAATATTTTTCATTATCATCCATCACAAGAAAAAAACTGAACATCATTGTTCAGAACCAAACATAAAACACCACATGACTTGCAGAGGAAATATGTACCTGTCTTCGTAGATGTTACTGATGTAATTTCCAACAACAGCACTAATCGGCAGCACGGTCAATCCTAAAACGGACAAAAAGAGAGAAACCTGCAAAACCGCCCAGTAGATTGTGAACTATGAACAGCAGAAATGTCACCAAAGCTAATATAAATTCTAACATAAAATCCAAGTCCTCATTCAGTCAGCAACAATACACTTCAGCTACAAGTTACTAGCTGGAAATGTAACATAAACCGAAAAACAAGAAGTATAAAGTACGTGCACTGCACTCCAACCTGATATGTACTCCAATTAAAGTAATATTGGGTCAATAAGCTGGATTCAGAAATGAGAAGCTCAGAAGCAAATTTGAGCATGAAGTAGATCCACAAAAGTATTCTGACAGGCATGGTTAACTCCTTCATAAGCTCGCCCAATGTCTCAACCGCTTTATCATCACCATAATCTGAATCATCACCCTCGCCTTCTTCTTCGTCCGACAGCTGATCTTTAGGCAAGTTAAGAGTAAATGCACTAGGAACATTTCCTGACGGTGTCGACAACAGAGGCTGATTCAATGTTGAAGGAGTTCGCGAGGTGCCATCCATGCCAGCCAGATTTTTCTCAGAGACATGTCTTGAGATAGATACAGTTGATTGAGGCCTTTCGGGTTCTTTGAAAAACAGCACAATTAGAAGCAAGTAGATAGCCCAGGCAACAAACATCATCCATCCTGGGGAAGTCACAAAATTCACAGGCGCTCCATAAATCTGTCCAAGAGACACAATTCAATGATAAGAATTTCCCCCGAAGCAAGAAAATTTACCATAAAAGAGCGTACTAAAAGAGTTATATAAGTCAATAATCGAGGCGGGGAGAAGAGAGATTTTGTGGCTGAAAGATGATGAAAAATATAAAGAAGAAGAGAAAGTACACATATTGGACATCAGATACCTTGAAATTGAGTTTACTCAGAGCACCCGCAAGAGCTGGTCCAACCGCCATTCCCAGAGCACTGGCGCTCACAAAGGCTGCAGAGGCACTTGTAAGCTGCTTCGTTGGAACGTGGTCAGAGATGTATCTCCGGTTAATCGCCCTAGCACCACCCAACCTGCACAATTTACGTCAAAACACATCCACATTACAAACATGTCAATGAAGACCTGAAGACAAATGTGACCACCTTTGTGAGGTTGTAAAATTACGCACACCAATTAATAAGATGACGGCATCATTAAAGAGACCAGACAGCAAACATTAGAATGATGGCCACATCCAGGTGCATCATGTGAGACTGATAATACAGAAAAAAGATTAAGATGATGTTTACCCGCACAAAAAGCGGCCAAGGAGGAGCAGCCAAATGGAGTTGAACGGCAGCGCCAACGCATACATCAAGTTGCCAGCGATCAAGACCAAAGTACTGACTATGAGAGGCGAAGTGTAAGAGAAATTCGACCACCAGCTGTATACAAGAGAGGACACAAGAGCTGACAGGGGCATAGATCCTATAATTACTCCACATAAAGTGGCTGGGGCATGTAGTAACTGAGCATACTCATCCGAAGATGGCACCACAATGTAATAGTTCACCTACAAAAATGCCGACCCTGATTGTCAATAGAGAAGCGACTGAAGAGAAGAGTCTTGCAACTCTTACAAATACATTGCATTATGCAAGATGTAAGCGGACTTGGGATATGTGAACGTTCATTATAATGTACTTCTAAGAAGTTCTTAAGCACTTGTTTAAATATCAAATCATTAGCTGCACAATCGCCGAACAACTTCAAGAGCACATGTAGGAGCTTGTAAAAGTTCCGAGAATGACTGGAAAGATGGAATAACTACCATGTAAAGGAAAGTGTTCATGAGATTGAGTTGTATAGACATGAAGTGATAATCCTCCTGTTTCCGGAGCATTCCAGAAATCTCCTCCTTCGGTGCTGGTAGGAGAAGCTCATTAGCCACAAAAGATTGAATACTGACCTCTCGAGTCAGACGATGCATGGTCTCTACAATCGACTGCAAACAAGAGATTCACATTAATACAATGCATACATGAACATATGAATACATACATTATCTATACTAGAAATTACATTTCTTTGACCTGATGTTGTACTCATGCCAACCCTTAGGCCAGAGTCCAAAAGATGCTCATCCTAAATTTTCCACCATCTAAGTGGTAAGGAACTGTATATATTTAATAGAAAAATACCTGAATAACTGGCTCGTGCTCAACAACCCGTCTTGGAAGGGAAGAATTACGGAAAAGAGACAATGCGCTACTCGTAGAGCTCGTTTCCAAGTTCTCCTGTCTTAACTCGGCTAGATTGCGAGATATGGTTGCCACCATAGCCCCTAATCCCTACAAGCCGCAAGCGTGCATACACACACACTAAGTGGGATATACGGTTAAGAAATAATGACAATGAAGATACGAGTGTAAGTGATTTATGACTGAAGAAAGAGAACGATCGAGCTTGGTCTCAACACGTTTCACATGCCAGACAGGGTACATAAATGGAATACATACCACTTGGCGAAACACCTGCTGAAGCTGTGAGTAAGGGTGATTGGCCCTAGAGGCTATGTATTGATGGCCAAGACGAAAACCAACCCGTTTGTCAAACTTTTTCAATATCTTCCGTAGCCCTGTAACATTGAGCTCTACAAAGTGCAATAGTTGAAGAAGATCGTACCCAATTTGCCTGCAACACATTTCATCAAAGATGAGGAACCTCCTAAACTACATATGTAGCCAATATATCAACGCTCAAGTCCTGTTACTTTCACATTAATTTCCACTGCAAGCAAGTCAAAACAATTGAGCTGCATGCTGAGTACTCATAGTGCTGTGCATATTTTGAACTGACATCATAACGACTTCAATAAAGATCATGCAATCTTAATCCAAAGAGGAAGCCCAAAACACAACTGCTTCCAAACTTCTATGTCCACCCCCCTGTACATCTGAGAAAAAATTGTGTTAACTCAAACAAGTGTATTTTTGAGTAAGCCTTTAGATTAAATCATACACGGATGACGGATGTTCGACAGGAGGGTTGAAGCTATCAAGTAAAATTACCTATATTCATCCATCATAAGCCGGGGCACTATTGCCACGCCAGATGGAGGCTCCCCAATCTCATCATCTTCACAGTAGTCTTGGTTATCCATCTCTCTCTGCTTGCGCAATTCTTGCAACCGCTGTGCTAGAAGTCCTTGCCTCTCAATTAGAAACAATACGATCTTCTCTACCTGCAATAGTATCGTTCCGAATCCTCATTAGCGACCCACGATTTTAAAATTGAACCCCACAAAAAAAATTCGTAAACAACTTATTAAGACTTCGGTAGCCACACACGAAAGTTGCAACTACAAATCCAGAAAAACAACATACATATTCCAACACATAGAACTTCGACAGATGAAATAATGCAATAGTAACAAAAAAGCAAGCGCACCTGAGAGTCCAAAAGTTCCGAAAACGATTTCACAATCTCATGGCGCTCCTCCTCTGATATATCCGAGGCTTGAGCACGTCCAGAGTAATGCTTTATCCTTTTCTTTAGCGTCTTGTACCCAATATAGTATCTGCGCACACCATGCGCTTCTTAATACAATGGCAACACAAAACATCTCATACACAGCCTTAGCACATGATCCTCCATAATCACAATTCTATGCCACCCAATTCATTTCATGAATCTTCTTCTAAGTGGGAAATCAGGACGTACTCTTCCCAGTCGGGGATTTGGTTGGCCAACATATAGTGTCCAAAATGCACCATCTTGGCCGCGTAATTTTGTTTACTTTCAGTCCCTCAACAGGCGGTGGAACTTCACCAAAAAGCAAGACTAGAATTGGTCGCCTAAATCACAGCCCTGGTAAAACACCGCAAAAGTCCAGATCAGCACACATCTTTGAATGTCAAAAACGAAAGGAAGATATTGATTGACAAAAGCTCCAAGAGCTAGCACGCAATTCATGTAACGCCTATTTTATGTAACCTAAAAACGGCGAATCACCTAACTCGCGCACTCTTCGCCTGGAGGATGCCCATACGCCGTTCAAACACCGTCGACGTTTTAATAAAATTGATCCCAAGTCGACACAGCTCCAAGCTTAGTTGCAAAGCCTCACATTCAGACTTCCCGCTTCAATTGCATAAAACCTTAGTGCATCCACGGTTATATCTAAATTGCAACGACTTCCTCACAAACGTGCTCGTATTAGAACACGAAATCCAGACTCCAAGCTTCTACAGACTTGAGCAAAACTTCCCTTTGAAAGCCACAGCATATTCAGGGCTTGCAGTTATATCCTCACAGATCTATGTAAACTTTTTAGCATGTGATTCGCGATTAGAGTCTCTCTTAGAAGCTGCCATTCGACCATGCATGCTTAGCATGAAACCGCACACTTCATGACATCCTATAGGCGCTCGAATTTTGAAATCGTCAAACCCTCCCAAATCACTCGTCGCATATGCTTCCAAACATCTTCAAAACTACCCTTATAAAGAGGAAGAACGGCAAGCTTAGCATTCTGAAGATCGTCGTTGAAATCATACTCCGCTGCCAAACAACGACCCTACCGCACACTAATCCACCGACATAAAGACAACTGCAAAGACGCCCTCTCCCCGCCAAACACTCTAACAACCCAAGAAGCAAAGCAAAGTCTCCAAGTCTGACAAACACCCCAACTCGAGAAAAATGCACTTCGGGGATTCCTCATTTACATAGCGTCGACTCAAATTCCAGACGTTTCGGTAATTTGGACCCCATCATGAACCTACTTGCAAATCTATTTGGGTACGTTGCAAGAGACAGTCGCATTGCTCAACATGCCTGCCTATTCTATACGATCCGCAGCATTTGCAGCGATAAAACACAAAAGTTCTCCAACGCTTCCCCTTCTCCACACGATATGAACCCTCGCAACAACTAAAAGCAGTCTGTACCGCAACCCAAAAATATTCCGCGTCATATCAAGAACTCTTCGTACCAAGCCCTGTGTCAGGGGACCAAGGCAATTCCTAATTTACCCATGTAGCAGAATAACCTTGGAGCTGCTCAGACCGAAAGCGAATCCGCGAACACATCCTCACTGTGACTCACGCTACAAAATAAGCCGTCTCTTCCAGTACTGATACTTGAAAACAATAAGTGGCAACTACACTTCCGACCCTATGAACACTTGAAAAGATCACAGTGTCTACTTCTTCTGCAAGCGTTGTGTGCCGTTAGACGAAAGCCTAGCCCGGAATTCTTTTCAATCTATCCAAGGCTCCGATAATCCATAAGAAAGACTCCAATCCTTGCGATCCTTGTCAGCCCCAGCGATCCAGTAACTCACCTACTGTGAAATACTCGGGTCTGCTCACAAAACCATTCCACGAACACTCAACTTTCATTCAAATAACGTCCACCCACCTTGTTACAGCCACTGCAAACCAAGCTCAACCAGCCTGGCCTATCCCTCTCTCTCTCCAATTTGACAGAAAAAATCCGAAGACAAAAAAGCAAAAAAACCGACTCACCATCCTTCGTGCTCAAGAACCCGAGAAACGCTCTCGCACGCGCAGAAACTTTCTGTAAACACCAACATGGAAAAAAGAAGAAAACAAAAACCGACTCCCCGAAAATTCGAGAGCAACTTGGTGAGACTGACTGAAACTTGCAGCGCCGGCTGCGAATGCGGATGGCGCAGGAAGGGGGCACAACCTTCCGGGCCCAGAATTCGACCGCGGCACGCACGTGCTGGAATGTTAGCATGCCAGCAAGACATGTGCAAAAGGAGGAGAGCAGCAGCACTACGACAGGCAAGAGAGGGAAGCATCCACGCTCCGCGGCAAATCTCCCAAACTCCCTTGCTTGCAGCGCCGCGGCCAATTAGAGGAATTGTCGGGAGGTAGATGGGACGGCGTCCAGCGCGGTCACGGATTGGTTGTTGGGTTTCTAAACGCGGCATTCCGGGAGCTGCTGGGGAAGGCGGCGCATCCATCCCCTCCTCTCCCTCCCTCCCTTCCGTCTGGTCCCGTCCCGACGCGCCATCTCGCACATTCCCCCCTAGATCCCAGCCAGTCACCGACTGCGATGTGGGAGAAGGAATCATCTGCAGCGATGCTCGAGGAATGGTCATCGTCATCATCTCTTTCTCGCGTGCTAGTCTCGCAATGCAGAATGCTCCCTTCTCATCCACTCGCATGGTGCACCAATTGCACTGTGGCCCCCGCTGTGCCCCACACCCAACTTGTCGCGACACCTGCGTCTCTCTCCCTCCCTCGTCAATTGTGCCAATCTGTGTCTCCCTGCTCCGCGATGTGATGCGATCAGCTCGCAATCAGCTCGGTGCGCGCTGCTGCTGCTACTTCACACTGCTTGGGTTCGGTGTTGCGTGGTTCCGTTTGTGTGTGCGTGCGGAGGGAGATGACGCATGTTTGGATTTTCTAGCTTGCTTTTTGTTGTTGTTGTTGGTGGTGGTGTTCTCTTGCTTGCTTTTATTGTTGGAATTGTTTGCGGAGCTTGTTTGTGGTTCATAATATATAACGTGGATTTGGTTTGTGTTTTTGCTACCCTCTTATTGGCTTTACATGTTTGGTATTGATTGTTATATCATGTTACTCTTAGCATTGAGGTGTGATAAAAGGAAGTGTCATGTCATGTTTCTTGTGTTTTGACATGTTCATTATTATCTCTACTTTGGGGATATTTTATGAATGATTTTCTATAGATGACATTTAAATAGCAAATTCAATACCTTTATATATCTCTCACATCCAAACAAATGTCTGCATTCAATCATTTAATGAATTAATAGAGTGCTCTCTATTTTTATAATTATCTAGAATTAGTTTGTAATGTAATCATTAATAGACTTGTAAAGAGGAGTCAAAAAATGTGAGGTGTATTGTTTGATTTTGTATATGTATACATTATACATTACACTGAACCTACTTATATTTTAAATCTAATAATAGATAGATAGATAGATAGATAGATAGATAGATATCGTCAACGTGGGAACTTTATTAAAATTTTAATCTAATTTTCTCTTGACAATCACAACTTCATACATCATGCAAAACTAGTTTATAATGAGTAAAGAAAGAAATCAATAAAATTTTACAAATACGATTTTTCAATGTATTTAAAATATTTATAAAATTTACAGATTCTAAAGAAGTCCATAATATTTTAATTTACAATAGATTAGAAAAATAAAGCCTTTTTTTTTTGGAATGACTAGTTTTTGTTCCAAATTTATTTTTATAATAATCAAATTGTTATTGTAAAGAAAAAGAAAAAGAAAAAAACTATCATATAATCTATTTGTAGGTAGATATAATCCCTTTCCATCAAATTATATGAGCTTTAAACTTGACTTTTCTAATCATAGTTGAAGCAATAAAATAAAATAAAAATAGATGAATCAACAAAATCCCACAAGGTCTTTAGGCTCATGGGAGAAGGTAAAAGGTCACAACATCCTAAGCTTGCAATTGGTTGAAATTAAGAAGCATCTCTTAACTGAGGTGTCTTGTGAAGAAAAGTTAAGATGGAATGCATTTGTTTTTGTTTTTTTTCCTTTTGTGGATGACACACATAATATTGTCTCCCACGATCTGTATTGGGTCCAACTTTAAGAGATGGTATTTACAAAAATTTAGAAAGTTGCACCAAGATTTTCTATATATAAGTGTAAAATAATATAATTTATTTAATGTTTTTTTAATATAATTTTGACATCAAGAATTGAGTAACTATATTTAGAATCATTATAAAAGAACAATTTGGTCCATGTCATAGGCTTGTCTTACTTTACACTATCTCAAAAGAATTAAAGTTTCCAAAAACTAACAACTGTTCTTTGCAAAGTGAAGGACCTCAATGAATCATGTGAACCATAATTTATTTTAAGTCGATTTTCAGGCTTAAAATAACCCATTAATATATCTAGTACTAAAGTAACACAAGTTGTATTTTAAAAACATGTAATAAAACCTCAAAATCCCATAAGTTTTTTTTTAAAAAAAAGCAAAAAAGGGCATGCCATCTGATCATGTCCATGCTATTTTTGAGATTAAATATATACCACTAAACAGAATGGTTTAATTGTACCAATTCAAACCAGGAAACCACATCCCCATTAGGACAAAGCAGCTGTAAGGCAAGACCCTGTGTCCCATTCACACTGTGTTTGGGAATAATCTCATTGCTTGGCTTGCTTTCCAACAGCATTTTTATATAAGAAAGTGCACAGGATCACAGAGTTGAACATGTCAGCCAAGCACAGAGTTGCCTCTCATGAAGAAAGCACCGTGCCAGGTAGGATCATTGTCCCAACTGGACCTTGCCAGATCAGCATTTAAAGACCCCAATCTTGGTCCCACATGGCACATGACAAGTGAGCAGCACACCCATCACACCTTCTGGCAGAAAGACAATTTGCACAGGCAAAAAACTGTGGGTGGGACAAGCTTGTGCATTGGACCCCACATGTGGCATCCCATCACAGCATCACAAGCCCTAATAACTGTTCTACAGAAGAGATTGAATATATTCTATGTAAATTGGGTATTTATCACACAAGCACCTTGTTTATCCATTCATGTAGAGTGTAGAAATGATAAATGATATTGTCTGCAGTACTAGATCCCACACAATCCAACGATTTACTTGTTATCACTCAAATAATCACAAGTCAGTTTTTTTTTTTTTTTTTTTTTTTTTTTTTTGTTCTGTTCTGTTCTGTATATACACTTTGATGGTGATTTTCAACTGAAAAGGATGCAACCAAAATTTTTAAGCACTGAATGCACAAGCTTTGTATGATGACTACACGTGCATGAGTACCGCAAAGAGGACAAGTCTCATAGCAATTTCAATAAGAGTCCAACTCCAAGTACTGCAGGCAATTGGTGGCTACTTGCATCTTGCTTTTATAAGGGAGCAATACAGCTTTCTATCATGGGAAAAAAACACTGCAAAAACCTGCGCCAGGGCAAAGAAACATGGAGTCTTCATCACACAGCCACGTGCAGAAAGTCACACAATTCTGGAGGGGGATCCACAACAAGCTTTCATGCATTTATAGAGGATGTTTTTATTCCCACGTACAAACCCTAAAGTGAGTGCGTGTGGAAGTGTGCTGAGATTACCAACCTGTATGTCTTATTCTTATTGTTGTCCGTGATGTTGCCACACAATTTGAAACAAAAAACAAGTTCTAGGGTACAAGTCCAATGTTTGAGGATTTGTGATAGGTTGACAATGTTGGCATTGTGTTGTGATTTCTTGCTACAACTTATAAGCAATATTAAAAACCCACATTAGTTATGTAGTTTTTATTTTTATTTTTGAAGATTGTTGTATTTCATGATCTCTTACTTAGAGGTATGTTGCATGTCTAGTTGTAACACATTGGGTTTTTAATTTTCCCCCCTTATTTTAATATATGATAGTCTAATTAAAAAAACAAAAGAATGTGCAATCAAGTTTGAAAAGGGTCTGATCTATGCAATCAAATAAGATCTTTTTGTTTGCTATTAAGATCATTCTGGACCTATATATATATATATATATATATATGAAATATATACATACACAGTTTTAAACTTTTAAAACACAACCTTTTAATAATTTAAAAATATTTTTTAGGTTGTATGAGCTACAATTTTTTTATTATTTGGAAGCCTTCACATATAAGTGCTAATATATATCTAAAATGCTTAAGTAACACTGAAAACATCAAATTGATTTTTTATAAACATAAAAATTTAAAAATTTATACTACATATTCTGTTAAATAATTAATAAATGTTTAAATTTGAAAATGGTCTTTAATTGTCAATCTTATCTTACTGTAGTTTTTTAATAATAATACTTTTACCAATCACCTTTTCATAGAGCTTCAGTCTTAGTTTGTAGCATATATCATTTTACTCATTTTAAAACATTTTTTAAAATTTAAGAAACAACTTCAAAATCTATTGTTGTTTGTTTTAAATTTTATTTTATTTATTTATTTTAAAAAAGAAGTATTAATAATGTGGATCTATATTAATTTAGTTGAAATAAATGAACAAAAGTAAGTAAAAATAAGTTGAAATAATATATCTTCTCTATAAAACATTACAGTAGCTTATTTGATATTAGTTAGATTTACAAGTGTCATTAGATGATCAATATTGCCATCCAATGTTTTCCATAAAATTCTTTGGAAATCATAAATTTATTATTAAAACATCTTAAAACTTAGATTTTTAGCCTTTCTATCAGCTTAATAAATAAGGATAACATTGAAGTTATTCTTAGAAGGCCTTTATGTTTAAAGAAGAAAGCCAAAGGCTCCAACAATGAAATTGGTTGAAATTAAAAAAAAGTCTTCATTAGTTGATTTTTAATTTAAAAAAAGTAGACAAGAATCCATAAGAGAAAAAGATGAGTAAGAGTGTAATTTTTTCTCACATGATAGAAATAGTGTTGTTTCCTGGCATTTGTATAAGGCTTACCTTAAAAAGTGGATTTTATAGAAAATTGAGAAGTTATGTTAGAAATTGCTAAGGTCTATTAAAATTTAATTAATTTTATATTTTTCAAAATTAAGATGTGAGATGCCATATTTAAAGATTGAACAAAACACTATTTAGTCTATGTTACTACCTCTTGTTATATTATATTATCTCCAATCATTAAGATTTTCAAACGACAATTATTTTTTGTATATAATTTATATAAAGACTTTTAAATTATGGTCTTATACATTCTAATCTCAATTCAAGTCTGTTGTTTTCATTTTCACATGCTTGGCCATAACTTTTTTGATTCTTTACTATTATTATTTTATTCTTTGACACGTTTTTTTAATGATGTTTATTGTAATTTTTTTTATTTTGTTTACTATTTAATAAAAAAAATTAAAAAATTATTTCAGATTAAAAAAAAAATTGATTTCTTCACCTAACTTTTCAATAAGTATTTATAATCAAAATAATAAATATGATCATTCTCCAAAAATGTATATTTTGTATGTCACATAATTTTGATTAATAAAATCTTTACATTATCCTTGTCATATCTTATCTTGGAATAACCAAAAATAAAATATGGCACAGAACTAATCCTTTTGTTCATGTAAAATTAAATTTATGAAGGATGCTACCCTGCTATTGTAAACAATTATTTTATGATTTGAACTTCTCCATCATTTTCAAAAGAAAAAAACTTACTATCCTTCAAAACAATCCTCTTCATGTTCTTACCTTCATAATGTCTGGCTCTTCAATGAAAATGCATTACAAAATTGTCATGGTCATTCATAATCTCTTTCTGCTTCACACCATTTGTAGAAATATAATAAAAAAGCAAAAAGAAGGAAAAACAAACACTTCCAAGTGTTTTCGTGTTCCTGTTAATACCTGCTTTTGTCAGCATGACAAGGCTTTGTTATTGCCCTGATCTGCTACAACAGGGTGGTGAAAGGACTGCATCAGATGCATAAGATTGTTGAAGCTTAATCCATTGGTTTCTTTGGCACTCTGCAGCAGTTTTGCATACAGCTCCTTGCCCTGTCAAACAACCATGGAAGCATATTACTTGAAAATAACTCATGCAAACTGTCACTGGATTACAAGGATTTCCAATCCACGATTGAAGACATAATTCCAACCAGTAAACTTACAAGTTGATGCAGAGATCATTGACATTGTATTACCAGAGGAGAAGTGTTTGATGAAGAAGAAGATTGCTCACTATTTCATTGTCAGGATTCAGACGGGCAAGCAGGAGGAGGCGGCGGAGGTGGATGAAGTGCAGCTTGGTGCGTCTGTAATATCCAGGGTTAAGCTCATCAAATGCATGCCACAGGGCTTCCATTTGCTCTGCTCTCAAGGACCCCACCTGCTTTGTGCCACTCTGCCAACGCCCAACAATGTCACAACACACTTTAGATACTTTTCAGGTTCAGTGCTTTAGATATTTTCCACTACCAGTCGTGTTATGTTATTCCCACGACAGTGATCTCTTTGTGACTGGTTAGATCGAGCACATGAACTACAACATGCAGTGCTCAGTGGGAGTGGACACTGGACGCTCTCCTGTGCCTCGTTCTCTCATAAAGTGCGCATTCAGTCACGAGGTTGTGGGAAACGGTACTCACAGAAAGCAATTGTGTAGCGTCGTTAAAATGATTTAATGCATATACTTTGGTTTGGTACCTCACCTCTTCAATTACTCTCTCCTCATGCATGTCCTCCAAACGCTTGTTGCGCATTGAGGAAGTTTTTCCAAAGTAGACGGATTCTGGATAACGCAGCCCTTGGAATGGTACCTGTTGCCCCACAGGCAAGCTGTTCTTGGATTAGCTTTTGGCTGCAGCAGATTATTAATCACTGAATGCCATTCAATACTCGCATGCCTTCGCAGGATACTTGTGGCTTTTTAAGTTGAAGAGGATCTTGGAAGACGATTAGTCTATATTCATTCAGATTCAGAGTGATACCAGCGCATTGCAACATGTCTCAAATATCATCTCAGTTCGTGGTATTATGCGTGGGTAGAGCACCTGAACTTTTTCTTGGGGAAAACCATCCTTGATCATCTCCTTAATAGCAAGAGGCCAACCAAGATCGCTGTTCGCGAGGCTGTCGAAGTCCATTACAGTCATGGTGGTCCAGCGACCACAAATGGGGTCGTCCCCGTTCCACTCACCCTCATATTTCCTTCGCCTGTCAGGCCAGTAGTTTGTCCCCCATCCATCGCGGTTATCTTTCACAAATCTTCCAAAGTAGATTGTGCCATCGCAGTAAAACTGCCGAATCTCGACAGTCACCAACTCACAATCAGTCACCTGGAAACGGTTCACACAGCAAAAAGAAAACACATATTGCAGGTGGATGAGGCGTGAATCCGCAGTAAGAGAAGCTTAGAGTTGTGACTTACAAATTTGCCGAGCCCGTGTCTCCGGCTCTTCCACCAATCCCCACAGTAAATATCACCATTCGAGAAGCGCATGGCACCAAAGCCGTGATGCTCACCGTTCAGAACTCCACCACGATACTCCTGCGCCACAATTCATCCACCTCTACCTCTTTCTTCATCTTACTATCACAAAAAGACGCTGGGTTTCTCCACCCGACTCTTCTCTTCACAGTGCACTGATGTGCAGCAAATTTTTGTACCTAATGAAGTCTGCCATGAGCTGCAATGTCATGTAACAGTGTGTTGATCGTAACCTTGCTTGCTATACGTCCTTTCAACCCGTTATGTAGTCTCTCAGGGATACTGAATTCTAACCCTGTACTTAGCACAATAAGTTCTAGCCATAGCACATATAGTTGCCCATGAGAGTTCTTACGACTTGATTTTCTATACCAAAAACTGCGGAGCTCGCAGGAGAGACACAGAATTTCATACCTGGCCATTGGTGTAATAGAAGGTGCCATTGCCGGTCTTACAGCCAGATTTCCAGTCGCCGTCATAGAGACATTGCTCTTTGCCCGTGGAAAGAGTCACCCAATGTTGCCCGACGCCGTTAGGCGTACCACCCATGACGTCTCCAGCGTATCGTCCGCCGCTGCAACCATCGATGATCATTCTCCCGGAGTCGTCATGATAGCCCGACCTAGGACGTTGAGTGATCTTGACGGACCACTTCTTGATCTCGTCCTTGAATGGCTTCAAAGTCCTCTCCACGATAACCATAGACGGAGCTTCTATGTCCGCATGTTTGTTTGACGGCAGCGGCCCTCGCTCGGCCTTCTTCCGCCCAACCCTCTTTTTTGTTTTGGGTTTGATTGGATATGGCGGTGGATTAGGTGGCCTCACTGGCCGCAGCGACGGCGATCCACGTTCTTTCTTCCAGATGTGGCATTTTAGTTTCGGCTTCTCCATGTATGCTCTCGATTCACGAGAAAAATGTGATACTGAAATTGCAATCTTCCTTTTCAATGACGTACATTGAGAAGCACAGTCAGGCCCCGGGAGATTTTACATTGGATTTTGCAACGATATGAAAATTTGTGGACGAGCTTGTGTCACTTCTCAGTGCAGGGATGAGATGCGTCTCTGCTCTTCTTTGATCTGCGTCGTTCCAACGGGTGGTAAACATCCGAATATGGGCGGTTGACTGCAGTATAGGTGGTTGTGATCTGGGGAGGATGCTCATGGAGCTGTGGGAAATCAGACAAGCTAGCATACCGATTCTTGGACTTTCCATGGGAGATGCCCATAACGAGCTAACCCTTCTCCATCTAAGGTTTAATCCTGTTTTCGTGAAGGGCAGTTGCGTGATGTCAAAAATTTGTAGTGAGAATTAGGCTGACAAAAGGGAAGTTTGATTTAATTGGTTAAGTAATGAGCTTCATATTGCCATCGCTTCGTATCTCTCAAGTCCTTGCCACCTGCTCATGCGTGCCAACATATTATGGCCTCTCACACATCGTGTTTTTAACTCCTTTTCTCTCCCTTCTGCATGTGTTTGTGCGAATCTTGGATTGCAAATTCATTTCAAATTTCCTGAGATTCCTATGATATCCCCCTAGTGTAATAATTTTTTAACTTGTTAATCATTTGAGACCATTTGGTAACTGATTAGTCATCGAGATCATGACTGAGGTGGATGTGGGGCCTCCTATTCTGAAAGCAGCTGGTAATAAACGGAGTTACAGGCTCATCAGGTTGCGCAATGGATTAGAAGCATTGCTAATCTGTGACCCGGATGTAAATGACGTCGACGACGAGTCTACGGAAGAAGACAACGTTGATAGAACGGAAGATACGAACGCACAATGTGAGTCTGACATGTTGCTCGACTTGTCAAATGACTCCCAGTACAATTGCACAGGTATCCACCTCTCACATTCCACGTTTTACCCTAGTTTCCATTCTTTGAGGCACATCAGTTTACAATATACGAAAGCCGAAGAATTAATAAGTGCGCTATAGCTTCATGCAATATTTAACGAATCGCTAGAGTCATAGTCTACTGCATTGCAACTTCGTCTATCTGTTAACTAGCTGCTGTCAATTTTCGAGTTTTTGTAATATCAGAATGGTTCACGATACGAGGATCAGGAACACAGGGCACATGGTAGGAGTTGGTCACTCCAGAAGCATTTCTGGTCGGCTACGGATTTTTCGACTGTGTCTAACTATGTTAGTCGTGACGACACTGTTTTGCATGCACTTGTCTACCGGTCATTTTATGACATTCGCGAATGCAAGGACTCGGAAATTTCGCAATTAAATGAGTGTACGCAATGAAATAAGGTCAATTGAACATCTGGGTTGGTAACTCTAGGACGGTGATTTCATGATATTGGATCAAATCCTCCATATTTTTCAGTATATTAAAATCCACTTGGATGCTGATTTACTGGAAAATCTTCTTACTGCAGGACTAGGTAGTGAGGACTTCGTGTTCAATGCAAAGCGACGCCTGGGGTTTCATCCAGGTAACACGAGCACATGCAGACTATGTGTTTGGTGCATTTAGACTTATGTACATCTAGTGATGATACACAAATGTGGTTGTCATGTGTTGAAATCTACCAAGTTCCTTGTTGAGGTTACTGGCAATATTAAATAGGAGCTGTGTAACTTAGAGCTTAATTTCACCTCTTTAGTTTTAAAAGTGAGCCTACAGATGAAGAAGGGGGTCCAAGTAGAACACCCATTTTAAAAACGATCAAGCTGGACAAACTTACGAACAGATTCAGGCAGGGGAAGCAGAGAAAGCACCCAAATCTGGGCAAGGAGAGCAAGAAAGCCGAGGAACCCGAGAAGGACCTGACGATTAAGAATGTGAGCTGAAAGACAGAAACCTCACCACATTTACTTCTGTTGCATCTTCAATCAGTATGAAAACCTTGTGCATCGAGGAGGAGGTATTAATAGATGTTTGGTCATGCTACTTGAATTGTAATGGTGGAAAGGGACCGATGCATTATCAATGTTCATTACAGTGGTACTCACTCAATCATCATACTTTCTTGAATTGTGAGAACAAATTGGGACTCTATATTAGTGGACGATTTTTTTTTGGTGCTTTATAGTATGTCAGTGATGTATAATGCCAGGCTGCAGCTGCCATGTGTGTTGGAGTGGGGAGCATGGCAGATCCCCCAGAAGCACAAGGTCTTGCTCACTATCTCGGTGAGTACCGTTTTGTTTCTCTTAAGGTCGTCAAAGAACAGCGATTATCTCGTGCAGGATTGAAGTTATGATGTACATTTAGGAGTTCTAACATATAGAGATTCCAGTTAAGGCAGTTCACATCTCTTGTGATGGGCTACTCATTGTCCTGCTCCGATTAATGCGTAGCTCTTGATGTTGCAATTCATATTTCACTGTTGAGAATTTCTTTCTTTTATTTGAAAACAGGAAAACCATAGTAGCTATCATTTAACGAATTGTTAAATGAAAATGATCCAGGTTTAGTCCAGATTATTGTGAATATGAAGAATGTTGAAACCTGTTTGAATGAAAGCATGTTTAAGCTAATATCACTTAATCACCCTGCTTTTGAAGTGGCTGGTGCTCTATGGTTGAATTGTTACATGAATTTTCTTCTCTTCAATTTTATTCAATATGTAAGCTAAATAGTGAATGTGATAAATGGTACTCACATCTGATTGCTGTGGATTCATTAACTTGCAGAGCACATGCTATTTATGGGTAGCACCAAGTTCCCCGATGAGAATGAGGTTCTATGCACTGACTGTATCTCTGATCGTAAAGCATTTGTTAAGAAAGCATGTGATTTCTGACATGAATTGTTGTTGACTTTATGTAAGTCCCTACACGAGTGATGTCTCCTACTTGCTTAGGTTTTGACAAACGATACTGTAGTCATTCGTATCATGTACTGATGCATTGCACCTATCTTTCATGAGGTTAATGGGATTCAGTATCTTCTTTGTTAAGAAAATAAATGTTTTAGCTGCTTTGCCAAATGACTTTTTCTTGAAGTCCAGTTAACATTAAGCTGCAGTACATAGCTCTACAACCTGACGAAGAAGTGCGGTTGATTGCAGTATGATAAATTTCTGTCTCAGCATGGAGGCAATTCCAATGCATACACTGACCAGGAGTTCACATGTTTCTACTTCGATGTCAGAAACCGGAACTTAAGGGATGCTCTGGACAGGTTATCCCATGTCATTACTGCAGGGTAGAGAGTGGGGTATTTTGAACCATTGAACGGTACCATGTTTTTTCCCTTTCTGAGAGAACATGGACCAGTTTAAATCTTCTCTATTATCATCCGACATCAGGGCGTTGTCATTGATGGTTTAGAATTCTTGTTGTCTTCATGGATTCAGGTTTGCGCAGTTTTTTCTTTCTCCCCTTGTTAAGGTGGATGCAATGGATAGAGAAATTCAAGCCATCGAATCAGGTTTATAATCTGCAGAGCTGCTTCGTGGGTTTTACTCCTGCATGGCAAACGTAATCCATGTCTCGTTACGCGTCTGGACAGGAATGAATGTTTGACGTTTGAGTGGTCCTGCAAGTCAAAGAGTTTAGAATTTCTTTGTGTGAAGCACTAACCTCCTGCACAGTTGCTAGCAAGGATTTACACATGCACTTGAATTTTGGACAAATAACCAAACTTTTGTGAACTTGATTGCAATGATCAGAGTTTGTGCAAGCTGCTGGCAATGATATGAACCGCCTCTGCCAAGTGCAATGTTATACAGCTTTACCTTCCCATCCGTTCCATCGTTTCTCGTGGGGTAATTTTCCAAATTTTTTGAACAATCTAACTCGAACGTAAGTATGTGGTTCATGGGTTAGTAGTTAAAGCAAGTGCTGCAGCGGTTGCGCAAACAGTTAGCTGTTTGTTTTGAGTCAATCAAAGAGTTACACCATCAAACATAGTTGGAGAGTCGGGATTAATTTTTTTATTTTCAGGAAACAAAAAAAGCTTGCATGATGACCCCGTTAATAAAGGCATAGACATGCGGGCCAAGCTTTTGCAGCTTTACCATGAAGACTACAGAGCAGGACGTATGAAACTTGTAATACTTGGTGGAGGTGGGTGGTAAGCTCTAACTCATTTGAACATTCCAGGTGCATGTACATTTGAAGAAAGTGGTTTGTACTCTCTTGTGCGAGCAGCATGAACGCTGAAAGGTGTTCTTCAAAATTTCTGCAGACTCATAAAATTTGCATTCCACTTGCTTCTTAGCATTTGATTGCTCTGATTTCAGATTCATTGGACACCTTGCAAAATTGGGTGGTTAGCCTTTTCGGTCAAATAAAAGAAGGTGGCGACGGGAGACTAATAATTCATGGTGAACGCCGCATTTGGGAGCCAAATCGGATGTACCGTGTGGCGGCTGGTACAGAACAGAATTTGGTGGCACTTAATTTTCCGCTGCCTTGCTTGGAGACCGCCTATCTCACAAAGCCCCATGATTACTTTGGGCACATTATTGGTCATGGTACCCTTGAATCTGGCCTTTTTTGGACTCTTTGCAATATTAGCTTCATGTAGTAATTCTCTAGCATGAATGATGTTTATTAAGGATAGATTTCTGGTCTCCAAAATTTAGATAAAACGTTTCTTCCACAGACAACAACTCGGTTACCCTAAACGTTCCAAATTTGAAAGTGTCACTGTTCATGGTGTTGCAGAAGGCCAAGGCAGCTTGTTGGCACTACTCAGAAGGAAAGGTTGGGCCCGGTCAATGACTGCAGGTTGTGGAGATAATGGACTGGAAACGAACCAAATGCTATTCTTGTTTACAATACGAATTACACTTACCAATCATGGTGTTGAACATGTATGACATATGCTCCCGCAAGTCTTGCAGTACGTTTTAGTAAAAGGTTTTCCTTGCAAGGTCTCACATTAACCAGACATCTTGGTCTTGGCCTTATTTGGAAGTCTGTAGATTGTTCTCGTATGAACATGAAGCCCATTCTTTGCATCGTGAAGATATGCTTGTTTTGTTGTTAGTATCTAAACAGAGGTGTCGACTTCTGATAAGAGGGATTTCTTTCCGCGAAGCATATCCATACAAATAGAATTCATCTCATGAATCTATTTCTGCTTCATCTTGTCTAACGAGAGTATATGATGTTGACGGGAGGATCCTTCTGCAAATTTCCGCGACTGTGTGGTTAACAGTGCATGTGCAGGTTATGGAGGTAATTGGTTTACTGTTCCAATACTTGAAAATGTTGCGATCCTTGGGGCCACAAGAGTGGATCTTTCAAGAGCAGAATGCCGTAAGCAAATTAAATTTTGAGCATTTTGAGGATCCCGCTCAGGACGATTACGTAGCAAGCCTTGCTAGTATGTCACATCCTCTGTCAAACATTAAGATTAAACACATGATTGCCTAACTTGCACCAAATTCGTACATTTGAGCTTAGAGTTACTCTGTAGCCCCTGTTTCTCGCCTGAAAGTAAAAGTTCAAAACACTGAGCCATCTTAAAGGCTCCTATTCAATGTTATAATAACCTCTACCTCACCAACGATTCTACCACATGAATGGCTTATTGGATAGTGCTCAATATAACGTCACTTTCTTTTACTTATTAGCAGCGACTCTCTTCTCAGGATTAAAAATGGACGCAGGGTATCGAATAATGAAATATAGAAATAAATTTTCTGACATCAGATTCCTTTAGCTTATACTTGATTTCGGAATCCTGACACTTCTCTGTATTTGTAATGTGTGATAACATGTGTTTTATTGAATTGCTGGCAGCCAATATGTTCTTGTACACGAAAGCACATGTCTTATACGGGGATTATGCACATGATATTTGGGATCCAGCTATGATTACTGAACTCCTAGCTCAATTAATCCCTGTTAACATGCGGGCCGATCTTTTGCTCCACCGCTTTGACAAAACATCTTCTGGTAATGACAACAACCCACTTAGCTGTTCGTATGTTGGTTTTCAAAGTCAACTACATCGCCATCCCAGTTGAAGTAACATCTCTGATGGATACTAGAGCGATTTTTCTTGTCTGTGGAGCTCCATCTGCCTAACTTAGTCCTTGCTTTTTGGTCAGATGTTCAGATGGAGCCGTGGTTTGAAACTGCCTTCACAGTTGAAACCATTCCAACTGCCCTCCTAAAACTCTGGGCTGATCCGCCCTGTGTGGACTCATCCTTGCGTTTGCAAGAGCCCAATATGTTTATTCCCCATGACATCACCATTGTCCCTAGCAAAGAGGATGGGTCAAAGAACCCAAGCTGTCTCCTTGACTCTGCTGCACTCAAAGTGTGGCACAGATGTAATCCAATTTTGAACACGCCGCGGGTTAATGCGTGCTTCTCAATAATGTTTTGGCCTCCCACTAAAAAAATTATTGATGCAGTACTAGCTGAATTGTACCTTATTCGCCTGTCAAATCAACTGAATGAGACTCTGTATTTGGTGAGAGCATTAAAATTGACGTTTGCATCACCTCATCACATAATATCGAATTCATGTCTATCCGCGTAACTTCTACGACAAAGTTCGACACAAGTTAAATCTTGAACATTGAGTCTGTGAAAGATCCTGTGGATTATAAAAACTGAAAAGAAGACTGTGTACTAAAGTCGGAGTTGCTGGTTTACTAAGAGAAGGAACTTTCTTTTACTTTCATGCCAGGAGTTTAGAGGCGATGGGTGCAAAATATGTGAATGAAATAATATTATTTAGTTTGTTGTTCCAAAAACAAATGCAGTAAAGAAAACTTCTTTCGTGTGAGTTGTGAGAGGCTTTTTTCGTGTAAATTTTAAGGAATGGAAGCGCTTATCATGTACTTGTGTCCTGCAGGCTGACGTTGCAAAACTGGAGACCTCGCTCAGTTTGTCGGGGTATAGGATAGAGTTAAAGATATTTGGATTCAGCGAGAAGCTACCGGTACTTGCTCAAAAGATCGCCAGTCAAATGCAGAATCTCGCTTCAACAGAGCTGGAGTTCAAGGTTCTTACGTATTTTTTTCTAAAACTTGTTGCTGATCATGGTGCGAATGACGAAGCCATGAAGGTGATCTAGTATAGAAGCTTGTTGATCATGCAGAGCAGTGTGGAGGTGTTGGCGGAAGAGTACAAACGGGCTAATGAGAAGCCGATTGACCATGCCGCTTACCTTTTGACACAAGCCTTATCCAAAAGATTTTGGGACGTTGACCATAGATATAATTGTTTGCAAATTCTTGCTTTCCAAGATTTTACTAAGTTTGTTGCGAATCTCTTCTGCAAAGTGAGTATTATATATCATGACACTGTCATATTCATTTTTGGTGAATTAGTTGATTAGATGAATTGCTCACATAAGACGCTCATGTAAGCTTCATTTAAGGGTTGGGTTATATTCCACCAACTCAAACTGATCGAAGGGTATTTATGTGGCAGACATATATTGAGTGTTTTGTGGACGGGAACGCTACAAAGAAGCAGGCCCTTGCTTTAGCTAAAATTTTCAAGGAAGCTCTAGTCAGTTGTCCATTTCCATTACAGGAAAGGCCCACTAATTGTGTTGTGAGGTTGCCAACTGGAACTTCAATGCTGTATATGGAGAAAGTTAAATGCGAGTTTGAAAAAAATTCCGTAGTTCATGTATTATTTCTGGACTCAAAAGTTCAGTCTGAATTGTGTGTAGCCCCATAAGTGATTTTTGATGGTCGAATTAAATAATTTGTAGACATATTCAAGACATGTTTTATGTCTAGAGCAGGCAGCGTGCCCATATATTTACATGTTAACTAATGCTGTAAATTGAACTTCCCGTTCGAAGAGAATCGAGTGAATGTCTCAATTCTTAGCTTACCTGACGAAGTCTACTTATCCTTTCCAGGTCTAACATCAGTTTCTTCCTTTTTTTGCAGTCGTATTTCCAACTTGGGCAAGATCGAGGAAAAGATTCCATGAGGTTGCGGAGCTTGATGACGTTGTTCATCGATATTATATCTGAGCCATTCTTCAATCAGCTTAGGTGGAGCACCCTCTTCATGACACCCAAATAATTCTTAACGCAAATAGAAGATGGGTTGGAACATACAATAATTATCTTATTACAGGCAGGATATTCCAGGGCTCTTGTGAAAATGCTGTCTGAATAGGCCAATTCAGATGTTTTCACACATCTCATGTCCATAACCAAGGATGCTTCGAACGCTTCAAAATGAATTTAAATTGTAGTCACTGTGGAGTTATTTATCGTTGTCGTAGTAGGTAACACAGTACTACAATGCCGAGAGAACTAGCTGCTGTCTGTGCATCTTCACATTAACTGCAGCCACAAAATTTGTGCAGAACTAAGGAACAAATAGGATACGTTGTAGACCTTGCTGATGAAGACCTGCACGGAGTGCTAGGCATCAGCTTCATGGTTCAGTCTGCAAAATATAGCCCTGCTTACATTGAGAGCCGCATTAATGCTTTTATCAAGACTATACCAAAAATGCTGGTAGGAAGTCTACTCATGATTAACGACCTCCATTGCACTTTTTTGTGTAGTTTAATTAGCATCAGCGAAAATGTTGCTTGTATTCAATACAGTTAATTTGGACTGATGTCCAATTGTTTCGATTGACTCTTCTGCAAATTGTCACTAGGAAGACAACGCCTTATGCTTCAGTTTTTCAACATCATATTTTGGTTGTGATAATCTAGAAGTTATTCAACCCAAACCTCCATCGTGTTATCCTCAAAGATCAAGCACCCTTTTATTAACAATAATGTGTGTAGATGGGCAGAAAGATATGAAGGACACCGAATTTCAATCTCACAAGGAATCTCTTATAGCCGAAAAACAAGGGTATCCCAGTACTTTGATCGACGAAAGTAATGACTTCTGGGAGCAAATCTGGACACACAGGTACATTGCAAAGTTGACGTTCTTGTATGGCCACTTTCGAGTGGAATTCTTCATGAATCCCTTCCATATGGAAATTAAGACTGAGTCTTACGAGTCTTGGAATTCATATCCATTACACTTGGTCTCTTTTTTTGATATTAATTCTTAAACAAGCTAATCTCATGAAAGTCTATAATCTAGCCGTTGTCTGGTTATGATATCCTTCTGCTTGCCACATGTCACCGCTGAGTAAAACTTTAGGAGAAATGCAGGCATTTATTTGATACCAACAAGCACGTTGTGAGAGAGTTGATAGAAGTTTCCAAAAATGAGATGATAAACTGGTGTCGCCGTCTCCTAGGCGCTCGTTCGCGCTTGCGACGGCACTTGTGTATCTATGTCGTGGGGGTTAATGCTCAGGAGGGTGATGTTGATGATCCCGTTTGCAAAACTTCATCAGGGGACCAAAATGAGCCCCGAAGAACTGTGCTGATTGATAATTTGGATGAGTTCCAGAGGAATCTTGAGATCTATCCCGTCCGCTTTTAGATTCTGAAACGGCGAGCTTAAGATCCATTGATCAGCAGTTTTTTACTAATTTGTAGCCGACTCTAAACTTATGAAAGTTGAAGGGAGACGCACAATGATCTCCAAATCGTGGTTTTAAGGGGAGAGATTCATTTTGAACCATCTGATATTTTAGGATGAACTGTTTTTGACCCAAGCTTTGGCTGGCCAGAAAACTTCGTTTATCTGGATAACCTGCTTAAGTACTCGGCTTCCAGTTTTTGCTTGTCTGGCATGCATTATCAATCTTAAAACATTGAGCAGTAAATGTGGTCATGAACAATTTTTCTTTCGCATGATCATTTTGAAAACAGCATCTGAAAGAGGACATCCAATCTAAATTTTTCGATTATTGTTGTTGAAGCTTCATGCTTAGATGACTTTTCGAACAAAGATGCACTTATGGGTCTACAATGTTTAAGAAATGTTCATGCTCCTTTCAATTTCGACGGTCTCAAGTGTATGACTTGTACTGAAGAATGAGTAATCATCCTCGACAGAGTCTCTATGAACATGTTTCATATGAAGCATTGACATTGATAACTTTAAACTTTCTCAGTAAAGTAAAATGCAGAGTAAAATACTGGTTGTCATTTTTAATGAAAATGAAAAACAAATAGCTGCAGTGCAAGGAAACATCAATACTCAGTTTTTCCCTTGCTTGGTAAATGCTTCTGTGAATTTTTTATGAAATTCATTTAATTCAATTCGTGAGAGGATTTTGTAAACAATACCTTGTAGATTATCACCACACTCAAACCACATAGCAAACTCGGTTCTTTCACTAGAGTATCTGCCATGAGTAGAAGAAGTGAGAATAACCCTACAATAAGATAACAGTTGAGGACTTTAACAACACGCAAAGTGGATGTAACAACTTAGCATGCACACAAATTTACACAGTAACCTCAATTGATATTCATAATCAAATTTACATGGAACGTTCTGTATACACATCAGTTAAGTAAAAATGCCAGTTGCAGTAGAGGTGCCACGACACAGCAAAAATAAAAACTTAAATCTAGGTCAATTCTTTGAAAGGCGAGAGAATAGAGCGAAGGCGACCCACACACTGCTGATTCAGCTTCGAGACTTCTACGTTGTGTCGAAGTTGGTGCTTCTTTATAGTTGTGTTCGCCACAGTTGCACTCCCCTCAGTTTCTACAGTTCTTTTTTTTCTTACACTGAGACATCTTTCCCAGCAGTGAATTGAATGGTTTCATGACTCCGAAGGTAGAGGCTGAGAGCAGATTCTCATTAGCACTACTTTTCAATGCACCACCAGCTGTGGTATTTCTCCTTCTGCAGGAAAAAAAAAAAAAAAAAAAAACAACAACAACAACAACAACAGCAACAACAACAGGCTCAGGCTGCTTTGCCATGTCTTCTCCAAGGTGGGTTGTTGTGCAGGTAAATTTTCTCAAGGTACTGGTCTTTTGCTTCTCGTAGTTCTACTCGAAGTACCACGGCTATGGGAGTACCCAATAGCTGCATATTTAATGCTGTAACTACTCTTGGTTGTTGGCATTGTCACAGGTAATGCAAGCTAATTGAAGTACAATTTGTGGTCCTCTATCTAGTCCGTTCTAAACCAACAATGATCGTGTGTGTGCTCTCTCAGTGATGGATGCCAATGTGCTGGTTTTTGGACCAAGGAATTCCACTTTGCATTTTATGAAATCCACATGCCTAATGGATAAAAACCTCCCATTTCGAATAATGGGCAATTGAAAAGTCTAAGTGTATTTTGAACATTGTTGTAGACATTGATGACCTTCACAGTTTATGTCATAGAAATGCAACTGGAAGCCTACAACATGTTCTTGCAAAATTAATCTTATCAAAATTACAACACAAAAATAGAATCTATGTAAAAACTTTCTAACAAATCCTATATTCCAAAAAAATTCAAACCCAACTATCTCTTACCATCTATAGTGGTTGTTTTAACAAACCACAATTTTTTTTTATCAAAGTTTATTTTTGAATCAAAAAAATTATCTTTTAAAAAAATATAATAATTTTTTTAAAAAATTACAAATAATTTGCAATATTATGCATGATCCAAATTTCTTAGAAAATAATCACATATAGTATTTATCAATTTTTATTAATTTCTATCTATTCATATTATTAAAGTAATTATTGAAATAAATATGTATATTTATAATATTATCTCTTCTTCTAGAGACAAGTTCCATAAGGATCAGTGATTTCTTATTGAAAAAGTCTAAGATGCGACAAATTATATTTGCTACATATTTTGATCTTTGTTTCCTTTAAAGATAGTTTATATGTCCATTCAACCATTTTTAAAGTTTTAGGTCAAAGCAGAAAAACCACCATGATATCTAATCATTATGAAGACCTTTATAACTTTTTTTAAATAAAAAATTTAAAACTCCATCAAATGTAGTTCCTACCTCCAATAATATTATCAAATATTAAGAGTCTCCCATAAGGTTGTGATATCAAATATATTGTATCTTACCATTTATTTGAAAAAAAACATATACACCTTGAAGGTCTTCATTTCTATTATGTTGTCTTGAAGGTTGTAATAATCATATTATCTTGTTTGATAATTTAGCAAACAATAGTTCTTAAATTGAATTTCTTGATTGTTGATTCTTCATCTCTTTAGTGTCACAAATACAAAGAATCTACAATTAATAATAGAAAGTAGAATGCAAACTTTACTAAATCTTATTTCTTTTGTAGCAATGAATTACTTAACTCTTCATCTTGGTTTTGATGTGTAACAGGGTATAGGTAAGATAATTATATTGTTGATACACAAAAATAGATAGTTGGAATTAAGTTTAAGAAATTATGGAAGTTTATAGAATTAGGGCTAAGTTAGTTGACTATATAAGATCCATCATGGAACCTTTTAGAAATGGCTTAGGGCGGTTATTTAGGTAGGGCCCACCATATAACCTTCTAAAAGGAATTTAAGGTGGTTATTTAAGTAAGGCCCACCATCTAAGAATATTTTAGAAAATCCAGGGTAGTAGAACAAATTATAAATAAGATTAGCTAGTCCACAAAATATTATCAAATTTATCAATGTACTGATAGATTGGTACTTTGCACTGATAGATTTATCATTGTTCAGTACACTAAAAGATGTGGCATGATTCACTAAATTGGCTAAGTACTAGATAATATCACATATATTAACATACAATTTGACTCTAAATAACCCAGGTCTCAAAGACGCTCTTCAACAATTAGTGCTAAGAATTGCTGCTTCAAGGCCTGAATAACAAGAGTTCGTTACAGTCCCTGGATTAGATTAAAGAAGAGTTGAGCCTACATTTTAAGATTCAATCAATTCTAGCTGCGGTGGTGCTGCGAACAGCTTCATGAACTTAGTGTGCAGTGTGTTGGTGGGAAGTAATCACTGTTCATAGTTGGCCTCAAAAAAGCTATCTTACTCAGAACTTGAGCTGAATAAAGCCTTATGTTCATACTTGCCTCTCACAACCTACTGAAAAATGCTTCCTCAAGGATAGTTTTAAAAATTGGCCCTGAACGCACATGTGCACCTTAAAATCAGGTTAGGGCGACCTAGAAGAACGAAATATTTCAAAGAGGCCTCGTTCAAATACAAAAAAAATACTCATTGGATTTACATATTCAATTCCTCGCATCAGGGGAGGCTGAAACTCTTGGAAACCATGGTTGTGGAACCCAAGTTTGCCGCAAAAATCCATCTGTGCTTGCTAGGCAAATGGCTGATGAAAGGATATAGCACCAGGTTTTTCCAGAACTCTTCCAATTGTTTCCCTATGATAAGAGATTTCTATGTCAATCAACTCACCTAGAGCTCTGATAACCTCCGCAGAATCTCCTATCAAAATAGAAATGTTGCAACATCAGCATTCTCTAGAAAATGAAAACTATCTCAAAGAAGTAGCTAAGATTCTTTTCCGCTAAATTGACTCACTTTCTCCACCTAATAAGTAAGCGTTCGGCACCTGTAGCCAGATTCCAACAAATGCAATTGAGCTTCACAATGGTTGAAGCTTGCATGAGAAAAAACTAGCTGATCAGGGGCCCATATCAAGTTACACAAAGGGAACACTCCAAACCTACTCAGCACTTGCTAAGACGCCGTTTGCTGTCAAAAGGTCGTGTACAAGTAGGGCAGCAGAATGATTCAGTGGCGATGTAGAGGAGGTGCAAAGTTTTTTGTTTTGTTTTCTGAAATGGCCTCTAGAAAGTGTACACCACTGTTCCTTCTCACCAGCGAAGGACCATTGAATCTATCTTAAAGAATTAAGCCGCAAGGAGCCTGCCATTGCAGAAAATGCCCTTGAATTGTGAACCCTTTACAGCATATCATGTGGATCTTCCTCGGTGGGTTCAGGTGCAGTGTCACTGGAGCCCCGCCTGGCGTGCGGTGGAGCACTAGACGAAGCCATCCCACAAGACTTCGCAACAGACAGGGTGCAATGGTAGCCATCCTCCCGCAAGCTCGTCACGGCCGCATCCTTACTATGGTGATACCGCCAGCTTCCGAACAGAGCCTCGTTCCAGGAGCTGTGGGACGACGTCCGCATTTCGTTTCTCCGAAAGGATTCTCCAAAATGCTCCTCTCGCACTACCTTGTGCGGATTCTCCAGCGCCTTCAGCACATGACGCATACTGGGCCGCTTGTGGGGCTTGGTGTGGAGGCATGCACGGGCGATTATAGCAATGGCCCAGACTTCTCCAAGTAGGTCTTCGTCCACGATGAGCGATGGGTCCACTAGCTTGGGCAGGGACTCCTTGTCGTGCACGTTGATCAGTGGCAGCGCCCACTCCAGCCAGGCCTCACTTTCAGGGTCTGTTTTTGTCCCGCTTATGCCAAGCTTCCCTGATACAAGCTCCATCAGCACCTCTCCGAAGCTGTAAACGTCAGAGCTGGTTGAAAACCCTAGACCTGAATCTCCTGAGTCTGATGGTCTGCTCCACAAGAAGCAAATCCACATGTTAGGGATAAGTACTAAGCATGGTCCTCTCCTTCGGGAAAGGATTCGAATGAACAGAAAGAATCAGTTGGCATTGTATGGTTATCTGATTATGGCAAGCGACCGGGAACGAAGCAACGAGATTGAGAAATTATTTTTCAAGGCAAAAAGGTGCAGATTGCAGCAAGCAGTCTTATGTTGTGTCGTATGATTATAAAATAGAAATCGCATGGACTCACTGCGACAAGCCGAGCCAACGGGTAATGCGGCGACTAGGATGAGAGTTTCCATCTTGCACCCTAGCATCGCTCAAGCTCCCGAGCCTGACCTCAAACTTGTCATCCAGAAGGATGCTGCTTGCCTTCACATCTCTGCCAAAACAAGCGAGAGAAATCGGAATTGAACACTCAACACTAAATTGAAGCTGCAACAGTGCCAATTAGTGCATTGAACATGACTGTAGCTGCATCAAAAACTCACTGAAATAAGCAACGGAAAAGTTGGGAATTCACAGGAGCAGCATCAAATACTGACAGGAGAAGACGCTGCCAAGTACCATGAAATTTTAGAAGCGTCCAATGGATCCACAAGGGATTAGAGCAAAGTTGATTAGGGGAATTTAGGGGAAATGTTTAGATGTACCTGTGAACAATGGGCGGGGAGCATTCAGAGTGAAGGTACGAGAGCGCCTCCGCAACACCGATCGCAATCTTGAGCCGAGTGATCCAATCCAAGCTCTGTAAACCATCCTCATAGGGCCGGGGACTGCTTTTCTTGTGCAGTGCAGACGCCAAGGTGCCGTTCGGCGTATACTTGTATACCAAAAACTTCTCCTCATCTCTGTCAAGGCAGTGACCGAGCAGCAACACTAGCCGGGTATGGGAAGCGCGCCCCAGCACCTCCAGCTCCTGCAGATACGACTGCGTGCGAACCTTGGTGAGGTCTATTCTCTTGACAGCCACCATCGCCCCGCTCTCCAGCAGGCCCTTGTACAAATCCCCGGAGTGGCCGTTGCAGATTAGATTCTCAGATGCGTAGTTATTCGTGGCTTGCTGCAGCTGGGCGTATGAGAAAACCTCACCCATGCGGTTCGTGGGCACCGCTGCAGCGCTGACCCTTGCGGAGCCCCCTCGTGCACTGCCGACGCTTCCATGAGTCCTACCCGATGCGTCAAGATTCTTGGGCTTCTTTTCGCAGAGGTGGAAACAGACGGCAAGGGATGCGATCACGACGATCAGGACCACACCGCCCAGGGTACCAGCGAGAATGGGCACCAAGTGCTTGGTGGTGGCTTCAGAGGTGGGAGATGGCGGGGGTAGGAACAGGATTGGGGTTTGGGGAGCTGAATCTGGGGAAGAGGCGTGCTCACCGAAGATCACACCGTGCCTGGCATAGAATTTGAAGCATGTGCGAGGAGCATGCTGCCCCGGGGAACTTGTAAGGCAGTTCTTCTTCAACACTGCGTTGGGTATGAGTCCGACCGGCAGACTGCCGTTGAAGAAATTGTTGGAGAGGTTTAAGGATTGTATATTCTGCAGCGTCCCAAAGAGTTCCGGAATCGATCCATAGAAGTAATTGTGAGCAATGTCCAGGGTCTGGAGCAGCACGAAGGTGCCTACCCCTGAGGGCAAAAGACCTGTCATGCGGTTGCTGGAGGCATCGAGCGTGACGAGCTTCCGCAAGTCGCCAATTGCTTCAGAGAGAACCCCCTCCACTTGATTCTGCCGCATGTTAAAAATACGGAGACTTGTACATTGTGAGATTTCTGGGGGGAATTTCCCGCTGAGATTGTTAGTTTCGAGGGTCAAAACATCTAAGTTCCTCAGTTTTCCGAGGTCGGGTGGGATTGCGCCCGAGAAAAGATTGTGCGACAAGTCTAGCTGTTTCAAGAATGTGAGGTTCCCAAGCTGCGAAGGCAGCGAACCCGTGAGCTCGTTATTCGACACAACCAAGGATTGCGACATGGCAAGCCTACCAACTGCTGGTGGCAAGTGCCCTGTGAGATTGTTATGAGAGAGGTCTATATTCACTAACCCTGTTGCGTTAAACAAGCCCGACGGAATGGGGCCTAGCAGCCTGTTGAACGACAGGTTTAGGGAAACGAGATTCACGAGGTTGCCAATCGACTCTGGGATGCTCCCCGTGAGCTCATTGCTTGCAAGAGACAGAAACCTCAAGCTTGACAAATTGCCCAGCGTCGTGGGTATGCCCCCATCGATCACAGTCGCCGTCAGATCCAGTACTTGTAGGGCTCTAAGGCTTGTGAACGAATCAGGGATTGGTCGCCGGAGCGGGAAACCTGATGCATTGAGCTCTCGTAAGTTGGGTAAACCCTGGATGACGTCGAGGTAAACATGCATAGTTTCGTTGGACTGTCTCGGGAGATCACTCAGAAGTATGCTTTTTACGTGGTCGCCCTCACATTGCACCCCTTGCCACCTCGTGCAAGGATCCTCTAACGCAGGCCATGAGCTCTCCCGCACACGGAGCTCCTGCTGCAGCTGCTGCATTGTTCGCGCCTCGCTGCTCAGGAGAGCCACCACGCTCACAACCAAGTTCTGAATCACGTAGGCAACTGCCCACCACGTCCGTATCCAAATCCACATTGTGTGCAGATGGCAGATTCTTAACATTTCCCCTCGTACCTGCATGAAAAAGATAACAATCCCAGGTCCACCAAATTTTCAATCCCGAAATCATTCCACTAATATTCTCCAGCCAACCCCGCCGGTCAGCCAAGAGCTTAGCAGCCTATTACTGCTGCTGCTGCTGCTATTGCTGCTCGTGCATACTGCAAGCGTCACGAACCCTCTTGATGACGACGACATGGCTTCTGCTACCTCACTGCAAGGCTTCGCTATCACGATGTAGCGGAGCAAAACAGCGACCCTACTAGCTCACGGGCAAAACTCAAGCTCCCAGATGACAAGCTCGTCCGACGACGCTCAATCGAACCACCACCATGGCTCCCACTTATCTTGATCTGCAGTCCTTAAGCTCTCGCAGGAAACTTGAACCCTTCAAGAGCGTCTCAACGCAGGCAAGAGCGAGCGTACGCAAGTCTACGTGCAGCGAAATTCAATCTCCCGACCCTAGATATGCACGGCTCCCAATTCGTCTTCACATGACACTCCGCGAGTGAGCTGCAGCACCAAAAATGCAAGACCATGGACAGAGATACATATCCCTATGAATGACAACCACAAAACCCAGCTCAGCCTCGCAATGGGGTAGCCGCCAGAGTTGACATTCAACTCGCAATCACCGCAACTTAATCAGCATCCACAAAACGACAGGTGCTATCGACCCATATTCACAACCTCCGCCACAAATCGCACCAACAAGACCACAGCTTCTGAGTGTGCGCAATCTGCGGGAGCCTGGCACAGATCGTTCAGGCGCAGTGGAGATGGAGAGGCGTCAGGGTAGGGGACGGAGGGAAGGCAAAAAGCAGTGTCAGTGGGGCAGTAGCAGTGGGTGGCATCACTAAAGCCTGCGTTGTTGTTGCTTGCGACGCAGATCAAGCATCAATGCCGCACCGCCTCGCACCACACTACCTCGGCACTACCTTGAAAACGCCATCATCATGTTTTGTTTTGTAAGTCTTCTTCCATTTTGCAGACCTTGCTTGCGCATGAGAAGCCATCGGTTACCTGCTTTCATCCCTTGTTTGACTGCAGCTCTTGCCCATTTGACCCCATGAAGCCACTCAGCCGGTGATTTCACCATAGCTCCATTCACCTGCAACTCCAAATGCGGGCAAAAAACAAACCTCGCAGTCGGTGAAAATACTCACAAATCCTGGACAAATTGTGAGTCCAGCGTGGACAACAGCCACCCTTTTGAAGTATGAAAGTGCAGAAGAAGCTCTAGCTTTGCTTTGCTTTGCTTTGAAATCTGTGGTATGTATGATCAGTTGGTTTGCGGTGGATTCAGCAAACTGGATTCAGATTGCTGAAGTTTTTGCACATGGCTTGTATTCCTCTCCCATGCAAATCTTTGGAACTTATTGAGTCTCATCAAAATAGTGTTTATTATTATTATTATTATTTACTTGTCATTTGTTTTTTTATTTTTTTTATTTTTTTCATTCGTTTTATTCTTTGCGAATTTAGAATCATGTGATATGTAATTCTTGCTGGTATTTCAAAGTTTTTCCTTTTTTTCATTTTTTCTGGAACGAATGTGAGGATGAGGTTGTGATCGTGTTTGTGTAGAGCTGTGAAGAATTCCTTGTCCTTGTTTTTTAAATGCCTTTGTGAATTAATACTACTGAGGAATTTTCAAGCATTTTGATTTCCAGTGTGAATTAGTTTAATTTGAAGAAATTGTGCTCTTCCACGTTTGGTAATTTTCATAGATTAAACAAAGAAAATTTGGAGATGTTTTTGTTGGTGAGTTCATTTTTTGATTTTGGGTTTTGGTGGATGGTATGTTCTTCAGTTTAAAAGAGAAGTATGGAATATTCCTATTAGAATGTATTTACGTCGTTGATATTAAAATTAATATCTGTTACTACCATTAAAAAACACACACACACACACACAAAAAGACGTTTCAGTCTAGTAATTTTTTGAGTAAGTTGACTGGAATATTTAAGAACTTGCAACCTGTGTGCAAAATTTTGAAGAGGATAGATAGAGATTGTTTGAAATTTTGAGAAATAACTATTAAATTGCTCCATCTATTGTGTTGTAAACTGATCCTTGTAAATTAGGTTAGAAGAAAATGAAATTCTGGGTGATGCATCCATGCAACAACATCACTATCAGAGTGGGTGATTAACAAAAACCTGCTTTGAGAATGTTGCAATAATCTAAGAGTTGAAGTTGTTAGATTATCATTAATTTGAATGATTTTCTCTCATGATATAAAAAGAAAAACATAAACATAAACTTAAACAAAAACCAAAAAATTGAAAAACAAAAAATATTTTTGAATTATATATATATATATATATATATATATATATATTGTTTTATTTCATTTATACAAACTGTGAGAATATGATGATGAAGGTGGACTATTGTTATCTTTTTGGTCCCTTGCACTATTACTAACAATTTAGCAATCCTTACATCCAAATCACAATGTAAACTCCTCCAAATTCATCAACATCATGTCACATAATACACCTCAAAATACTTAAAGAGAACAATAATCATGTGTGGTGAGTTGTCAAGCATCATTTGGTCTTGGAAATTTAGGGTAAAGTGAACAAACATATCATTAGGTAGTCATTGAAGATGGTGACATTTGAACATCTCTAAAATTCCTTGTGTTTGGGTCACGTGGTCAACACCCACTTTGTAAGTTTTCTTCGTACAAGGTCATTGACACGATTTGACGGAAGTCTAAATTTTCTTTCAACATAGGGATTCAAGTTCTTAACACAACCGGGATGTGGCTTTCCATCTACATGGGAGCTACACATATCATAACATATTTCCCAACTCTATGGTCAACATTTGGAATGCAATATTTGACAAGCTCCAAAAAAAACAATGAAAATAGCATTTATGCATTAATGTTAGATTGATGCTTTTGCATCCATGCCATTGATCACACTTTCTTATTAAAAAAAAATTAATTCTTGTAGCATCTGTTGCCATTGTAGACCAGTCCTATGCTCCCAATTTGCTCATACTGGATGAAATATAAATATAAATGTCGATAATAAAATAAAAATAAAGCAAGATATGCATGTCAAACAGTACCCATAGAAAGTGAAGGTTTTGTTAGCACGTGGTTTTGTTAAGAGATATTGATTTAATTGTGTCCTTGAGCTGGACTGTTTCCTTAATTGCAGGCTGAACTGATTCACCAGTACTCTCAACTGCTGAATAGTGTTGGCATTGAAGACTTCTTTTTTTTCTTTTCTTTTTTTTTAGTTTTTTTTTTAGGTTTACAGTTTTTGAAGGCTTTTTAATTTGAACCCATAAGACAAAGTGGGGGAAATGGGGGTTAGTTTAATGGGGTCAAGGCAATAGTTGACTCATGATTTGATTTGATCTCATTTTGCGAAAGTTGTTAAGTTGCATGAGTGCACTGTATGTACATATTGTCCAGACAGACTGCTCTTTATGCCAATGTGCAGGACACCAAAAACATTAAGAAATAAAAATAAATAAAATAAATAAAAATTGCATTACACAAAACATAACTTTGCTCAATTCTGATGTCATTTTCACATAAAAAATATGCACAAAATACTGATTGTAATCATAAGATAATTCATTATATAAAAACCCCTCATTTGATATTTCACTCTCAAAATCACCCACCTCACAAAGTGGGTGATTTGGTGACCTATCAAGTGATATTTCAAAACATCACAAAATACTTGGAGCAAATGTCACGGGTGAAATATCACCCAAAAAGGTCATGTTTGAAACCCCCAATTAACTGCAGTAAAGAATCACTTTACTGCAGTTAATTTTTTTATAAAAAAAATAATTTAAAAAACCCTATTGTAGATAAACTATTGTACATGATTGACTTGGAAGGATGGTTGTGTATCTTGTAAGATCCATTCATAATTAATTGAAATGACAAGGTTGAAAAGAGAATTAGTTCTGATTATACTTGCCAGTAAGGAAGCTAAAGTTTCAATTGTGATAAACCCAATAAGCAATGGCATTTTGATTGGTGTATTTTATACCTACTTTTACTGATTAAATCTGTTTTTTGGCATTTTGTTTTAATTGTTAAGGCCAAATTTTGATTCAGAACATTGTAAGTAAAACATATATCCATCAATGAATCAAAAGCATATTTCAAAATGTTTTGTAAAGTACTTTATACTTGTATTTTACAGTTGAAGAATCTTCAGGTATATGCAAATATATATACACACATCATTTTTAACTTATGATTTTAAATTAAAAAATAACTATTATGTTCTATAGAAACAATGAAGCAACGAAGAATTGATTGAGAGAAAGATAAAGAAATAAAATCAAGTAAAACATTATGAACAAACATAGTTTAATTTACTCACACCTAATGCAATTTAATTGCAAACATTTTAAAATAAGGAATAGAAAAGGCTTTGGCAAGCCTATAAGACCAGTAATGAAAAAAACAAGGAGAAGAAATAAGAAATACTAGCTCCAAAATTTGGAAATCTTCAAAATCATCATTAAAAACTTAAAGTTTAATCTCATGATTTCTCAATGGTTATAAGTCTTTAATTCCTTAATAGCAGAAATATAATTTGATGTTCAATTTTATTTTATATTAACTCAAAAATCAAATAGTCTTAGTTTTCATATATATTTTCTTTATATGTTATTATTATTACTTAAATATTATTACTTAAATATTATTAATTTTGAATTACATTTTTTAAAACCAAGCACTTTTTTAAGTAGGATAATTTGTGATTGGAATCATGTAATTAACTAGGATTGAGCGGTATTCGTTTACTATCATATTTAGATGTTCTTTCCAAGAGGTAATCCTTTATTTATTTATTTATTCATTTTTATGTAGGTTGGAAAGTTCCTTCTTGTAATATTTAATACATAGTATTCAGATTTTTCTACAAATTCGTATTGAAACAATTTAATTTTGGCACAATTTCTTTCATATAGCAAGTTGCTTGGCATTGTAGACTTCTTGTATTATGTTCAATTGAATATAGTGTTTATAAGTAAAGCAATATAAACCATTGAAGTGCTTACACTTTACATACTAAATTTTAAAATGTGTATTCTTGTATATTCTTATATATGATTTTAATTATATAATCAATAAAACTTCACTAAGCTTATTCTTTGACATTTTGGATAAAAATTGGCTAGAAACACAATAGTATTTGTTATTCTAAAATATTCTTGTAACTTCTTGTAGTATATTTTCAAAATAATATGACTAGCTATTGATGTTTTAAATTTCTTCAACAATATACATACATACACACATACATACATACATACATATTTCATTTCTTATCATATTAAAAATAATATTGGTTATGAACAGAAACTCAAAATCTAGTGTATTTTGGTGTTTTATAAACCAAAATAAAACTAAATAAAAAATCTGATTTTTTTTTTTAGAAAACAAATTGTCATGTATTTAACAAGAAATGAAGATTATATGTATATATATATAAAAGAGTCTTGAACTCAGAGGAGAGTGCAGAATAAGTGTTCATAAAATTGAAAATAGTCACAATCTTGCTTCAATGTATACAAGGCTTCAAAGACAAGTGATTATTTTTAGAATTCTTTCATGATAGATTTAACAAACTTTTACAATAAATTTGTGTGACAAAATGGGGCATCCAAAAAGAGTTGTAGATCTAACTTGTCTAAATAAGGCTCCATAATATTATACTATAGCTCATATGTTATATATGATATTCTACCATGTCTCATATAATTTATATTATTTTCTTGAATATTAAGCTAAAATGAACTTGAACAATAAATATAAACCAATCTCACTTTATTCAAGTTTGAACCTTTCCATCATTCTATTTCATTCTTCACACTTTGCATTTCAATTGTCTATAACACCCATGTGAATAAAAAAGCACACACCTTTCAATGCAAATATTGAAAAAAAAAAATTGCAATACTCAATCTAGCTTGTTACCTAAAACATTCTCATTCTTCTCTCATTTCTTTGGAGCCATCTTTAATCAAATCCTTCAAATTGGCCAATTTTCCAATTGTAGTCCTGATTAAAAATGAATAATAAATATTTCGTTGTTTCACAAAGAAGATTTGTAGCTGCAAATGTGTATAGAGTTACAGATAAATATAAAAAGATTAAAGATTAAAGGAACAAGTGTAATTCTGTTGAAGAGCAGTCCAAGGAAGGGGACAAAATGAAACACTGACTTTGGGTGAATTATTTGGGAAGGGGGACACATATTGAAAGGGGTGGGTATCATCAGTATTCAATAATCTTTGAATCAATGTTTGGCTCTGTGAGGCTTTTATGATCCTCAGAATGCGCATGAAGACTGCTTATTAGTATTATATATATATATATATATATATATATATATAATAACCAAACCTGAAAATTCAAAATCTCATCCGGGTATCACCTAGATATTACCCGGGTATATCATGATTAAAAAAGTTATGTTTTCCAAAACAGTTTGTTTATTTACTTACTTAAAAAACGTTATTCGTCTTTTCTTGCTTAAGTTTCAAAATAATCCATTGGAATTATTCTAACGGTGAACTAATTTTCAAGGTATTCCAAAATTAATGTAGAAGAATTTTATTATTATTTTTTTAATAAAAGAAAAATGGTAACAATAATTATTATGTGATGAGAGGATTTGAAGAATATGTTGTATAAGATAGTTTGACAAAGTAATAACAAAAAAATCAAAATCAAAATCAAGAATTCAAAACAGACATGGTTTTTGGATGTACCAATGTTAACAAGAGTAATGGTTCATACCAAAGTAGGCTTCAAGATGGGATTAATTAGGATAAAAAATAACACGAATTAAAAACTCTACATTGCAAGAAAAAATATGGAAAATGTCGTGTAACTTTTTGTTGCTGTCAAGGCATATACTAATTTCCAAAATAAAAATTAATTATGATTATAATGTTGTAAGTAGAGCCAACAGTTTGCAGTAATTCTGTTTACTAGAAAAAACAAACCAGATCAGGATATAACATCACATTATGCAAGATAAATAGTCCAATGTGGACCATGTCATGAACTTGGTATATTGCTTGCTTATGTAGCTTTTTCAAGCCTTTATTGCAATTGATTTAGTTTGACCAATAATATTTATTATTGTCATTACCATAATCTAATTTTTCATTCTATATACATCTTGGTAGAGTGTTTTTGATACGTTGTATGAGTGGCTTGGATTTCAAAGCATCAAATCAAAGTATAAAATCAAGATATTGTTGTTGGGTCTATGAAGTTTATTAAACCTTGCATCCAAATGTTAACAACATAAGTGACCATGTTTTTTGAGAATATATTTTGGTGTCACTAATATTAACTAGAGAACATTGGAGAAATTTATTATGTAAAAAAAATGATATAAGTCATAGATAAAAATTTGTACAAATGTCATATCTTTGTACATGGCCTCATATAAAAATACATATACACATATAAAGTGGCATGGACCTCATATCCCAAACACAAGGCATCTTAGACATGTTCAAATGTCTTCATCTCCAATGACTATGTAAGCTTGCACTTGAATGTTGATACCTCTACTCACCTTACCTTAGATCTCCAAAATCAATTGGAGATGCTAATAATAATTTGTAGAAAATGAATATTATTTAAGTAAGTGAGTAATCAAATACATATCTATAATTTGTTTGATTTTTGCAACAAAACCTTGAAATATTCTCTATGTAACAATTTGGAGTGAGACAATGGATCTGTAGTATAAAAGAAAATAAGCAGAAGGCCCAATTTGACAGTTGTATATCATATTATGCATTTTATACATAGAATTTTCTTTAAAATTTATGTTATTTAAGGTTGCAAATATTTTAGAACAAATTAAAATTCAAAAGGTTATAAAATGATTTTGTTGATGTTTTTGAAAGGACCAACTCTTTTTTAAACATGTAAGAACCACACAATATCTAAATCAACAAAAAATATTATCCATATGAGATCATTGATTCACACAATTATAACAAATAAAACTTCTTTCATGTTACAAAAATCTATTTTTAGAGTGAAAACAAATGTGGTTGTGTTTGCTATGTGACGTTAAATGAAGGGTGTCAAGGACATGAATTTCAAAGCACTAAAGATCATTAAATTCTTGTATCACTCAAAAAGATTAGAAAATCATTTAAAGATGGTATAAGCTTATCTACACGCATTTAATTCACATTTACCTTCTACCAAGTACTTATCTACATAAATATGTATGTCTGTGACAAAGGGTCACATGATGGATAGACCTTGTCAATGGATTGGCAAAAATATTTGAAGAGATGAGGGACATACAATATAAATTGAATAAGCAAGAGAAATACAGTATACATCATACATTTTTAGGTAAAAGGAGATAATTAAAACGAGAAAGGGGCACCCACATGACCATCTTCTGCTACCCCCTCAAATGTGTCATGGGGTCTTTGTCTTTGTACAAGAACCCAATTACAAATACAAACCCTAAATCTCAGAAACCCTAAAAGTCAAACTAATCCCATTTGCATGAAAGGATGGATGGAAGGAAGTAAGAAAAGACTCCCTGATTACACAAGCTTGGAGAAGAAGAACCCTATTTCACATGTTGGGGGAGAGAAGCCAATGTGGTTCATTGCCAAACCAATATTAGAGCAAGGAATGACATATACAAAAACAGTGAGGCAACTTAACCTTGTGATTAGCTTTGTGGGCATAAATTAGAGTTACATTCGAAATGATAATTCTATTAGCATTAGGCTTGAAACCCACATGGTACTAATGCACATACCAATGTGATGATGATGATGGTGATTATGATTATAATTAGTATTAGCAGTTTAATAGACATAATAATCCAAAAGATATCACAACTATCCAACAGAAAACAAGGCAAAAACACAGCCCAAAAGGTGTGAAGTCACTCCAATCCCGAGTTCACCTTTTCCAACCAATTGGAGATGACCCAGTTTTGTTACTTTTAGTCCACGTCGGATTTTTACTGGGTCCGCTATCAGAAATCCAACAGTGGGTCGCCAAGTGGAAAAATGAAACCCCTTGGTGGAGTCTTCAAGGATTTTGTGTTCAAGGCGATGGGTTTTATGAGCTCTTGTTTGTGCTTCATCAGTTCATGGCCATGGCGGATCCGGGGCACAGAGGTATCGCCAATTCGGTCCCTTCCTTGATGTCTGTTTAGTGAAAGTATGGTGCAATACTGTGATGAGGATATGAATTGTGAAAAATATTGTGGGTGCATTCGATTTGTGAGGTAGTTAGTGAGGCTCAGGGGATTCGAGGGGGAATTTAGGTGCCAAATTCTTGTCTCGGAGTGGATTCCATGTTGCGGAATCGAAGATTGATTACGTCGTGGTTGGTCCTGCGGGTGCGCATTGTGGGTTTGCGAAGTTCGTGGACGCATTTGTTGTTTTGAGGTTGCGACGTAGAATTCGTGGTAGGAGATTGTTGTGTGCTGTTTTCGTTTCTGGGGATTAGCTCGGGAGCTTTTTAGGAAACTTGGGAGCTGTGTAAAGGGCAGGGTGCTGGTGGTCCTTAATTAGAAGTTCTCTGCTTGAGGTGTAATCTTCGAGTCCAGAGATGGCGTCTAGTTCCCCTCGAGTTAATTGTTTCATTGGTTTTCTGGTATTTACAAATTTAAGTCTTGCATTTGTTAGCATCACATTTCCTTTAGCCTTTCTTCTTGGGTTTCTAAATAAAAAATAAAAAATAAAATATCACCTAGAATTCCTCCTCGTCGAATATCCTTTTTACTTAGTGTCATGTTTCTCGTGTAACAGACTGGCAAGCCTGTTCGAAACGTTTGGGATTGGGGAGAGATGCATAAATGGAATGAAATTGGATAGCATCGGTCATGGACATTGCCGGGATGCCGGGTCATTGTCATGTTTTCAATGATATAGATCTCGAAATTGGACAGTGAGAAGCTGTCGAGGGTTTGTCACGGTATATGTTTGATCGTAGCTTGTAGTGAGAGACTAAAGAAATTAAGACTTGATAAGTAAATTTAAGTCTACGTTCATCCTTTATTGGATAGAATAATCTGTCTTTAGGGCTAATATAGAAATTGTAGAACTAATATCTCACTGATAGAATGTGATTGACTTGCAGAGCGGTCCCTTGGTTCTGTGGCTGTTGTGGGAGCTGGCGTAAGGTATCCACCATCCTTTGGCTGTGTAGCTCAAAGTCTCCGTTCTGATTTGTAGCAAGTAGTGGCTAATTGCTGAAATGATACTAATTTGTTCTCTTCTTAATCGAAGTGGTCTAGCAGCAGCGCATCGCTTAAGATCTGCAGGGGTTGCAGTCACTGTTTTTGAGGCTCAAAATGCAGTCGGTGGGAAAATACAGAGCTTCTCAAACGATGGTCTCATCTGGGAGCAGGGACCCAACACTATGGTACATGTGCATCTGCTTTTTGGTCACTGTCATTGATCCGCCTATTTTTGTGTTTGTGTCCACCCATTGCTCAAATGTGGTCAGGTGTGCAGGAAAGCAATATACGAGTGTGAATGTTGGTTTGCTGAGGCATGTGATTAACTCCTAAGGTTCAGACCAGTGTTTTCAAAACTGTAAGATGAGCCGTGTCGTCAAAACGCAACACCCTTCTATTCAGGATCTGTTCTGTGTCCAGGTTCAACTACATCATAAGTACAAACATGATCATAGTGGAGTCGTTCGATTAGATGGTTGCGTATGGAATGTGTAAGAGAGCGGTTGTTTCTATCTGATGAATGAAACCGATTCTTTTGCTTTGTCTTGGTGATATGGCAGGTTGAGACTGAACCTGAAGTCTCTTCTTTGATTGATGAACTTGGATTGAGGGAGAAGCAGCAATGGGTATGGTCTCTCATTGCTTATTTCGTTATATAGTTAATTCCAATCCACTACGAAGTACTTTTGTTTCATCCTCGTCTAGGTATGATCTATTGAACAAAACTAATGAGCTCAGATTCTTGTCATGTTCCTTTGAGGCTAGATGAGTTGTGAACTGGAATGTCCTGATACTATTAGTAGTTTGATTTGTTATTAATTCTAATTTTGAACATACGTGAGCACTATGCAAAAAAGAAATGTGTCACTAGCTCCTGTCAGACATGTAGTTGGATCTATCTTGTATGTTCTTTTTCAGCTTTCCTATCATTCACAGGTAATATTTCTATCAAGTAGATGGAGTTAAATAGAGGTTTTGATGGATTTCCTTCAATCTCTGATGGAAGCACAATGCTCTCTGGCGATACAATTTAATTAGAGTTTTCTTTTGTTCTGGTCGTAGCCCGTGATGCAGAACAAGCGTTATGTTGTCAGGGACGGGAAGGCAGTACAGGTATGTTTGCTCTGCTCTTGTTCTTTAGCTTTTTTCCACCAGACACCTTTTATGTGGTTTTCGTGGATGGACGTGAACAAGTTGACTTTTGTTGGTTTTGCAGTTGCCTTCTAATCCTTTGGGTCTTATTACTACTAAGCTTCTTTCTGCTCAAGCCAAGGTTTGCTTCCTATCATTCAACTCTTGCTTTGTGGACAGCATGAAATATTGCTAACAGTGAGGATTTTTTCCAGTAATTTATATTACAAATGGAGTTGGCACTTTTTATGAAGTACGGTGTGAAGTAGATCTTGTAATGACACTCATACGTCAGTCTTCAAATTTTGATGGGACTGTTATTTAATGTAGCCATAATCAAGACATTTGTTTATTTCCTAGAATAGAACAGATCTGTCCGTAATACAAATTGCTAAATTTGTAAAACTGTCGTTTTTGAGATACGGACAACCTGCCCTTTCTGTGGTGCAGTGTCAAATTTTGTTAGAGCCATTTCTTTGGAAGCGTAAAGAAGTTCCATTAAAAGAAGCAGCCAATGGAAGAGAGAAGTCTCAAGACGAAAGGTTTGGAGCGAGTAGATTTCGATTCGCAGATGTTCTGTCTTGCACTTCACTAGTCCCTTCGTGTATGAGTACAATTATATAGAACCATGCATTGAAGCTGATGAGCGTGTGTGAGGATGAAATCCATTCGATGGTATTCGTAGAAATGATAGTGTGCATCTTGAACCACCACCATTCTTACGGACTTTCTTTTGAAGTGCAGTGTTGGGAATTTTATAACGAGACATTTCGGTCGTGAGGTGACGTTTCTTCGTCTCTCCGATCCTCCTGTAGCCTAGCTGTCCATATTTTTTAAGGACTTCTTTCATTTTTGTGGTTTGACTTCCATTTTACTTGTGAGTCCACCTCATGAAAGAAGATATGTTTTCTGTGTGTTACCCACTGCCTTTCCTGACGTTGTCGATACAGGTGGTGGATTACCTTGTGGATCCTTTTATAGCAGGGACCAGTGGCTCAGATCCTGATTCTGTCTCTGTATGTCTATCTCTTCATTTTACTATATGCACATCGTATTGTTCTTCTAAAAGTTTTCAGGGACCCATCTTAGTTCTTGTGCTTGAAGATATGCATTGAGACGGTCCCTTGTTTTTCGTCATGATCTTTTTTTGTTAAATTTCCTTTCGACTGCCTGCGTGGACCTTCCTTTGATTTCTTGTTACTCTGACCAGATCCGCCATACATTTCCAGATCTTTTTGCAATAGAAGAGAGGTTAGTGACCTTTACCCATAAGCCCTGTGTGTGGAGATATGGCCTTGTGCAATTTTAATTGCAACTGACGTGTGTGTCCACAAATGTAGTCAAGATTTCTAGAATCGCATGGAAGATAGTGCGCTCCTTTTCAACTGTATCACGAATGGTATCAAGAAAAAGTATACTGAACCTGATTTACCGTGCAGGTATGGATCGCTCTTAATCGGTGGAGTGAAGTCAAGTTTCAAGAAGAAAAGTGGATCAAAGAAGGAAAGTTTCAAAGTGCAAAGTGACTCTGCGAAGGTCACTCCAGCTCAGAAGCGGCCTCGAGGTTCATTTTCATTCGTTGGTGGTATGCAGGTACTTTCATCCTCGTATCATGCCTTGAGAACAGAAACGTGCTGGTGTATTTGTAATGTTTGGATTCGATTGAATGTGAAGGTTAGAACTGAGCTGTCCAATATTGGTCAGCTTCCAGCAACCTATGCTGTTTAATTCGCAAGCTGCCCTAAATTGCTGAAGTGATTATGGACGTTAAGTCCTCCAAGCTCGATATTATTTTTCATTAAAATGAACCTCTTAGGTAAGGTGTCCACATATCGAAGGGTCTCCGTGGACTGTATATACACATTATGTATGACAGAAATATATGTTTTTGGTAAATATGCAGACACTCGCTCATGCACTTAGCGAAAGACTTGATGAGGAAAGCCTGGAATTGAACTCATCTGTCTTAAATCTTGCAAGCGATCAGCAAGGAAACCCCTCAAGGAACAACTGGACGGTGACATATAAGAAAGAGAATTCGCAGCAGAAGGAGAAGCACTTCGATGCAGTGATTCTGACTGTAGGTTTTCTCATTTATCCTTAAACCTATGCAATAATTTATCTGTTATTGACGTATTGCAAGTTTCTTAGAAATTGATCAGATCTACATTGCTTTCTTCCACGGAAAAGAAAGAAAAAGCTTTCCCCTTCCACTTGATTGTCGTGGTTTCAGACTGGTCTCCTATGCTTTTCTCCTGCAAGTGCCAAGTGTAGGTTCTTTCCGATCTACTCAATGAGGAATTACGCAGAATCTGTAGAGGGTCTCTTCTTTTTGTAATATTTTATTTTCTGCAGACCCCGTTGCATAACTTGCAAGAATTAGGAATCGAGAAGAACGGGATACCATACGCTCTTGACTTCATTCCAGAGGTATCATCATATCAGTACTTTTGCTATCATAAACCAGCTGGAGTTGTACAATATTTTGTTTAGGTTGTGTGATACCCAACATCCCAGCAATTTGCTTCTGCCAGTAAACACAGTCTTATTACTACTCAAATCATGCAACAAGTTTCTGATTGTGATTGGTTTGAGACAGATCGTGTATCAGCCCATGTCAGTGATTGTGACTGCCTTCAAGGAATCTGATGTCAAGAATTCACTGAAAGGATTTGGTGTACTTGTTCCTCGAATGGAGAAAAAGAATGGATTTTTCACTCTTGGTATGTGTATTTTCTTAGTTATATGTCTGCGTTGTATAATTTTTTTTCCCTCGAATATAATACACTCTGAATATGATATAAAGCAACGATTATTAAACAGTGAGGCTTTATTTAGTGCTTTAGTTGTTTTGGTTGCACATTACAAGATAATTGCCCAACGATTTTTCATTGCTTGTATAGGTACAATGTTTTCATCATCTATGTTCCCAGATCGTGCCCCACCTGGTCAAGTGGTTTTCACTACTTTTGTTGGAGGAAGTCGAAACAGAGCCCTAGCATCTGCTCCGTTGTAAGAATCGTTTACTGTTCTATTCGGTTGTTATACTCGCCCAAGTTGTTAGTTCTTTCTACCTAATGTTGAAATGTAAACTCTTTCACTGTTCTCCTATGGCAGTGAGGAGGTGAAAGCTGTGGCTTTGGAAGATCTGCGGAAGATTGTCGGAGTTCAAGGTCCTCCCGTGGCTGTAAAGTGAGTCTAATTCGTAACTGAAATCAGTTTTGAACCTACACAGGTGATTTTATCCTGAATTTGCTGATACTTTGTCTCTTTATGCTGAATGTTTTGGAAGGCATATTTTTTGGAAGCAAGCTTTTCCACAATACAGTCTGGATTACAATGAATTTCTGAGTTCCCTGGAGAAAATGGAGAGTGACCTTCCTGGGCTTTTCTACGCTGGTGAGACGACCCTCTCACATACATTTCATGCGACTATCTGTTAGGTCGTGATATTATTCATAGGCCAATTTGTGGAGCCATGCTTCTGTTATATAGTAAAATTCATTATCCTTTCCGAGCCGGTTTTAGTTCCTCAATATAGTGCAGTATGGATTTCACTATTTCTTGACTCTGAATTTGTAGTATTAGCTTCAGTTGATCAGGGCAACTGCTGTGTGTTGTCTTGCAAAGTCAAGGGATGATACTTTTCCGGAATCTGAAGGTTATCTCTGAACATGCAGGTAATCACAGAGGGGGTTTGTCTGTCGGCAAATCAGTTGCAAGCGGGTGCAAGGCTGCTGAACACGTCTTGTCTATGCTTGAAGGCACGGGTGGTCGGAAGATCTTCACCATGGCCAGCACTAAGTAACTGCACCTCTGTGTAGACCCCTCTGCGAAATTTGACAGGGTAAGTCTGAGCTTTTGTGTAAACACAAAGAATGTCTGTACAGTGATTAATCACACTTTTGTATATTCATCTTTTCACGAGGTTGTCGGCAATCGGAGAGGATTCAGAGTTGAGTTGATTGACATATATTGTCGTAATTGAACATGAGAATAACAGCATAATTTTGCTCCTTGAATACAGCGCCCACTCAACCAAGGAAATTAATGCAGAGGTATTCATGAAAGCCTACCAGAATTGGCAATGGGCAAGCCTCGGTGTGTGATGAGAAAACTTTGTATTCAGATGAGAAAGCTTTTTAATGAATGACGTTCTGTTGGCCCAGAAACATGAACGCAATGAAGATTTCCAAGCAATCTTATGCTTACACTTATGCTTATTTGGGTGCCTTGTAATCAATTCAAATACAAAATTTACCATTTGCTTGTGCACTAAAGTACCATGGACAAAACCCAATTACTAATGTCTACTAATTTTGGTAAATCTCACCTGCTGTTTCACAATTAATGGTTCTCAAGTTCATATTTGATTGTTTGCAAATGCATCAACCATCGTTTGTTTTTGGAGGAAATGATGACTTGTTCCGTTTTCATTTTCTTTTCTTTACTTTTCATTTTTTCAACAAAAAAAGAAGAAGATAAATAAACCCTATATTATAATATTCAATGATGATTCACTTGACTTTGGTCCATGTGAGAGAGTGGACCTGTTACTCTTCCATTGGTGATGTTGCTGCACTTTTGAATAAATTCTTGTTCTAGCACTAGTGATAATGCACCATTCTATTTTTTCAAGAGTAAAACTTTAACTGTGAGAAATTTCTTTCTTTCTTTCTTTTGTATCTTAAATGTGTTTGGATCTTGAAACCTAAGATTTAAAAAACTAAAAACAAATAAAAATAAATAAAAACCTCAAAACTCCTTCCAGATCCTTCACAACAGCTTCCAGTACTCAAAAAATGGCCGCACGAGCATTTCCACCATACTTTTCCATTGTCCAAGGTTTCCACAAACGAATACTTCGATGTTTCGAATCAAATGAAGCGTTCCTTTCCGCATCATGAGCACATTACAAAGCCTTGTGGGGCACTACGCACTGCATTTGAAGCAGAATGGGAAGCCAACAACCTCGAAGCCTTCGAGCTCAGAGCGTTGCATCCATCCACACACTCACGCATTGGTTCACTGATTTCGATGCACACGGTTCTAGATTTCCAGACCCAACTGGGTGGTCCTTGAGTCTGTCTGTCTGCAGGGCTGTAAATGCAAATCTCACACGAGCAGTGGCTTCGATGGTGGTGTTGTTTGTTTCCATGGGTGTCGAGATGGAAGCGATGGTGTGTTGTTTTTCATTCACTCACTGCTCCTGGTTGGTTGCTCTCCGTGCACTGGTCTCGACAGACCTGCACGACGAGGACCACGTCTTGACTTGGAGACTTGAAGGGCTATTGCGACTCTGCATCTCACAATTGCAGCAGACCCTGCAACTCATTGGACTTCCTCTTCCTCTTCTTCTCCTTCTGTTTCAAGTGAAGGTATTGTTGCAGGATTTGTGTGCAGATGGTGTTCAGCAGCCTTGAATCTCTTGCAGAGCCCAGATCCACACATTAATAAATATAAATATATATATATATATACACACGCACACACACGCAGCTTCTTATATTTATGTGTGAATATATATATATATATATATATATGTATATTTATTAATATGGTTCGAGTAAGATTGTGTGGAACCCTGAAGATCTGTCAAAAAGGAACTTCCATGTTCTTCACAGGAAGAATGTTGGTGTTATTTTTACCTTAAAAGATCCCAGTGGGGAACTAGGAAAAGGTATGAATTTATTATTATTTTTTATTATTATTTTCGTTGTTGTTGTTGTTATTATCATCATCCTTTTTACACAAAGTAGATAAGCAAAATGAGTGAAGATGGAAGTGAAAAGAGGGAGAGCGTGTGCATGTTGGACATGCAAGTTTGGGGCGTGTAAAGGAATGGACGCATGCACGCATTCATGGGACTGAGGGACGTGGATCTCTCAACCCAAAGAGTATTTCATTAAGCCAAACTCATGGTGGGAAAAATATATATATATATATATATATAGTCCAAATAAAAAGAAAGCAAGAAGAAACTAAGAAAGGAAAAACCACATTGTAAGAAGAAAAGAAGTAGGTTTTTTTTTTTTTTTTTTTTTTTTTAAATGTTTATTGTTTGACTCATAATTTTTTTTTTTTTGTTGAAGTGGACTTCTCTTTCGGGGATGGCGAAATAATAAAGATATGATGAACTACGTTTGTTCAACATATCTTTATATATGTATATATATATATATATATATATGCACCACCCTAGCCATATTTTCAAAAGTTGCATGTGATATTTATCATTATTGATACTTGGTTTCCCAAGAAAAAAAAAAATATGTGTGAATATATATATATATATATATATATAGGTATATGAGTTTTAAATTCCAAAACTAATCTAAATATAATTATTTTTTAAGTATTAAAGATGTACTTAGGGACAATATCAACTTGGAGGTAAATTATCAGGAAATCAAGTGATTATGTGGAAGTCTAGTAGATGTAGACTTGTATTCCGTAGAGGACTCATGGCAAAAGTTGATCCTTCCTATATCTAATCTATTTCTCAATGAAGTTGATCGTTCATGGTAAAAAATTGGTTAAAAAAATGTACAATCAAGTGCTATATTTCCATAAAACTGATCCGTATTTGTAAGGGAAAACAAATCTATATATATATATATATATATTACCTTCAAGTTAATGCAAAATCATTTTCAATCTCTGTTTTACTCTATAAATTTATGTTCAATATTTTTTCAAACATATATAAAATTTATGCTCAATAATTTTTCAAACATCTCTTTAAAATATGAAAAAAAGAATGATTCTAAATATAAATATAAAATATGAAAAAATCCAAAATATGCATTCATATTTCAGATCTTTAAATTTTAAAAAGTAATTTTTAAATTTATATATTATAGTAATATCATTATTACAATTAATTTGGAAGTTTATGCATAAGATAGATGTCACTTCCAAATCTATAAATCCCTTACAAATATCCATTCATAAATTTGGTTTTCATTTACTTGCAAATATTTTATTTATCTTAAAATAAGTATTTTGTTTTACTCTAATGTTGCTTACACCTCAAATAGAAAGAACCTTAAGTATAAATTTTAATTATAAAAATGTATTAAGTAAAATTCTCAGTGTAAGTTTTCTGATGTGAAAATTTTATCAAAAAAACTCAATATTTCTTTTTTAGCCTTTCTTAATGTTCAATTTGACAAGAATAAGTTCAACACACTAGAAAATGTCATCAAAATTAACTTGACCATAAATTTGATCAAATATAAAAATAGAAATAACTCAATAGAACTTCTTTGTAGAATATACCAAATAATGTAGAAAAATACTTGCAAAAATCACTTTTTCCTTTTACTTTTTTTCTTGTTTTTCTTGTTTTTCTTATTTTTTATTTTCTTTTGTCTTTGGTGCCTTTTTCAGCTTTGGATGGATACCTGAAACAGGGTATGGACAGTGTCGTTTTGCAAGTGGAGGGTACAATGAGGTGGGAAATAGTTCTGTCTTATGTTATTATAAGACAATTTGAAAAATAATGAAAAAAAAATTTATATATATATATATATATATATATATACTAATTATTCACTAAAATATCATGATGTTACAAATTCAAAAAATATATACAAAAAATTTGGATAAGAAAAATTTGTAAACCTGAAGAAGAAAAATAAAAATAAAAATAAAAACCCTAAACTATGAACACACAACATAATATTAGATGTTCATAGTAAAATAAATAAATAAATAAATAAAACCAATTTACAAGGGTTTGACAACCCAACAATTATATTTTCAAAACGTCATAGGAATAGTCAATGATCACCAAATGAGGCACAATCAAATACACATATACACACATTTTAGAAAGAATAATAATTACAATAATAATAATAATAATAATAAGGAGTGTTTTTGTTTTCATTGTTTTATTATTTTTTATTTTTTTTCATGTATGTGGTTTTTGTCAAAATGCTGATACCACCACACCCATTTAACAACATCAAGTTAACTTCATAAATGCATAATTAGGCCTTCAATGTTGGCTTTGGGTGAGTTTTTAATTGGGGGGAAAATTGATGCCTTTTTTTCCATTGACTTCTACTACCTCCCAACATTTAATCCTTCTTAAATTCATTGATTAAGACCCTTCTCCACGCCTTGAATTTAATTCCAAGCCATATGTACCATGTAGATCATGCATTGGATACAAATGCCAATTCAATGGGGATTCTTCCTTTCTTATTCAACCTAGTTTGAATATATATATATATATATATATATATACATATATGTGTGTGTGTGTGTGTGTTTTTTTTATTCTTTTAAAAGGGGGGAAAAAAGGGCGTAAATTTATGAGCCCTTAAGGCTTAATTGTGGAAGGACACAAATAACATGGCTTCTTTCAAACTCACAAAGATGTGTTTGTTTTTCTTTTTGACAACCTTCATGTGGGTTCATTTAATGTAGAAATACAAGAGCAAAGAATCTTTGGATTATATTGCTTTTTTATTACTTTTTAATGATTTTATAATATTTTTAATGTTTTCTGTTTTGTTTTTTTGCATTGTGTTGAAAGTGTGTGGGTAATGAGCTGTTCTCAAGTGGAGAATGAGTAGGATCCACGTGGAGGGTTTCATCCATTGAATGAATGTGGTTGAATGTCCGTGGATCCAGCATTCATCCAAGGATGGGTCTGAGTTTGGCAGGCAAATAAATAAATAATAAGTCAGGACTGGGTCAGGGCTTCTTCCCAAAAGTCTTCACCGTGGATCGATGCTGTAAGAGAGTGCCATTATAACATTAATATATAATACATAATAATAAATATTAATAATTATGCACTGGAAGACTCTACCAGTTCTTTCTGAACACCCAACTCCATCAACCTAAAATAAATAAATAAATAAAAAGAACAGATTTACAAATCATTCTACGACAATAATAATAATTAAAGAAGAAAGAGGAATGAAATGATTTGTTAGGTTTATTTATTTTAATCATCGTGATCATTTTTAAATTTACTAAAACTATGATTCGTCTACTAAAAAGTAAAAAAATAAAATAAAATAAATTCAATTCAATTCAATAACATGAAACGAAAATAAATTTTGAAAAAAAAAAAAAAAAAAAAAACTTGTCATTTAACCTAAATACATCGGATGACGTCCTTATTCTACTATTCATTACCTATATTAGTTTCAGGTCTGTTTTTGCTAATTACACAGACATCCTTGAAATGGTGACGGCAAAGTAAATACGTTCTTTTAGAATTATTATTTATTGCTAACCCAAACAAAAAAAATATGTGCATGGCCCTTACAACCTTAATAGCCCCTAAACATGGTTAACTTACTGGCAATGAGGATCTTAAATTGATAATATATTTTCTAAAACTCTTTATATTTCCAAAATGGCCATCTGATATTACTATAATATATATATATATATATGTATATATATATATTGTTGTTTCACAGTTCATAACCAGGATTAATTATATGTATTCAACAGCACAGTGGGAAACCTTGAGGTTGGAAAATGACAGTGATTACAAAAGTTCACAAGGGAAATGTGATAACAAGTTGTACTGATAGATAGCTTTACAAATTGCAAAGCAAAGCAAAGCAAAGCAATGGCAGGAAAAGTCACTTTACTCACAATGTCCCATCCTCGTTTCTCAACAAAGACAAAAACAAAAACCCCATAACTTGTGAAACTTGTTTTGTTTTGTTTTTAGTATTTCCTTTAGCTCCACATCGACCATTACATGCAATACATGACACTGCAGTGGGGGTGCTTGTAAAACCAGCTCTTTTGGACACTACACCAGCTTGCTTTTTAATGGCTCTTGCTGGTATGGGAAAACGTGCTTGCTCACATTGCTTGCTACTCTCTTATCAAATTTAAACACATCCCACATATTCACACACACACACTTACTCACTGCTTCCATCTATAGTGTGAAGTTTGTTTAAATTAGGTCAAAACATGGGTTATGTATAATTGCGTAAGGAGAGGGAAATCTTACATATGATCTGAGTGCTTAAGGCAATCCTTTTTGCGGGACTTTTTAGAATCGCTTTTCGAAATACGAGGGATCGAATCCCGCTGCTCGATGTAGCCCGCCGATGTGTCACGACAGAGACGTGGGGTCGAACCCTGCTGCAAGCAACCTCCTGGCACGACGTGGGGCCCTTCGCCACAGGGGAGGGGCGACGCCCAAGGCACCGCCATCCTCAAAAGATTCAATGCTTTATTTATATATATATAAACACAAATTTGTGAGATATATTTTCTCCTTGCGCATTGGGTATTTCGATGCTTGAAGTCGAAATCAGGAGTGTGATTCGAATGTCGGAGCTATCCTGCTCTCTGGATGGGCCACTACAATCTAGCCTTGGATATATCATTGTGAGCAGCTTACTCGGTTTTGTTTTTATGTTGCTTTATGCTTTTGTCTCGCTTCATATTTTTGCCCTGTACTCCTTTCCCGCTTTGACACTAACCTATTCTTACAATCATCGCCATCGTCAAGGGAAGAGCTGTGGCGGAGAGTAGAACTCGTCAGCTGCAAGTCAATCACTGACTTTGATAGCTCACAAAAGCGGGCACCGTTTTGAGCCTTCTTGGTGAGAGAGCCTTGGCGTGTGGGATGTTTTTGCGTCGGTTTCTCCGGAATCTTGCCTTCGGAGCTTCACATACAACCATGTTAAAAAGTAAAATAAAATGAATAAATACAAAATAAATCACTGCGTGAAGTACATGCAAGCAAAGAGGTTTTCAACTTTGAAACGAGAACCCACATTTCCTGGCTCGTGTCCCTTCGAAATGAGGAACAAACTTTCACAGTATTTTGAGATTTGTATTTCTCAGGTATGGAATTTGTTTTGTTTTGTTTTTTTTTATTTGATTTATACTTATATAAATATATATATATATATATATATATACACATATATATACACACATACACATAGATAAGGAATGAAGGAATGATGATGTCTTTGACGACGTGGCCATGGCGTGATTTTCCTTGAGTTTTTGTTTTGTAGCGTCGAGACGATGATTCCCTCTGCGCAAGGAGACCAATCGAGTGGAGCATCAGTTTTGTCATTTTCGAACATTACTTGAATGCCATTTGGTCATTTTTACTCATGACATTGAACTTGTGCAAGACAAGTGGCGTTCATCATGCGTAACAACCAATAGCAGAAAGAAAAAAAGAAAAAAAAGAAGGAATTATGTACATTCGTAACGGTGTTACATATACATATATATATATATATATATCTTTTCACACAAAGCATATAACAAGCTCACAAATCACCTGTGAGGGATTGTCTTGTAAAGCAAAGCCAAAATCATTTGGATAAAAGAATCATAGTCAACTTAACAAACAAATTTATGTTTCTATAAACATGGCCATTCTCGCCACAGCTGCTGTATTGCATCAGGATTACTAATTTCATCCCAGCATCTCATACAGCATGCCAATAACAGAACCCAATATATATATATATATATATATATAAACTTACAATACAAACCAACAATTAAACAGATAAAAAAATAAATGTAACGAACTATAAGTAAATGTATAGATCCTGCCAGGACCAGGGCCAGCAAACGCTATCTAGGACCCCCCCCCCTCAATAGTGTCCGTGCCGATCCCCATTAATCCACGAAGGAAGCTTTCATTTCTGCTTGCGAAGAAAATCAGGAATGCGTAACTGAAACTTGGACCATAACACACACAAATGCGGAGGAATCTGTAGCAAGCCAATGAAAAAGCAGCAGCCACATGAATGGCAGGAACCAGTGAGCTGCTGATCCGAGCTGCAGGCAGTCATACCGAACTCGGAGAGATGATGAGATCGCAGAGGAATCTCATGAGACTCTCAAAAGAATCCAAATCGAAAACATCCAACTATGCAAATCCCTTCGCGAAGGGGCACAACCTCCACGACGACGACGACGGTGATGATGCTGCTGCTGTTTTCTCCCTCTCCTGGTAGCATCATCACCTCCTCCACCCCCGCAGCATTGATTTCTTATCACAGCTCAGATGCTGCTGCGGTTAACGTAAGTAACCACGTTTGCTGTAATCGTCGCATTTATGGCACTCCGTGTTGTTGCAGGATCCAGACAGGATCGGGTCTTAGTGGCAAGTACTCCTGTTTCTGTGCACACCACAACTCACTCACGAGAGGGTTCCTCCTCCAGCGCACCCACCTCGTATGCCGTTGTCTCCTTGACTCGCAGTGAGTGAGAGAGCTACGTCAGTGCCTGGCCGGTTGCAGGAACCAGGGCTACTACCACGGTAGCAGCAGCATGAGGGATGATCGACGAGGCTCATTGATGAAGGGTTAGTCTTTCCTTTCTGGCGTGTGCGTCAATGCTGTCGCATAATCCCTACAGCTTTAGCGTGGTCATGGAGTTCATTCACCCTCCAGTGAGTGCGTGAGTGAGTGAGTGAGTGTGTGTGTGATCTGCTCTATGCTCTCAACACCCGCCCGCGTCTCTGTGCTTTCGTCTCGCTCGCATGACCTCACCTTCTTCAATCGATTCCACTCGTAGTTTTATGATGAATCGGCCTGCTTGTTCAGGAATCTGTTAGCCTACAATCCTTCAACAGGAGGTCTTGTTGGTCTTTTATGGGAGGGTGGTGCTGTGAATGAGCGGCATTTATGATGCAACTCTCAAGGAGAGCATCATGCCTCTCGAACTGAGGGCGGTTTTTCCCCAGTGCTGCAGCTGATGATGATTTGCTTGCAGCCTTGAGTCGGTAATGGTGACGGGGTTTGTGATGTATAGCTCAGTGTGACCAGAGGTGTCTGGTTCCTTGTGCATGGCTGTTTCTTGAATTATGGGGACTGGGTTTTGTGTAAGGTGTTGTTGAGTGAGGCTCAGTGTCTGTCGCAATTAGAATGATCACGGTGGAGTTGTAATCGCTGCGTGTGGTAGGTGATGGGGCGAGGGTTGTAGGGAGGTTGCTAATTGTGGTAGGGACAGGGTCGCAGTCGGTTGCCACGCTTACTGTATGTTGAAGGAAGGCTGACCTCTCTCACTGTCCCCTCACCCACTGTCACATCAATCAATTTACTGGCCTCGCAGCCAAACGGCGTAGTTCCGGGCTTTCTTTAGCTCTGCACTTCTGGCAGTCGGTTAGGGGAGCTAGGTCAATATATGCTCTCACTGCGGGAAGTCGTTATCCCAACTTGAGAACTTGTCACGGTTCGTTATTGAAGTCTGAGTGAGTTAACTCCCCCCCCCCGTTCACTGACTTGGGTGATCAAAATGGAGCTACTAGTCGATCGTTCGAAGAGATAATGCAAAATGCCAAACGAAGATTCTGTAAAGAAGTCGTTTTCTAGTTTTTAAGCACTGTCAGTCACTTGACCTTTCTCATCACATTAGCCATTGACTTGCGGCTAGCTCGGTTACCGAATCTGTTACTAGCTTCATGGCCTGGCTTTCCCTTCCTCCTAATTCAGGTATCGCAAATTCCTACGATCGGAGCTGGTACGATGCTGGGTTTGCTGTCGTTTAGGACAGGATTGATGGACCTATACAGACTTTTGAATATGAAGGTTCAACTGTGAGCTTAGAAGGAGCTACAATGTAGGTCCAGTTTCGGGTAGAGATTGGCAAGGGGTCTAGATTTAAAATTTAAAAAATTGAAATCGACAAACGTGTTTGTGAAACTGATAGGTATAGAGCAACTAGGAACCAGGACTCCAGCAATGAAACTTTCCACTAGCAGAAAAATGAAACTTAGTGGTATGTTACCGGAGGTTGTATCAGCAGAGCTAAACTTTCCTGTGAAGGAGGGCTTGCACCTTGATAGCCCGCGGGGTCATTTTCGCTCGTTGAGGTATATTCTCCATTTTCTCAAGCTTTTCTCGTGCATCGAGCAAGTTGTCTTTCATGCAAGCCATGGATTCTGCAGTTTGAACAGATCCCTTGTGGCTACCAGAGTTGGTAGAAGGCGATCCTGAGGTAGTTTATTGCTAACACGGAGGTACTACGGATGTTGCAGTGCTCCAGAGAAGGCTCCAAAACAATTATCTTCATGGGATTTTTCTCCTCGCGCTTCCCTTAATCAAGCTTTGAAAGAGGTATAGAATTTAGTGATGGGATCCTGTTTTATTTATTTATTTATTTATTTATTATTTTTTTTTCAAACACCTGTTTCCTGAAAAAAAACATGAGTTTCATCAATGAGAATGAAGGAGACTAAGTTCCCTTGTCTCACTTTCGTATTGAGATTTACATATATTTGACTATTTCACAGAGTATTCAAAGCTGGCGTTGGAAAATGAGGTTTATGGGCACAGAGGACAGGAAGAAGAGAATCCTCAACAACCGCCGAGCTTTACTTGAAAATGATGTAAGGCAGACGCCAGCTCTGACGAGTTGTATTCAGTATTTCGTATCGAATTGGTCGAATTCTCATTCAAATGACGTTACATAGGGATGCCTGATGCTCTTGTTTCTTGACGATCTGGCTTTGAAATCGAAGGTAGCACAGCTCCAGACTCAGCTTGAAGATGAGAAAGCTGTAAGACAAGGCCTTGAGAGAGCGTTGGTGGGCGTTGAAGGTGCTCCTTCAGCACAAGTACTTCTGTCCAATTTAGATCCTCAAGTAAGCTGGCGTAACCTCGATTTTCATTTCACATTGAATCATACCGCGTTTGGTACTAGTTAGTGATCTTTTCTGCAATGGACGGAAACTTACAATCAGTTCAAATTCCTCGGCAGACTCAGAAGTTAATTACAGAGGTGAGTTCACTCGAGAAGGAAGTCATGCACCTGGAGCAACATGTCTTGACCTTGTGCCGGGAGGTACTGAACCAGAGGTTAACAGATCAAGGACAAGGATTACACTTCGAACCTTCAAGTCCTTATAGCCACGCTGAGAAGAGACAGGCCTTGGCACAGCGTGGGGAGATACGATTTAAGTCGGAGAAGATGCAGATGGATTCTCAGCCTAGGAACGCATTTCCACAGAGCTGTCAACGGAATATGTCAGTAGCAGCTTCTCAGGGCTTCAAGCGACCTCATTCCTCCATCTCTAACGAGCACCACAAAACTCGCCACAACTCTTTGCCTGGTGGCACTTTCTACTCCATTGACGAAGAACCTCGCGAGATGCAGGACTCCTCCGCAGAACCACCTATCGTAAGTTCTCGAAGATCAGGTTCTCTTGCTTGAGTTTTGTTTCTTGGTTGTCCAACAATTTACGTCTCCTTAAAGGCTTTCTGTTTACGTAGACATGATTTTATTTATTTATTTATTTATTTTTCAGGTCCCAAATATGGAGGCTACACCCCCGAGCCGTTCGATAAGTGTTCTCAACCCTGGAAACGTGAGTCCTGTTATACAACTCACTAGGCTTAAATTGGCTTGAACCTTTCTCTCTGGAGTTTGAACGTGCACTAGTTTGTTAAGCATCGTTTTCGTATTGCATTTGCAGCCATACTCATCCCTCCAAGTGGTATCCATTCCTGAGCATTTCAACCGACAGAGTGTGAGCAACGCATTCGAAACATCCACTGATCCAACCAGAAGCCTGGCAGAGCCCACCTCCTCGAACCCAAACAAGCTGTCTGAGGAGCTTGTTCGGTGTATGGCTGCTATTTACTGTAAACTCGCTGACCCTCCATTAACGCAACCGGTTCCCATCTCCCCTTCATCTTCCACCTCTTCCTCAACCACCGTTTCCTCGTCCAATGATCTTTCCAATGGTAGTTGGAGCCCTCGCTGGAGGACAGAGAGCGCCGGCTCATGCGAACTGTCTGGAGAGTTGCCAAGCAGCTCATTTAAGGACCAGGAAAGGGATGGGGGTTCAGGTTGCTATGGCTCTATGGTTGAAGTTCCCTGGATCTGTGTTGATAAAGACCGCCTTCCATATGCAGCTCGTGCTCTTCGTAACTTCAGGTACACACGTAAGATGCAGTCGTTTCTTTTTGCATTCATTGCAGGAACAAACTGCTATCACAATAGACTATTTAGCAGAGCCTGATAACCTCATGGTAATAAGTTCAACGTTATGTGATACAGAACAATGGTGGAGCAACTGGAGCAGGTGAACCCGGGGAAAATGAACCATGAGCAGAAGGTTGCCTTCTGGATCAATATTTACAACGCACTCATGATGCATGTAAAGGCCGATTCGACCTTGTTACTGGACTTCAACCCATGTGTTACATCACTCAAATTTGCTCTAGTTCGTCTTGAGCTGCCAAGTAGAGCATCGTGTTGTCGAGAACTCGCTTTCGCTACATGTGTTGTGGCTTACCTTGTGTTGGTGCACCCATGGCAGGCATACTTAGCCTATGGAATACCACGGAATAGGTTGAAGCGATTGTCGCTGCTGCAAAAGGTGCCCATTACTCCATCACCTCGTAAATTCTTGACTCGATCTCGTTAAACTCCTACTAGACTCGATGAAATTGAATGGTTGTCCTCAGTGGACTTCGTCACTTCTTGTGTGCAGGCTGCATACAAAGTGGGCGCTCACCTGGTCAACGCCCACACCATCGAACATAGCATTCTTGGTTGTGGATCCATCCGTCCATCTCAGGTAGCTAAGCAGAACGCCGTCCAGATTTTCTCCAAACTTTCATTACCAGTTGCCAAGGAAACGTTTTCCTGTTCTGAAATCGAGGTTGGTCCCAAGTATTATAGGTCCCCACTTAACTTTTTTTGGGATCAGCCCCGAATGTTGAGGGATATTCACCCATCTTCTCTTCGATGTAGATTCTAACGCAGTTCACCATGTGGTGTGATACCCCAGTGGTTCCAATCCCTATTATCACAGGGGACAAAGTTCAAAACCAGGGATGAAAGGCGCGCTTACGGTTTGCACACACCAGAGCCTCTCGTCTGCTTCGCGCTTTGCTCCGGTGGCCGCTCTGATCCCGCAGTACGTTTAGACCCCATCAAACTTTCCTTATTCTCCCTCACAATCGTCTCTCATTTCCATTTTTCGAAACTCCATGTCCACCCACAGAAAAAAGAAAATTCAATCTTCTGAACTCAAATAGGAGCCCAGACCCTGACTGAATCTATTCGTTTCACACGTGCAGATACGAGTGTACACAGCCACGAATGTGAAGTCAGAGCTCGAATCAGCCAAGCTAGACTTCTTACAAGCAAGCATCAGAATCCGCGGCGAAAGCAAGGTAACCAAACTCTTCGTTCTCCCGTTACACGAATGCTGCTTGACTTGTCACAAACATTACCAACCAGCAAACTCTAAATTATATTTCAATGGTGATGTGAATCTGCTGCTGCAGGTTCTGTTGCCGCGAATTCTCGAGTGGTACGCACGGGAGCTGATGATGAGTCCCTCGACGTTGCTGCAGCTCGTGGCCAACAATGTTCCCGGGCAGCTTCAAGCCCAAATCCAGCAATGCATTCAAGCCAAGCCCCACAAGAGCGCCGCGCACTGCCTGGAATGGATCCCTCACAGCTTCGGATTCCGCTACATTTTCGTGCGAGAGCTCGCACTCCAGTTTCCGGCGTCGGCGCAATAGGACGGGAATCCTCGGTGAATCTTTCGATGGATTATTCTTCTTCGTTTTCCCAGCTGCGTTGGATCCTGGAATTGTCTCCGTTCATACTGCGCTGAAATGAGATCGGTGCATTCAACAGACACCCAATTAGATGTGACCTGGTAAGACATTTGTGGTTGGCTAGATAGGGGCTGAGCAAACCCATGTCAAAAAAAATACACACAAAAATCACAATAGAACTAGTGTTGATTTTCGCTAATTTTTTTAATTTATATATATATATATATATATATATACATCTTTATGTTAATATATATGATCGTTTTTAAAATCTGGAAACCAAGGTATTATTAGTTATATTTGTATAATTCAACTACATGTGATATGATGGTTCGATTGTTTCTAACTTTTTGGTGGATTTAATCTTTTTGTGATATTAATACTTTGATGAATTAAAGTTTTGTATCTGACATGATTATTTATCAATATTTTGCTAGTCCTCACCTATGGATATCATCATTGGAAACATCCATGCAAATTTCCTTGCTGATAGATAGATAGATATGTGTGGATATGCATATAAATAAGTTCATTTATTCTTCTAAAATATTGAATTTATTCTAAACATGTTCAATATATGGTCTTCATATTTTTTATAGTTGATTTAATTCAAATTGATTGAAATGTTCTATTTTATTATTATCTTTGCTAAATTAATCAATATAAATTTAGAATATTATCTTATCAACCAAAGGCTCTTCGTGGCCATTGTGAACAATATGTATAAGCCCTATTTGTTGTTACTAGGAAGATTAATTCTCTAACCAATGTCCAAGCTTCCACCTTAATGCATCTTGGTTCTCATTTGTAGCATTTGGATTGAAATGCCACCATATCACATCTAAACATCTATAATAAAGGATTTAAAACAAAGATGCAAGGTCAAGATTCTTGGTGTAGCATTTATAGTTAACAATTTGGAGCAAGAAATATAAGCTCTAGAGTATTTTGGTAGATGTTGAATCTACAAGGGGATGTGAGGCAAATTTGCATGTTATTGGCAAATTAATATGTTATTCTTGAAGTAAAACAATCTATCTAAAAGGCCATGCATCCATAGTATGTACATTCAACCATCAACACATTTATTTATTTGATAAATGTTACATTTAATTACTTCCAACCCTATCATTTCTTTATTGCTTCTAAACCTTCAAAATTTTCTTCAATCTTCTGTGTAAAAATCTTGCATGTCCATTGCTTCATTTAAAAAAAAAAGTAAAATAACTAATTAATTCTTGAAGAATGTTAAGTGTCTAGCAAATAACTATATTAAAAGTTTTGTAAGATAGTTCAATTATTTTTTGTAAGCACCTTTAATGCACAACAAATAAGTATATCATAAGATATGTTAGGTTGAAGAAGTCTTAGCCTTTATAGTTCCTATTAAAAGACTACATGTAGGCACAATATCCATCATAATATTAATGATGAAAATCAATCCTATCAGGTTCTACATTTACAATAGAAAACTATCCATTGATCCATTAATTCTAATAGGTCATTCTTGACGTTACTATTATACAATATGACCAAACTTACTTTTTTAAATTTTTGGTCTCCACAAACAAATTTAATATCAAAACTATATTTTAAAATTAAGTATTTTTTATTATATTTAATAATATTAATAAAATTAACATTTTATAAATTATATAATTAAAATATTATATGTTTTAACATTTGAGAATCAAATAGGATATATTGAAGGATATTTGTTAGTTTAAATAATTATTTAAAAGAAAAATTAAGAATATTTACGAAGTCAAGTTATAAAAAAAATATTTTAGAAAAAAAATCAAGTATACAAAAGTTAATTTATAAAACTCTTGCTACTTATTGAGATTTTTATACAATATATTTTATAGGTTTTTTTTCTTCTTTTATATTGCATAAGGAAAATAATGGCTTAAAAATAATATTATAATGTATAAATAGAAAGATATTATTTTATTATGATTTTAAAATTAATGAAAATAATAATATATAAATTAAAACCATAGATTAATTAGAATGTTATTATATATATATATATATTAAGAATAAAAATATATAATTAAGTCAATATTAAATATATTGTAGATAAAATTCACATAAAATATTGTTATTTTTCATGAATAAATCAACCTTGTGTTTACAATGATTTTTTCGTGGCCAATGGCCCGGGTTTCCACTAGTATAAGTATATATACACACACACTAAAAACAAGGACACGTGTCCTACATCGGTTGGTTCCCTCCTCCTAGCGGGTTTTCCCCCACCGGGATACCATCGCGGGTGCTCTCACCCCTCCCCCCCCCCAACCCGCGATCTGCGTGAAGGGCCCATTTCCCTCACAGAATGCCCACCTCGGCCTGGGCTACGGCTTTCAAGCATTCAATGCCCCTGGCTGTGTCTGTGTGCACGAATTCATTCTTGGATTCACTAGTCTTCCATTGCGGCGATCCTTCATTAACCTAACTCTGGAAATTGCTCTCAGGTACTTCCGCAGAGCTTTCTGAGATATGTTTTTTTTCGAGCGAATGCGAGGAATTCTCACGGTTGGAAAGTTAGGGTTTGCGGGCACACGATCTGAATTTGGCGATCGTTTTGTTGCTGGAATCGTTACTGGATTTCTGGTTCGTTGGAGATCTTTGGAGTGTAATCAGTGCTCTGTTTTTTAAGGTTCCTGTAATTTGGGTTGGGCAATGTGGATTTCTTGATATGAAGCTTCTGGTGCGTGTTTTTATTTTTGTTTTCTTTTTTCCTTATCTGATGGGATTGTTATGGTGAGATTTGCAGGAGAGTTGGTCAGGGACGCTGGTATCACCATGATCAAGCTATTCAGTGTGAAGCAAAAGCAAAAAGAAGATAATGCGAAAGGACGGCCCGTCAAAAAGCAAAGTGCTGGCGAATTGAGGGTCCAGAAAGGTCCTTCTCTATCTCTGTCGTTGCCCTTCTTCTCACTACTTTTGCATCCTTCTTCTTCTTGTTTGTGCCCTGTGCTAAATTTGGATTGTCACATGATCTGGTGGACTTGATAGTTTCTTTGATCTGACCTGCTTTTTCAGTTGGCTTTGTGATTGAGAGCTGCTTACCTGCTTCATTTGGATGTTGTCTGTTGTAGAAGACAAGAAGCTCCCACTTGGTATTGATACTGTATATTCTGCGTACTTCTTCTGAATGTCCACCTGTCTTTCCTCATTTCTGCCCAATGCTGTGCGCTCCAAATTCTTCATGGAGTCGTCAGTTGTGAGGATTGTGTTCATCTGCAAAACATTTCGTCACATTGTGCATTATGTAGTGTCATAATCGTTTGGTCTCGCTTAGTGTTATTAATGCGGTTAATTTTTCAGATATAAGTGAGTTGAACCTGGCCAAGACAACCACCATAAGTTTTCCAGATGGACAGGATAACCTTCTCAGCTTGGAGATTACCATTCGACCGGACGAGGGCCACTATCAGTGAGTATCCAGCTTTTGTCTGAGATTATGCATTTTAGAATCTACTTTTTTGTATTGTAGATGTTGCACTTAATGTTCCATTTCATTGTCTGTGTCCATTTTCCTTGTATCATAAGAATTTGAAATTGAACTGAATTCCTAATCTATTCCTGCGTTCTCTCTCTTCTCTTCTCTTCTCTTCTCTTCTCTTATTTATCTATTTATTTATTTCTCTCTTGTTGTTTATGCCAGCATTTGAAGTGCTTGATCAGTATGATGGTTGTCTATGCAGAGGAGGTATCTTTACTTTCAGTTTTCAAATATCGCAGGTGTATCCTCACGAAGCACCTAAAGTGAAATGCAAGACGAAGGTGAGATTCTGGAAACATCAGTAGGTGTAATGCACAAGTTAGCTCTTGTTTGACTAGATAACCACAACAAGGGATAGGTGGTCTTGTTGTGGCTTTGATGAGCGAGAAGTCTGTTTAGTATCCGTAAAGTGGCACAGAGGGTATGTAGAAAGTAGGTTTATAATTTTTCATGCGACATCTGGGATATAATTTGATTTAGTATCCGTGCAGGTTTATCATCCGAATATAGATATGGAGGGGAACGTTTGTTTGAATATTCTCCGTGAGGATTGGAAGCCAGTACTGAGCATAAACTCTATCATATATGGTCTCCAGTATCTATTTTTGGTAAGCTCTTTGCGGTATTCGCTAAGCATTTTTGGCTTACAATCAAGAGTATTTTCATGTGATTTCCAGGGTGTGCTTGGTACTATGGAACCCTGAATAGGATTGTGAAACCTTGCCTTCAGCCAATAAACTAAATCTTGATCCTGAATTCTGAATTTTCGGGGCATGCTATCAGTTAGATCGTGGTTTCTGTTCACGGTGATCGTAGTTCCTCCTACTGGATGCACCAGAAGAGTTTGGTGCAAGGCCAGCTTCGTATTGTGTACGGTCAAACCGCTAATGTGAATCTGATTACAGTTACTGAGGCCTTCTAGCTATCGGAGGATTTTAGTGTAATTACTTGGTTCTAATTTGGTACTTTTTGTATTACCAAAAGCATGTTTCTTATCTGATAGATTTGTCTCTCTTCATGTTAGGGTTTTAGTTTTACTGATGGTTTTTCGTCTTGCAGGATCCCAACCCAGATGATCCACTTAACCATGAGGCTGCAGAAGTGCTACGGGACAACCCTCGACAGTTCGAACAATATGTGCGGAGATCGATGGCTGGTGGTTATGTTGGCGGCCATCATTTCCCTAGATGCATTGGCTGAACCTTATTGTTGCATTTTGCTTAGTTAATTTTTGCAGGTTTATGTCTCATCTATAGGGGCGCATTGTCCTCATCAAACATTGTAGAATGGTGTTGCAGTGAACACGAAATGTCATTCTCTTGGGATCTAAGCAGTTAGGATCCTGAATACTACATTTTAGTGTAAGACTGTCTACTTGTGAGTCCACACGTCAATATGAACTGAAACTTTTTTGTCATCGTATCAAGAAAAATAAGCGATTACGTTGCATTGTTAAGTAGGAAACAAATAGATATCAAATGCGAGTATTTCGAAATGCTCGTGAAGTCCCCTTTTTAGATAGTTGCAGCTTTCCGATTCGAAGTTGGGTTTCTCGCATCCAACTTTTCGTCCGCCTTAACGAAGAAGCTCTTAAAGTATAAGTTCTCAGTGAGACCTAAGCTGTCTGGGTTGAATTGGACACCCTGCATGCAGTTAGAACAGCAGTGCCAAGTAAATCACAGCAGATTATCTCACAACATTTAGCAACGTGTTGGACTAGTTAATGTGCCCATTTATGTAGAGAACTGGAATGTGTTTGCCTCTAGATACTCATGTCTGCCCTGGAAGTCCACGGCATGGTGAAATGAAGGAAGCTCGTGGAGACCCGTCAGCTGTGTCTCCACGCTTGTTGTTGGTGTATATGGTCAACAACTCAAGTTGAGCCTGTTAGCAGGCAGCCACCCACTCTACGCATAAATTTGGATTAGATGCAAGTTCCTGTCGTCTGACGGAAAATGACGTTGTCCCTGTTTGCCAGCAAAGGTGGCAAGGCTGTGCGACAAGACCATTCTAACTGCCACCTCTGTTATCTGCCTGGCCCACACCCTCCCTTATACTCCACAAGCTTGACACCATCAAATGCATTTAGGCTTCTATAAAGTAAAAAGATGTATCAGCTGCACCAAATCGAACCTCGCAGCTCCATCAAAATCCTTACTGGGGCGTGAATCCTATCCCACTAGACAGATCAAGAGCAACTGATTAAGCAGGACTACAACTTCATGTTATATGAATGTGGGAGATGGGTTGATCTCTTTTCCCCAATCAGACTGGAAGAACTCAAATTGCAGAAATCACTGGGATAAGATTGTTCAGTGCTGGAAAGATAGAAGTGGGTAGTAGTCAATTCCCATGCGATTCACACCGGCGTCTGGTGTCTGGCACTCGGCTCCGACTCCAATGCGTGAAAATCCTTCTGGAATAGGGTGTTAGAAACTTCATTCACCTTATCAAGACAAATCTCGATCCTGAATTTTACCCTGATAGTGACTGTGGCATAAGGCTCAACCTCTCAAAACTTTCGTCCATTCTGCTGTTACAATGCAAATATGCTGACACAACTCAAGCGTACCCAATTCTCACAGAAACCCTAATTACGATCCAATCCATGACGCCCTCACATTCACATCTTTGAACGAAACCGGTTCCCTACGAGGAATTGCGCCATCCTGTCCTTGAGGGTGAAGTCTGCTCTGTCAAGTGAGCGTACACTTAAAGTAAAATCTATCTCATCCTGGGATTATTTCAAATTGTTAATTTTTTTGATTTATTCAACCTTTCAATGTTTGTGATTTCATTGTTTAAATTTATGTAGATGCTTAAGTAAATTTACACCATGTATATTAAAGTTGTGCAATTCTTTTGGTAGAAGTATTGAATAGTATTATTGTAAAAAACATTAAGTTGGAATGTTTAAGCAAACTCTGACAGCAAGTTGTTTTTAATCTATTTTGCAAAAATTGGTCTTACTTAAGATACTACTATACAAAAATTAGAACTTTTAATGTGATTTTTTAAAAGTTCATACAAATAATGTTAGTTCAACTAGTCACTGTGTAAGATGAAATTGTCAATATATAAGTTAGCAATCTGATAATTATGTTGGAATAGTTTTACGTTACAGTATTTTTGTTATGATTTTTGAGTATAAATCAAAGATGAAATATTCACTCTGATGGAGTTATAATTTTATTCAAACAGAACTTTCACCATACTGAAGGAAGAGAAACGAGGCCCATCTCAAACAACGGCCCTATGACCGCTGCCGATACATTCTCTAAAAAGTTACAAGCACGTGGACGGCCATGGGGTCGGTCTTGCAATTCCCATCATGGGAATGTCAGTCTTGCACCTATCACCGTACCGCGTTCGCACAAAAAGCATGAACGTTCAAACCCACTACACCCTGAGCCCACGTTCCCCAAGTTATCGAAGTTCCCAAGCGTTGGAGCTCTTTCTGATCATTAGAACACACACATGAGAACATGCGTGCACTTCACGGGAACCTAGAATAAGTTAGGGGTAAACGTTAAAACCCAGGAGCGGAAATAAGGATATGAAGGTAAATCCAAATGGGACGTAGTAATTAATACGAATATTCTTGCAGGAGAAAATTTACGAGGGTGAAAAACGCAGGGGTGAATTTGAAGAAACACCCTGGTGGGTTGGCACGGGAATGAGCCTTGGCAGCAGACCGCGCCTGTTCCACGACAGAAAATGTCAGGGAGTCTGGGGAAGTGGGCACCCGTGCCCGCGCTGGCACCATCAAGTACCTCTACATTGCCGCCATTGCAGTTAAACTCGCGAGCTTCGTTTTCTCAGCTCCTGCTGTAGCTGCTAGTTGCGCTTGCTCGTCGCCGAGTCTTCATGCTCACTCCGTCGACTCTCACCATCGCTGCTTCTTCTCCGTAAGTGTGTTGTTCCTGGCTCCTCTCGCTTATGTCTAATTTACGAGCTTGCAATGGTCTCTACTCTGCTTGCCTTCAAGCAACTGTGAGTCATGGAGCCTCACGCTTGAGTCTGCTGGAAGCTTGTCCCCGCACACAGTTTTTTTTTTTTTTTTTTTTTTTTTTTTCCTTCTATACAGTTAATTTGCATGCAAGACTACATGGCATTGGCTTGGCGTCGATTTTCTTTGGGGTTCTCAATGTTGCTGGTTTTTACTGGTTCTTGTGGTGTTTAAAGTCCGGCCATGTTTTGGATGTTTTGGTGAAGGTGCGGCTGCGAGCTAGCTTCGTTCTGTTTTCGAGCTAGTGCTGACTTCGACCTGGTGTACAGAAGTTCAGAATGCCTGTTAGGGAGTACGAGCTTCTCTTTGGCTCTTAACCTGATATTAGAGTCCAAGCTGTTGCGACGTTGGTCAAGAGAGTGCCCTTGGTTGCAAAGAAGTTGCTGCATTTATACGAAGTAATGTGATGGAATGCCGAATGTGAACATGGAATGCAGTGTCGAAGATAGCGTAGGCATATTTCAACCTAAGTTTTTTTCGAAACTCTTTCTTGTTGTATTATTTGACATGATGCTCATTGCATCCTTGTCATAAAAAGGAGGCTGGTTTAACGCAATGTCGACGTCGCGTTTTACGAAGATGGCTTAACGAGGTCCTGCTTGAGAATTTCTTTGTGTTAGATGCACATCTGCGCTGTTTCTCGTGCGGTGGTAGTGTGCGCCCATAGTTTATTTTCTTGCTTCCAGTTTATCATTTACTTTCTGCCTCATTTTCTTGCAGATAAGATAACAAGTACTTAGGCCACAATGAGACTCCAGAGACAAGTTCTTATGACTACTGCGGACTTGATTTGTCCGTTCTCTATTGTTTCTAAAGTTTTTTAAATGAAATCTATTGCTCAATCTAGATCATCACCTTTAGAACTTCATACAGTGAAGGTGAAGATTGCATTGTCACTGAACTTTGTGTCGCACAACCTTCTTCATGTTGTCCAAATGTAAATCTATAACAGATTGCTGAGAGGAAATTTTGTAAGCGGCAATAAGAATTCGAGTAATTGTAAAGGGCTAGTTATATGAATGAATTAGAAGATTTAGGTAGCATATGTCGATTTAATTGTTTCACCCAGTTCCTATGACTATCTCTAGTATGTATCATCGTGGGCGCTTCATGACATGCCATACACATAGCTTGTTTTTCAACAAGTACTTACCATTTCATGTCTAACTAGATAGCAACTCTTTCTTTGTGGGCTCTTCGAATATCGTTGGAATTTATACGAGACTAACTCATCATGGATTGCTGTGTAACAGGGTCGATGTCGGTTTTAGTCAGTTGTTAGTGGTTGGACTGGGTGAGGCAGCCGCTAAATATTTGTGGAAGTGACGGATTTTTCATTGTTGACGAACGAATGGCGGGAGTCAACCTCTTCCCCTCCTTGCGAGGGGCACAACTCGTTTTCAACACAATGGTGTGTTTTACCCTTCTACTTCCTCTTGCACTTGGCACTGTTGCCTCTGAGAGTTTGGTAACTGCAGCAGCCTCAAAAGTTCCGGCAGTACCTGTCCCGGCACCTGTTCGTGCACCAGCACCTGCTCCTAAAATTCTAACTCTCCACGAAAAAGTGGTAACGTCCTTGCGATCAGCTGGTCACTATGGTGCTATCGCTGGTCTTCTTGACAGCCTCCCTAATAACAACATCATCAAGACGGGGATGACACTTTTAGCTCCAAACGATAACGCTTTCAGCAACGTTCTGATGAATTCCACCACTTACCTGACCACTCTCTTAACTTACCACGGAGCAGCGAAGGTCTACAGCTACGAGGGACTTTTGAATCTTCCCGTGGGCACGAAGATTCCATCTACTGCAGCGAACGTAGTAATAGTTGTCACGAGCAATTCAAAAGGCGCCTACAAATTGGATGACTCCCAAATTGTTGACCCCGATATTTTTGTAGACAATACGGTTGCTGTTCATGGTATCGACAACGTGCTGAACACGGCGAAATACAACAAGGGAGTTGTAGCACCTGAAGCTGCTCCTGCCCCGGTGGATGCAAGTCCAATTGCTCCTGCTCGTGCTGGTCCTCCTGCTCCCCCAGGTTCCATTGTAAACCCTGGTGGATCCGGAGGAGACGCTACAGATGGCCCCAGTTACTCCCCTGATTCGACTCCGCAGTTGATAAATCCGAATGGTGCCTCAGTCGTCCCCAAGTCCAGCCTTCTCGATGTTTCACTGATAGCGTTGTGGTTATTTCTAATTCCAGTACTTGCTTGGTAGCCTATAAGAGCCCAGACGTTTTCGTACGTATATAGTTTGAAAAGTTGTCACTATGGAGAGTAAGTTGTAGATTTTTGTGTTTGCCGAGCGTAGGCGCATCCATGCCCACATGCTTCACGATTAAACAGAACCCAAGCCCCATTCTTACACTAGAGTAGTTGTTCATAAGACTTTATTGAAGTTTGGGAATCCTTTTGTTGGTGCCAGCTCCATTTCTGATATACGTTCCTGTGTTCTTGAAGTTAAATGGAATTTTCATCCGTCAAGATCGTTGGCTTGTCGTTTCTCAGTACAAAATTCTGGTTCTATATTTGGAATGAAGTATTCTGTTTTCGAGCTGGTGTTTTGTGTTCGCACCGGATGAAACGAAATCATGCCTGCCTTCAAACATCACCCTCTCTAAGCCCAACCGTCAGTGTTTAGAACAGTTATTGTAACCTCAAGCGTGTTAGTTATAACAAGTTTCTTCATCAGATCGTGGAAAACAAACTTGTCTCGTTGGTAGGATCGTAGACAGCTATTTCGGAGACGCTCTGGCACGAGGTATCGGATCCATCAAACAAAGTACGAGTTTGATGGTATGTTTTATTTTTATATTTTATGCTTTTGTTCTATCATAGATGTTAAAGTAAGGTGTATTTATGATTATAAATATGAATGCGTTCAACAATCTAGTAATCATAATTATGTACCTACTAGTCGCATTTACAGCGTAATGGTATGATTTTTATGATTATATTTCTAGTATTATTATATACTCATGACAACAAATTTCAAACTTAATAACTTTCTAAAAAAGGAATACATTTTATGCTTGTTTAAGATTTTGAAACGACATTATTTTGTTGTTGAACTAGTTGCTTTTAGTGTTGTTACCAACCGGTAATGCACAATTTTCAATGTTTTATAAAATGCTCTCGCTCATCATCTAATCATCCAAAGAAATAATGTATGTTAAAGCTTAATTGAATTGTGTTTTGCAAATCTAAGGTTCTTCTTATAATGTCAATTAAAAATATAGTTGTACAAAAATAATGTTAAATCTTGTGCAACTTAAAATTCACTTTCAAAATTTCACACATTGGTCACATAAGACAATATTGCATACTAAGCCCTCAAAGACATGTAAGCCCCTCAACATCATTTTAATTTTAATCACAATAACATATTGTATCTCCAAAGACATTGGTGGCAAACCCCATAGTACTCTTAAATCATGGTTTCAATCAATTGGTTACTTTACTTCAATTTAAATTTATTTTCCATTATTTATTTAATTTTTGCTTGCTCAGCAAATAAATAAGAGCTTACCATCTTATTATTTTCACTTTAATTATTTATTTAAACCCTAAAAAAAACATGTCAAGAAACCCTTACACAATTTTATATATTCATTTAAGTGACTTGCAGCATTTTAAAATGGAAGTTATAAAACTAATTATGTATTCATTTATTTGTACAAATGCACTCTCCCTTAAAATTCACATCAAACAGACTATTATAAAACAACTATTATACAAATATTAAGACTCAAAATTAATATATCACAAATTAATCCAAAAATTTGAACAAAATCAGAAAATTTAATATTCAATTACAAACACATGTACACTGTTATTAATCATTTCATTGTACATTTTGGATGTTTCAATAAAAATGTGCACTATAAAGACCATTTTTCTCATCCCCACTCACAAGTTCACATAATAGATAATTTCATTAATCTCTTCCCACAAAATCATTCTTTGTCCAGAAAACTGAGCTACAATCCAGTGTTGGGTACAATAGTGTAGTCACAATGTAGAAGTTACTAACCTAACTTTTAGCACAGTTGAATAACATTGGTTTCTATAAACTGCTTCAGTTTTATTAAAAACCTAAAGCTTTAAGGAATACTAAAACCAAAGCTCAAGGGCAAGCTCTTGGGTATGAGCAGCCTCTGTCCATCACTCGTATCATGCAGTGAAAAATATATAAAGTCTTATGGTGTCATTTCTACACAACTGGCTCTTCAGGACTGGCAAAAACCTCATCTAACTGCATCGAACATCAGTACCATGCAACATCTTTCTCCTGAGCTCAGTGAGGGGGGGGCACCTATTCAGCAATAATGGAGAAAGATGTGAATTCAATCCATGTCACTGCATGTCTACCAAACCCTAAAAACTAGAAACATGCTCTCACACTTCTTCTGTAGCTCATTCCGGTGAAAAAATAAGATTTTTTTTTGGAGAATGACCATTTACAGAAACTTGATTAAACAAAACAAACTATGAGTCAGTCAGACAAAGATGCATGCAACATGAGTTGTGAATTCCAAAGTCCACATTCTAGGTGTTGCTACATAGCTATTGTAGACAATTGAGACCATGCATGGATCTATCCAACACCTACCATTTCAACAAATCCAAAACATCTGTCCTTGGGATGCACATGAAGAAGCAAGACAAAAAAAGGGAAAAGGAAAAAGAGAGTAGTGTTGAGATAAAACCTCGGAGTGGATGCCACGAAGCATGTTTTTTTTGTTTTTTGTTTTTCTCATATTCTCAGACTCCATGTCGAGCACATATCACTGCTTGCATCTACAAGTTCCTCCTGGCAAGACAAGGACAGCCACTTATTTCTCATTTTCGTCTCGCAATGAAACCCTAACCTAAAGAGATATGTACAATGATCAGTGGAACTGTCTACATCGGGGGCCCGGCGATGTCTTCTCGCACTTAATCCGTATCAGCTCCTTTTACAGGCATTCCCTTCAAACCCTCGGCAGTGCTATCCCCTAACTCGGCGTTGTCCCGCTTCTTCATGGTGTTCGCCACGTCCTCGGGCCCCTCGGCGCCTTCGGTGACCGCTTCCCGGTCTCCACTTTCCATGTCCTTCACTCCCGAGCTCACTGCCCCTGGAGATCCCGGCCCTCGCACTGCCTTGTTCGCCGTTTCGCCGACGACGTCCGCCATCAGCATTCTCGAGGATGTGAACTGACGCACCGTGGCCAACACTGAGGTCACGGGGGCGTATTGCTCCCCGAAGAACTTCACCGCCCGCTTCGTGTGAAGTCCCCCCCTAGATCAAATTCTTCACAAACTCGAGTCCTGCAAGCGCAATTCTGCCTCGGGAGACGAATTATCGAGCTCAAAATGTGCGCAGAGAGAGAGAGAGAGAGAATAACACAAGTGTGGTATCAGATTCACCACATGAAATAGCTGTGAATCGACACAGAAATTGGAGAAGGAATTGAGCTCTTGCTCGATCGTAGTCGGAGCATTCAAGGCGTCGTCGAGCAGGGGACGGGGAAGACAAGTGTCTTTTCTTTTGCGAGGGGTGTGACGTGACGCCACTTGTCACATGGCACGTGCCACTTTGCGGAGCCTCCCCTTGCACAGTCAGATAAAGGCGGGTAGTGCTTTAAAGTGCATGGCTTGCTTTAAAGCCATTTAAGGAGACAGTGTGAAAACCAATTTAAGGTGAGGATCCAAATAATTCCTTGTCGTTTTCTTTTATTAGACATTTTTGTGTGACTTCATACTGCAGCTGTGGGAAAGAAATTTGACGTTTTCATTTTAAAAAGAGAGAAAGAAAAAGAAAATAAAACGCAACTCTGTGAATTTATTTTTTTCTTTTTCTTTTTCTTTTTCTTTTTCTCAATTATCAATTATTAATTTGGTGCTAATTTCAAAATTTGAAAAATTGTATTGAACAAAGTTCCACGTAACTTTCATGTCTTTTGAAAACAGTGAATGGATCAACGAACTGTTGAAATGTGTATATTTAGATTTCATTACAATAATTGAGATTTGCTCAATCTACAAACTTTAAGACTTTCAGAGCACAAGAATATATTTGCAGATAAGGTTTTACTGCATGAATTTTCACAAATGAAATAAAGTAAAATAAAATAGAATAAAAAAATCTACACTAAATGAACTTGATAATACCTTCATAATAATTCTCAAAAAATAGTTGCAGACATTCTTGCAAAATATGTTGTAGGAAATTTAATAATACCATTTAAAGAAATAAATTAATGTAAAACTCATCACAATGCGACTAAAAAGTATCAGAAAATTAATTAATTAATTTTTTAGACTTAAGTAATAATATTCAATTGATTAATGTAACACATACATACATAGTGGGGGGGGATCAAAGTTGGAAAATGGTAAGGAGAAAAATAAAGAGAGAATGGAGTAGCCAATTAGAGAGATCTAGCAAAGAATCCACAAGGGAATGCAACTTACTAAATCAACTAGAGAATGTAAACTTGTCAGATGGAGAATAATTTTTGAAGAATATTAATTAATATTCTTCAAATACTTCGTTCAAATCACTCTCCCACAATTGAACCCCCCTTAACAAAAAACCTCAACTGATAAGGGATAATAAAAATTAATTAACAGTTCTGATTATTAAATGCATTTGTAACATACACTGTACCTGGCAAGAGAGTGTATCAATGGCCCAGCTACGAGGTCAAACAAAGAGAGAGAGAGACCCGCGTCCGATGCGAAAGCCCCGAGCCCGGCCCAGCCCTCGACGGAGTAGCAGTCCCTGCAGTAGTCCCTGCAGCACAGCAGCAGTAGTCCCTGTGTTGTTTTTTCCCCCTCCCAAGGCACAGTCAGTCTGTCAGCTAGTCCACGACAATGAAGTTAAGGGAAGTGAGTAGAGTATTATTATTATTATTTTTCTGGGGCCAAGACTCTGCCTCCGCGACTACAGTGGGGTGTGTGCTTCAATTTGTACAACACTACAAATGCTAGAGTATCCGTCTGTGTCAGATCTCTGCTCTGTTGCTGCTGCTGCTGCTGCTGTTGTTGTTGTTGTTGTCTTCTGTCTGTGTGTCTGTCTGATTTTGGGTTCACAAACCTGCTTTAGTAGGTACTACTGGGCACCAGTTGCTGTTGCAAAGGCTGGCCCCGTTGGAGGTTAGCAGTGCTTCACGCTAGCTAGGTGAGGGCCATGGCTTCCTCGTGACGAACCCCCCTTTTTCTCACCCCACCCCCTTTAACTTAGTCTGCGTTGATCCTGCCACTTTTGCTGCGCTTCTGAGGGTGTCTCATTTTTCTTTGCAATGTCTGAAGTCACAAAGCATGGCCTTTTTCTGGGGACGGAAGCAATTAACTCCTTGCGATTGGCTGGGCTGGGGCGATTTTTTCGTTCCTTCTTGGGTGATTCTTCGTTGAGTAGTGTCATGGGGCGGTGCACTGTGAGACGTCGCTCCTAGGGCAGGTTTTGCGTAATTGACTTGGTCCGGGTTGGTTTGGCGTAGAATTCGTTGGGTTCGTGGGTTGTGAGCGTGTTTGAAGGTTTTGGTTCTATCATGAGATGCTGGTGAGGCAGTAGGTGGGGAGCGGGAGTTTTTGAACCAAGCTGCAAGTTAGTTAATGCCGCTAGTTTTCCTGGAATTGGACCAGTTGGGTTTATCTCAGATCTTTTCTCTGAGGTCTTGCGTCTCGGGAATTATCCGTTTCGAGGTGATTAAGGTCCCTGCAGCGGAATGAATGTTATGCCCACAACCACTTGTATGACATGTGACTATAACCGTTTTAAGTGGATTACTTATTGCTTTAAAATCATGGTCTTAGTTTAGAACTCTGGAGGGGGGGGGGGTAAAGCATACATTTCTAGGTTGCAGATAATCTGGACATTCTGGACACAATGAGGTGGTTTTGCGCATCTTGAGAATGAGGGGTCCTTTTTTGTACTTTGTGAGATTCAAGCGGGTGTGGCACAATCTGTATGAGCTTTGAATTGGATTACCTTTGGATGTCATTGGAACTGGAAGCATAGCGTATGGCACGAGACGAAACCATAGCAGGTGTAAATGCGTTTTCGAGGGCAGAAGTCGAACTATCAATCTGGATGCCAGATCGTATCCTAGTACACCCATGCTTACACTCTTCACTGAAGAAAGAGATGGACTTAACTTCACTGATTAGCAGTGCAGACATGTGTTTCAGCGGTGAAAAATGTCGTCATCGCATTAGAAACCAAAACTACATGGGTGTTTTTGTGCCTCCAACCGTTCAAGCTGGATGGTGTTTCTGAGTTTCTAAAATTTGCGAATAGGAATCCTTCAGGTTTTGGATGAACTAAATATGTCGGTAGTAGTGTTTGGTCACCCCACAGTGCCCGGTGTTAAGATACATATGTAAAGCTATCGTGTGATGTGTGACAATGGCAGCCTAAATATCAATAATCAATATAGGACGCTATTCTTCATCAGCTGATCAGAGGGGTAGGTCCACAAAGTACACATCTTCTCTAGTTCATGGCATCTCTTGATCATTGGTGCTTGGTGCCTCTTTTTCAGTACAGTAATTGCACAGGCCTTATTGCAAAGACAACTGAACAAATCGTTGGTTTTTCTGTGTCCTTGGATGAATAAGTTGAAGTACAAAACTCATTCCTTAGTCCCGCAGGTTGTGGATTTGCATCCCGTTTTACAGTGTGATGGCGTCGTCTACGGCAAGCCCACCAAGGACTGTCGGGTCTCAAAATTCGAAGGTGAGTCGTACTGCATTTACGTTTGCTCAATAATTCTGGATCCGCAAAATGCGAGTTGTAGGAAGTTGTAATGTATGATTTGCATCGTGTGAATTCTATATAATGTTGACCTGGTTATTTTTTAGTACCGGTAGTAAGCACTTCGCATCACCTTGGTACTAATTGTTTTGGGTCGAATTCATGGTGTACAAGTGCAGCCATCATCAGCGATTGCAGCCGAAACTTCAGAATTACAGTCGAAGAATTTGAAGTTGGTTTTTGTCACAGGTGAGTGTTTACGTTCAATACAACTAAATTATATCTTCTCCCCCCCCCCCCCTTTTTTTTTTTTTTTTTTTTTTTTTTTTGGTTAGCGACGTACGCCACAAGCTCGTCATGCGTTTGGTGTGTACAGGTGGACCAGGAAGTGGGAAGGGCACACAATGCGCCAAGATCGTCGAGCACTTCGGATTTGAGCACCTCAGTGCAGGCGATTTACTGCGTGTTGAGCAGAACTCGGGCAATGAAACTGGGTGCGATATTATTCACGGATCTAAATGTTGCAGACCAGGATCTGTACAACACTCGTCGTCAGAATCGCATGCCATCTTTATTTTATCTATTTAAAACCTCTAATGTAGATCGCTCTCAAGCTCATTCTTACCCATTATTCATGCGAGGTCTTCAATTAAAATTGCTGCGTATCAACCAGGATCTCATTGACAAAACTTAGAATTTTTCCAGGAATATGATTAAGGGCATGATCAAGGAAGGGAAACTGGTGCCGTCAGAAATGACCGTGAAACTTATTCTGAAAGCCATTTCAAAAAGCTCCAACAACAAGTTCCTGATTGATGGTTTTCCACGAAATGATGAGAATCGTGAGGTTTGGGATCGAGTGGTACGTGATATCGCACCTTTTGACCACTGCCTTCGCTTCATTAAACGCATGATGGATGTGTGATTTTAGATGCTGTGATGATAAGCATTCTGGATGTGTTGAAACCAGAGTTGTAAATTTTTCGCGGTTAGTGTTGCTGTGGCTTGTCAATCGTTTCCTTTTCTTATGATTTCAAAACTAATCTACAACGTGAACCAGTTTAAAGTCCTTGATTGTGGTCATAATTAGATGTCACAAATATGTGTAGGCCGGCCTGAGCCCGGAGTTTATTCTCTTCATTATTGGTTCAGAGGAGGAGATGCAGAAACGGGTTTTAAGCCGAAACGAGGTAATTTTGTCCAATATAACATCAACTGCCAACTTTCCAATCCTGGATTGATATGAATCTCTTTGCCGCTCCTTTAACACTGTTTCACCATCATGATCGTAGGGATACGCTTAAGTTACCTGTGACATGTTATTTGCATCGGCGTTCTCAATTATTTGTCCATATTCTACAAATGCCTCTGCTACATGGATCTTGCTTTCTTGGGTTTGTCAGTAATCGTGAAAGTGCTTGGTGTGTTTTGTGTTTGGAAACAGGGCCGAGATGATGATAACCTTGAAACTATTCACAAGCGATTTAAATTATTCAATGAACACACCTTGCCTGTTGTGAAACATTACGAGAGTATCGCCACAGTACATAAGGTAAAAATGCACAATTGGAGCGTACTCGTTCGAGATTCCCTGCTGGAAGCTAGTAGTCAACAAACAGAATCAAATCTCTGTCCAGATTTTGCCCTCTTTTCATCTCCATTTGTCGCAACGCTGAACAATTGAAAAATTCCAGATTATATAATATTCGGGGTAAAACCTTCAACTTGGGCACGTGCTTAAAAAACCAAACTGAACGCTTACCTTAACCTTGAATTGCAGATAAATGGCATGCAGTCTATTGAGGACGTTTTTTCCGAAATCCGACCACTATTTGACCCGATTGTACAGGTATAACAAAAATATCTTCTCTCTTCTCGGCAATATTTCTTCCCCGTCATGCTTGATGTTCACTTCGACCCCTTTCTTTAGCACTTCAGAGGAAAAACCTTCGAAGCTTATTGGCAAGACATGCACCTACTCAAACAGGACGAGCTTCTTCAAGCAACTGTTGACCTCTTAGAAGGCCTCGACACTCGCAACTACGAAACTTATCGGCGCTATTGCCACCCTGCAGTGACCATATTTGAACCTCATTCTCAAGGCAAGCAACCAAAACCCCATCGTAAAATTTTTACTAAGTTTTAATTTTAACGCATGTGGGTAAGAATTCTGTTGGTCGGCCTCAGAACGACATGAAAGGATGTGTCTTTGGATTTGCAGGTCAGCTTGTAGAAGGAATGGACCTACGCAACTTCAAGTTCAATCTGGGAACATCCATAGACCGGCTTACACTCACCCAAAGGCTGCGCTCCACTGTAGTGGCTCCCAAAGTGTCCGTCCTGGACACCGGAGTTGCGCTTGTATTGTACACTCGCGTCTCGAAATACCAAAACAACCCAGATGCTGGCTATGTCGAAGCGTATAATGAGACCGGAGTCTGGCAACGGCTGAAAGATGAGGATGGTCGCAAGAACTGGAAGCTTGTGCATTACCATCGATCGGTTGCTCCCACCGTCTGATAAAAAATCCTCCTCCAAGAAAACTTCCCGAAAATCCTTCAATCTATTATGCATGAATGTCATTTCGTTTAGACACTGCAGCCATTGCAGCTCCCGATTGGATTCACGGGAGTGGCATTGCCACCATTGTGTGTTCAACACACAGCCTTCTAAGACTTTTAAGAATCTCGCATGATGATCGGATTGGGCGTTAATGCACGCACAAGTAGACCCTCAACAGTGGGCAATTGCAGCCCAAGTGATCTATGCTATTATTGCCAAAAAAAAAAAAAAAAAAAAAAAAAAAAACTTTTTCACGTAGCAGACGAGTTCCTCAGCTGAGCGAACTGATTATTTCCCCTGGCTTTTCATGGCCTCTTTACTCCGTCTTGATTAGGAGACTTCGGCCGACGCCATATGATTCACTTTAAGAAGATGCATCAAAACATTGAGATTGCAAATTTGATTCCCGAAAACAGCAGAATCTCCAACACTTTCAGAGCAAAGCTCTTCACCATATCAGCCTTTGCAATTGCATCTACGATAAAAGCAGTCTAGACTGACTCTATAATGCTTTCTGTTGGTTCCTTTATGATGCATGTTTTTTTTCACCTTGAACTTTAGAGTCCCCTCCTACAACGTTACAATCAAGTGGGTGGTGCATTTGTAGTCATTTCTCTTGTTGAGACTTTGTTTGTTGCCCTTTTATTTCATATATCTTTTTGGCTTTTGTTAGTAGAAGTCTATTCTTGTCTTCAAATGGTTTTGCTATAGAACAATTTTTCTTTCAATGATCTAAATTTCTACACTTCTAAGGTTAGCATTGGTTTAAATTCTAATTGCCACAACTATATGCTTGGAAGACTTAAAAAGTCCCTTTTTTCTTTCTACTTGTAGGTGTTTTGGATTGATTCATTGATACTGAAATGATAGAAGACAATATTTTCTCTTTTCTTACATACAACATTCAATAAAATTGTTCTTATCATAACAAAGCCTTGAGCTAAGGTAGCTTGGCTTCTATATAATATTAAAAATATAAAGGTATGTGATATTTCTTCTCTTATCTTGTTTCTCTATTTACAATTATATCAATTAGTACTTTATGAATATATCTCCAATTTTATGTGCAATTTTGAATAATCTTGTAAATATAATGTATGTTGTTAGATTCTTTCTTAATATCTTAAATATGGCCTATTTGATATTTTTAATTATAAAAAAAAAATCTACTTATAGATATTTAAATAAAAAAATTTAAATGTCAAATTTAGGTTGTAGTTCAAACATAACTATTGCTTCAATTAATGCTTCAAAAATTTAAGAAATAAAATTAATTATAATAGTAAAAATGGCACTTATGGTAGTTGTAATATAAAGTCTATTAACTTATTGTTGTAAAGAAGAGTCTTTTTAAGTAACCATGACTTTATGGTTACAACTTCATTGTTTTTGAAAAAAAAAGAAAAAGAAAAAGAAAAAGAGAGTAAAAAAATTAAAATATAAAAAATAAAACCTCTTTTAATATATATATATATATATATATATATATACCTTATCTTCATATATATTAGCTACTAAGAAGGCCTTGTAGAAGCTTCCCAGAGACAACAAGATTTGTGATTTATATTTTAAGTTGTGAGTTGCTTTCAAAGTGACTTACTAAAATTATAAAATTTGCAATTTTTATAAAATATCAATATAGAATATCTATAAAAGTCTAAATACCTAATCCATATCTATAAAAATTCTACTTATTTTATTTATTTCTATTTACTTCTATTTATTTAAGTAATATAAGTTTTATTTATTTATTTATTTATTTTTAACATTATCTATTTTGCTTAAAATCAAGTTTCATTAGGAGCAATCAAATCTTTTTATAAGTTGATGAAATCTAAGATCTATCAAATACTGCTAATAACAAAATTTGATCTATGTTATGTATAAATATATTTGGTAGGTCTTTTTTTTTTAGTGAGAATGTTCTATATGGTTAGCAAAAAGACCATCTATTTATTTATTCATTATTGAGACCTTCCTAACTATCTTCAAATAACACATTCTATATTCCATTTGGTGGAATATTTGCACCTATTAGTATCACTAAGCATGAAAATTTTCTTATAATATTGTAGTATCAAATATGTTCTATCTTTATATATATATATATATATATAGAAAGATATATTCTTTTTAAAGATATTTATTCTATTTTTAATATTATCTAAGTTAAGACAATTCTTTTTCACATTATTCCTTGCAAAAAATAATCTTTTTGCAATCAATCTACAATATATCTTAAATCTAAAATAATTTATTTGATTTTAAAAAATATATTATTTATATTATAAATTAAATATACATTATCTTTAATAAAAGTAGAAATATTTTTATTACAACAGAAATAAGTATCATAAATTAGCTCAAGTGTGCAAATATTATATGTATAGACTCATGTTTGCTTTGAGCCTTATTTTGATTCATTATATTTTTTAAATACCTTACCCTTATTTGAATACCTAATATCTTTTTTTTTTATCAATACATTTGTATGCTCCTAACTTTATTATGTGGGTTCCTTTAGTTGATTATGATTTAAGATAATTGAAGGTGGTTTAAAAAGTAAGTTGTGTTATTATTATGATGTCAATATATATATATATATATATATATATAAGTATTATAATCTATTTTAAGATGATTGGCTTCTTTCTTAATAAAATTTATATATTTTTATTTGTCATTAGCCATAATTATGTCACTTTTATCTCTATGTTACATTATTTCTTCAACATTGTTACAAACTTCATTACATCATGTAAAACTTTTTAAAGTGGATAATTCTCAAAATGCAAAGTTTTATTATTTCTTCTAAGCAAACTATGTAGATCAATAGAACATATGAAAAGAGGAGCAATCAAATGCATTAATTAGAAGCAGGGAAGCTTTAGAATTTGCAATTTTAAAAGTATTGGTTGAAGAAAGTCTTTTTTTATTTTGTGTCACCAAATCCATCATCAAATTACAATATCATCATCATTGATATATATTTTTTAATCTGTAACATAATGAATTATAGTCAACAATATTAATTGTTCCTTCTAATATTTACATGCTATGATATTTGTACCATTTTTTTAAGTAGGTGCTCAAAATTATTTTCGAACATATATGCTATATTATATTTTTTTTAATATTTTTTTCTTTAAAAAATCAGAACATTAAATTATTAAAAATCTAAAAAACTATTTTAACTTTTTGATAAAAAATTGTATATAAGTAATTAGAGAAATAACATAATTTTATCTATTTTTACTATTATAAATTAAAATATAATATATTTAATTAAAATTTATTTGACTATCTATTTATGAAAGGATTTAAAAGATATAGATTAAGACACATTATTTTATTATCTATAGTCTACTCTTCAATTTCAATCTATATCTCTTTCTTTTTGTCTGTAACATTTGTGTATAATAATAATTAAGTTTGAAGAATCAAAAAGAGCTTAACTACTTGATATTCTTCTTTAAATTTTATTGCAAATCTAACTTCCTTTAATAAGTTACATGCTATAATATTGCAGCAATGATTGTATAGGAGATCTGTGAGGGTAAATTTCTCCCTCGCCCCAAATTACAAGATGGCCTCAATTAAGAGTTGCCTGTAATTGGTTGTCAGAATTAGAAGTAGCAATAAACAAGAACAAAAGAAGAACACAAAACAAGTGAAACAAGTGCAATCAAGCAATTGTACACTACAAAACTAGTCACAATTTGTTCATTGGATTTTTATCCAAAAAAGTTAAAGTAAAAAGTAAAAAAATATTTTTAAATAGATAATTTTTTAATCTTTCCAATGACATAAAAATCATATAATTTCAAGTTACTATGAGTAAGTTATGATAGATTAAAGATAGAATGTAAATAATAGAAAAGTTAAGTAAATAAATTTTATCTATAGGATAACTTGCTTAAGAAATCAGGAGTTCGAGCCTCACCAAGGCTCACAAGTAGTGTATATTGGTTGTCCAACTAGGCCTTGAGGCCTTAGTCTTATCTTCCTACCTATACCCAAGGTGCTACAACCCATATGGAGATTGTGCACCTCTCTTCCTACAAGGACTACACTAGCTATTGGTCCTCCTATTTTCTACTGGTAAAACTATTTTTTTTTCATTTTTTGACTTCACCATGGTGTTCAATAACATCCAATTAGCCTAGAAACCTTATACAGTCTTCAAATCTTGCTTCATTTCTTTCTAGTGGCTCTCAAGGTGGTAAAACTCAATTTTACATATGTCTTGAAATTTTCTCTAAAAATTCATAAAAAATCCTAAATAAATTATAAATAAATTCTAAAATATCCTATAATATTTATATAATATTAATATCCATATAAGGCTATATTTTTATATTTTTTTGATTTTTTATAGTAATAAAATCAATATACATCTACTAAAAATCCTATTTTCTACATACATAACTTAAAAGACATGAAGTTCTTTTTCATGCTTTTTTAAACTATTAACTAAGCGTTGATAGGATTTTTGTAAGTAATACATGTAGATATGAGTCCAATATAGAAATTGGTCTCAATTACTAATCATTAATACTCAATAATGAGTGAAAATACTAAACCAACTAAGATAATTGCCTCCAAGACTTACTAAGACTCCATTTTTATAACTTTTCTTCTAATAAGACTTTTATACTTATAAATACTTCTAAATTCTAATAAATATGTAAATAGTCAAAAAAACTCTCTAATCTTAGTATTTATCTCATTAAATAACTCAATACTATATTTTTAACCAATCCACCAATTAAGATCCATTGATGGGACTCACAAGATCAAAATCTTAAAACATTATAAAAACATAAGTGTTTCTTAATGAACATGATAAAAAATTAGAGACCAACAACTTTTTCAAACTAAGCGGGGTCAAATACAAATTGAAATAGAAATTATTAATATTATATATATTATATATTAATATTAATAAAAAAAATAAGTTATACCAAAAAAAAAAAAAAAAAAAAACATTATTTTAAAATTATAACTAGAATAATTGCATTGTGAAAGACTAAGATATAGGTCTAATGAACAAGAATATAAAATTTTAAAATGTGTACTTTACTCAGTTATATAAGTAATAAATAGGGTTCTTGTACATTTTATGTTTACTTTGTGCTATAGAAAAATAAAAAATAAAAAAATTATAGAAAAATCTATATAAATATAAAAGATCCTCTAAAATCATACACTAAGTAAAAAATAAATTATTTTTACAAAACTTGATCTAAAGTATTATTCTTTTTTGATTAGTATGAATATTGTATAAATAAAAATAAATAATAAAATATGAAAAATAAATATTTGATTTTATTTTAGAATACTAAATTTAATATAAAATATGCTGAAATAAGTTAAGCTCTTCTTGTGAAACTTTTGAGGAATATATAACAGATGTTCCATACTTGTAGATGTACACCAAATACTTGCAATAATTCAACACAAGGTAGTTGCAATAACATATGTTATATATGCAATGTGGCCTGAAATCAATTAAAATAATTTTTATATTGATATGTAAAAAAAATTAAAAATCAATATCTGAAGGATAAAGAAGTATTATATTTTATTATGTTGTAGATTGTTGAAACGTCTATGTATGTGTGTATAAACATGAAAAATTGTTATTTTTGATATTAAGATTTTAAAAAAATAAAAATGATGTCATGTTTAAATAATTAAACTTTAAACTGTACACAACGACATTGACTTATATAACAAACTTAAATATGGGAAATAATTTTATAACTGTGCACATCCAATGGAAGACATTTAAAGCAATGTTTTATAATAAGATGTGTATTGCATTAGTATAAGTAGATGCTTCAAATTACTATCCTTTACAATAAATAATTCTAATGACAGATTAATTAAAATTATTTAAAAATATTTTGAACACCACAATCTATGAGAAAAAATAAACATTATAGTTTGTTTTGTAATTTTAATACAATGCTTTTTATTTAGTATAAATTAAAGCAGGTACATAGATGAGATACTTTATGAATAAAAAATATAAAAAATTACATGTTAATTCAATATAATTTCATTATTTTAATGCTTTGATATTAAGTATTTGATTATTATTATCATTATTGTTATCATCATTAAAAATACATTGTTCATATTGTCATATATACCACATTCATTGCCTATAGTAGCAATAAAGTTATTTGTATCATTTTATTATTTATTATAAAACAATGTGCAATGATGTATTATGTAGGATATTAGATCCTTTTATTTTATTGTATTTTTGAATGCATAGTCAGTATTGAAAATAACATAATCTATTCTTTAAAAAATTGGATGCTTTCATGGTCCAATGATTATTGAAGATAAACTATAAGTATTATTTGCAAACAAGTACTTATAATTAATAAAGTATTTAGAACAATATGTCAAAATTTTGGTATTTAATACCTCTACTTGTTATATGTTCAATAAACAACGTAGATTAGTCTATAGCCTTAGATTGAATATCAAAATTTTGGTATTTACAAACACTGAGCTATTATATGTTCAATCTAAAAAACTGAAAATTTCATATAATATCATCCAATGTAATTAAAACTAATAATAAATATTATTTCATTTTTTTATATTATTTCCAAAAAAAATATTAACAGATCATATTAGTTTTACTCAAATACAACATACGGGAAATCAAAAATGCCTCAACTTAGGAATAGTTGCTAATATATTTAAAATGGCTTGTTGTTATAAAAATATTTATTGAAAATGACAATGTTCTTAATTTCTTTTATATGTTGAAAGCTTTACATGTTGCAGTTTTTAACTTCAACATCTCCTATGCCAAAAAAATTACAATTATAAAAATCTATTTAAGATAATTCGTTTTATGTGTTTATTTTATAATACATCTTAAACAACATTCCATTAAGTTAAATAGTTTTGTGTTTAAATTAAAAAATTAACTATATATATATATATATATATATATATATAACATTCTATCACTTGAAGTAGCAACATCAAAACATTGTAAATTCTAAAAGCTTAAACCTACACAATTGAGCCTTTATGCAATAAAATAACGAATACACAAAATCATAAGAAACTATAGCAACTCCCATTATGCCTAGAATTATTTGTATTCTGTTGCAAATTTCCCACCCTTCATTTACAATTTTTTGCTTTTATTAATGTAAGATTGGCTAGTTTTAATGTAAGTTGTTTTTCAATTTGTTTTAGAAGTATATTCTATATAACCAATAGATTATGGTATTGATTAATTCAAGGCTTTCAAAACCATGTTAAATTGCTGTTAAATAATTGATATATATATATATGTGGAAAAGAGGATATTAGCAATTCAATGCACATTAAAAGTCCTCTAAATGCAACTATTTTATTAGATTCAAGATAAATCCTCGAAGGAGATTTGAAATATGTTTATATATATATATATATATATATGAATTGATTGCATGTATTAGATGAAAATTTAGTCCAAAGATGTGTCAGAGGATATAAAAACATTCAAAGTCTTTGAAGGATTCTAAAATACATAGAACATCATTTTATTAAAAAATATTTATTCAATTTTTTTCAAAGTTCTGTGCTACAGTATGATTTATTCATACACAAAAAAAAAATTCAAAATTTGAATGAACTGAAATAAGTAAAAGAATCATAACTTATTTCTTTTTTCCAATTGTTTTGTGTAACAGAATTTCCAAAGGGCATCAATCGGTCTGGGCAACAACGAACGCACGTTCATCCATTCCCCTCTGCATGCCTCCGCCGACTTGAGCAACGTGTCCACTTGTGTCCCTGGGCTGGCTTCGCGAAGCCTTAGATCTGTGGGGCATGGATTCGGTGCTCAGGATGCGCTTCTCGATCATTCTGCGTTGTTGAATGCTGGAGGATGTGCCAAATTCAATTGGGCTGGGCTGTGTCTCCAGAATTTCTTACCGCCTACCGGGCTTATTGTCTCATTGCGTGGGAGTTGAGACTGTTTGATCAGCTGTGGGGTTCCAAAGGAGTTCGCCAGATTTATTGGAGATAGGAATTGAAGCTATTTTCATGGTTTTGTTTGCAAGCTCAGGTTTGACGATCTTTTGGTCGTGGTAGATTTCATTGCCCTTGAAAGTCGAGTGTGCATTTTCTGTGTGGAGATTAACCCTTGTGCGGAGTTTTTTTTGTTTTATTTTATGGAAACAGTAGTAATGTGCGGTTTTCCTGTGATGTTTGTGCGGAAGAAGAGATTGATGTGTCATTTGCTTGGAATCTGGAGTAATTTTTTTCGCTTATTTTTCCTATGGGCGATGATGTGTTGGAGATTATTGAACTGCATCCTATACGTGAAGTTTAACTGGATAGTAGGCGTGTATGAGGTCAAATTTAGATAAACAATTGGGTCATCACAATGAATGGGAGCCTTGGGGAAATGTGTTCCGGTTTAGTCTAGAATGGACGCTCTAAACCCCGTTTCATTGTCATGGATTTTTCCAAAATAACAATTCACGACATAGTTTTTGACCAGTTAACCTACAGCCCTTCTATGAACATGTTGAGGGAGCTCGGCTATCTCCGATTTTCTTAGTAGGATTTTAGCTGATAATAATTTCTTAGACACCATTCCATTGTGTGGATACAGCTAGGAGTTGGGTTTAAGCAAGATAGACCTTGATTCCCTAAAGAAGAGCTATTGCAAGACAGTTATTCAGAGCACAATCTAAGGGCATGGAATTTGGGTTGGACAGGTAGGAATGGGGCACGGTATCGCGGTAAGCCCTGAGATTGCCAAGAGAGTTCTGTGGGTCTGTCTCTAGATTCCTACAGCAACTCTTGCTGCGCGTCTATACACAGATCCTGTCCACCAAACGAATACTCGCCGTGCGATTAATTTGCCCATGCCACCTCACGTGCCTCCACCAGTGGCCGATTTCAGTGAACAGCAAACTGAGGATTCAAGCTGAGCAAATTTAAGCTTCAGGTAAATTACCTTGCCACTAAAAATATGTGCATGTTTTATTTTTAATTTATACTAAATTTAGTTGGAATGAGGCTTTTCAATCTAATGTTGTGCTTTTTCCGGAATAGCCATCCACATTGGACACCTTAGGAAAGTATTTGAATCATTTTTGAGTTAGTCGAAAGTATTTTCGGCATGGATTCCATAGTCACTCACTGCTGTTTTCAGAGCTAACACCTTTTTTTTTCTCTCTTTGGTGCAGGTTTATCTCCGATGAGAAGGGGTGGGTATACATATTGATGACAACGGCCCATATGGTCTCTTTGTAGACATTTTGTACAGAGAGTACACATCATTACTTCAACGATCTGTTAATCAGAGCTCAGGGTTGCTAATTATTTAACTTTAATCAATTTTGCAGCTGAGAGAACTATTTTCCCTTCATTTTGTACTATCCGGAAACGGGTTTCACTACCAAATTACAGTCAATCATTGTCCCTTTCCGAGTGAGGTAAATTGAATGAGAGTCCACAACTACGGTTACTTCTCGGAGGGTGCGACGTAGAGTGGTCCGGCGCTAGTTTTCCTGCATTCGTCTAATATTTTTTAGTCACCATCTGGGTTTGCTGATGCAGAGGATTTTCAATTCACCTGACGACATCGCTCATGTAAAGATGTTTCTTCCAAATTCATGTGTATAAAGTCAATCACTTTCCGACGTAACCCCATTCACGGATTGCATGTCTAGAATCCGTTTCAAGTTAGAGCGAGGAATGAAATTTGCAAAGAACGATAATTCATTTCTATTCGTCCTCTCTGTTGAGATTCAACAAACAATGTGGTGCTACTACTTCATTGGTTGAAAATTCTTAATTACGTTGTCCTACAATGCAACCTATGCTAACTCAGGCTTGCAACAATTATGAGAACCTCTTGGGAAGCAAAAATCAGAGATTACTAAGTAATTTTTCGGTCACTTTGATGCAACTGCATCATCAACAGATGCCTTCGGACGCGCAAGCTAGAGGTCCTGCATCCGCTGTAATGGTTGCAACCATGGTGGCAGGCAAGGCTGTGACGTCGTTCAAAGCTGTTGAGTACACTTGAGAACCCAGCGGAGCACCGGAAGCCGTAAAGAAAGCTCCATTCAGAAAAACGTCACCTGACGATTGCCAGTTCCAGTTGCTAAGGCTCCCGTCATCCCCATCCTGTAGTCTCTTGCTGACCTGCAATCAAGCTCTTCGAATCTCAATCCCAGTTCTGACAACAACCAAGGCACAGAATTCCCGGGACGAAGAATTAGTTCAACAAGTAACCATCTTCTAGAACACACCTCCTTGTTGCCCCCATTCGGCGCCGTGAAGACATTCCCTTGACTTACAATGGTTGGCCCTTCGCTCCCACCAATCGCGTACATCCCCCAGCCCTCGTACATATTGTTCAAAACGTGGACACAACCGTGACGAATCCTGCAAAATCTATGCTTCATCACAACTACCAAGACAATCACGAAGCATACAACATGGTTACAGACATGACCAATTTCAAAGCCAGACAATGCGCACAGAGGGTACCTCGGTAGCCGCTCGATAAGCCTAGGGCCGAAGTGATTATATGCAACAGTGACGCGCATGTGCATGTCGAACATATCTCTCGGGTGTGCGCCCAACAAGATCACCTTATCGTGATCAGTGAAGTAGTTGTTAGAGATCGTGACGCCAGTGGAGCCCATGGTGACATCAACCAAGCCATCCGCGCCATTCGCGAAGTAGCAATGATCTATCCAAATGTCGTGTGAAGAGTAGATGTTTATGGCGTCGCCATCAGTTCTTCCCCTGCCTCCGGAGTGTGTCATGGAGCTTCGGACTGTGGCAGGACCAGTGGGAACAGTGTCGTGGATGTGCACGCCGTGAATTATGACGTTGGAGATGGATTGTAAGGTGAGGCCTGCGCCGCCAGCGATGTGGACGTTGAATCCTCTTCCATCTATAGTTTTGAAGCTGGTTAGAATGAGCTCATTGCGGAGGTGGATGGACATGTCTTGGGAGAAGGTAATCCACAAGGGTTCCTGTTCGAATCATATTGTGTGAGAATTTGAGAGATACAATCCACCAATCAAGGAATGGAACGGACGCTATTGCTAGAGCAGATTAAACTGAGTAAATTAGCAGGCGAGTCGTTGGGATTTGTAAAGAGGATTGAAAACCTGCTGAATAGCTCCGTAGCGCAAGGTGCCGGGGATTGGGTTTACGGCATCGGCATCGCTGTCATCAGTCACCACATAAATCCTCCCATTCGCACCTCCGACAACGTTGCTTCCAGCTCCTAACGCACATTTGGCAAGAGCTTGGCGGTGTTGACGCCACTGGTTGTCGCACCGCCAACAGTCGTCTATTAGGTTTCCTGTCATGCATTCACCCATCATCCTCCTAGAATTGTTGTGATTAATTTTCTTCATTCTGCAATTTCAACACTCAAACACACACATAAATATACAATTGTGAATGAAAACATAATGCAATATCTCCCGAAGCACGTAGAGAAAATGTTTCAAGTTCAAGTTCAAAGCGCCTGAAGCACCTTAACGTATCCGTCATGGTTTGTGTTGTGAAGTCATTGGACCTCGTGTCCTGCAAGTTTGACGATGATGTCTCATTGAAGATACCTCGGACAGTTCTACTAGCGTGACATGATAATTGAAAACCTGCTGCAAAAATAACGTATAGACAGAAGAAATGAAGCGGGTTCATGGTTTGCCTCCCCTTCCTGAGGTTTCTATGTTCTGTGTGTGATGAGTTTAGCTACTGAAGGCTATCAAAACGAGCGAAGACACTCAATTCGCAATGGTGTGTCGAAGAGATAGATGCTTCTAGAAAATGTTAGCCTCGATCAGTTTTATAGATTCATGAAATGATATCGATTTCAGGCTAGTAGTGTGAAACAACGCACCTGCATGTTGATCGCATTGATGAAAATTTATCATGGGAATAGGTCGAAGGTGTGTTTGCAACCCACGTATTCTGATTATCAGATGGCTCAGACCTTCGAGACACAAGCATTCTCAATAGCCATCGCTCCACGTGAGGTAACGGTTGGACCAAACCACCGCTCCGAGCCAACTCAAGGAAGCGCACTTGCATGGTTGGGCTACCAAACTGCTCGCTTTTGAAATCTTACAGAAAGCGCCGTGAGTATCTCTTGTAGTAGGTCCGATTAATTTTTAGGAATGTCATTTTCAGTCTGCTCTTCTCGAGTCCTCAGATTGTGCACAAACATTTCATAAGTATGGCGCTGAGGTCATGAATGCAATCTCTGGCCCCACCAGAGACATTCTCGTCAAGGGGACCAGAGTGGTTCCGTGAGCTCCAGTTACCCGAACTCAGCACTTCTAATTCACATCACAAATCAAGAACTAGAAGGTGGACTTGGGTAAGAAAAATCTGATGATGACGACACGGTAGCAATATTTGTCACATAACGTAAAAACACTCAACTTTTAAGTCCAACTCATTTCGAAGCCGATCCGGGATATTAGAAAGCAAAACCAAACGTGACCTTTCTGTAACTTGAAGTAAACTTCTCTACGACGCCGAGCTGCAAAAGTACCACCAACGCCCAGACCACAACAATGACATGGACATGCATTCAATAAAGTGCGCAAAACACACTGCTCCAGGAACATCAACGTCTTCAGTGGAATTTGCGAAAAATTTACACTTCATCGGCGACAGTCAACTACAAATCACTCCCAAGAATGTGTGAAGGAGATTCACACTTCAAAGACAGTTAATGATCTGTACCACGAAAACGGATTCCGAAAACTGCAGCGCAAGTCACCTCTAGAGGACAAATCGAAACTGGGTTTTTTCCCTCGATTTGGATTCGTCACCTACGTGCAAACGACGTCAACGTGAAGCTAAAACGAAGACAATCCCGCAAGAGCATTTGTGAAATCGCCGATCGGCCGGGAGCCCATCTGCACAAGGGATTGCGAGTCCCGCAACAGCAGCATGGCTTAGACGAGGTGCGGTTTTACGTCCTCCCACGGTGTTGCGCGCGGAAAATAGGACCCCCACAGCCGTTATAGGCTCCCTAATGTTCCCATGTTCCCAATCGACAATGTTCTTAACGTTCCCATATTCCCTCAGGTTCTCATGTTCCCCGGAGGCCATATTGGAGGTTGAAGCCCTAACTGATGTTTTTGCTTTGGATCTTCCCTCGCGCGGTTGCTCCCGCTAGTTCTCGTCACAGCCAGCTCTACCGTCGAGCGTGATCACTCTCAGTCATGGTGGAACGCAAGGGAGAACGCGTCAGGTTGTGTCCTTATTCCTGAAAAATTCGGAAACGTGCCCTTTTCGTTGTCTTTTTCGGCTTTTTTGGCTTAAGATTGGAGGGGTATTCTCGGGGCACAATATTATTCATGCCCGAATTTTGTGACAATGGCACCTAGGAAGGTTGTTTTTACAGGAAGTTTTGTGCTTACCAATCATGCCATGACGTCGAATGTTTTGGAAATCCTAGTCGGGCTGGAGTTTAGGGTTTAGGGTTTCTCATGGTTCTAATTAGTTGGTTGTTACGGTGGTTTATCAGATTATACGTGCGTGGAACCGTTCTTGGATACAAGAGGTAGTGCCTTTGCTGATTCTCTTCAGTTATTCTGCTGGTGATAGTTTGAACGTTTTGTGTTGCTTGATATAGCCTTGTACCTCTTCTCACTGAAGAGGATATCTTCTTGATTTGGTTTGCAGTAGTGTTTCTATTGCGTTAACTTTTTTTAACCCTAATCAATCCCGTAGCGTTTTAGTGGTTATTCGAGTGTAATGTCTTGAATTCGTTTGAAAGTAGTGCAAAATTGTGTATAGCGAGCTCTACTCGTGCATGGAATCACTACCAAGTTGATTCTCATTCGTGCGTACTGTGTATTTTCCACGTATGTTATCTGCAAGTCCGTAATGTAATTTTTGTGTTGGTACTGAATTGAAGATCTGGTTGTTTGCAGGTCCAAGTGCAACCAGTACCCAAGCACCTCACTCCTCCAGATTGAGGGTGTTAACACATCTGATGAGGTCAACTGGTACCTCGGAAAGAGGTTGGCTTATGTGTACAAGGCCAAGACCAAGAAGAATGGATCCCAGTTTCGCTGCGTCTGGGGCAAGGTTGCCCGCCCCCACGGTAGCAGTGGAGTTGTTCGTGCCAGGTTCAGGAATAACCTTCCCCCTTCATCCCTCGTAAGTTCCCCCTCTCAACTGATTCTTACCACTAGTCTGTCCCTCTACTTTTGTTTCACGGAGTTTGTAATTATTGCTTCTGTAGAGTCCACATCTGCTCATGTGTATTATGGTTTATACCTTAGTTTCGACTTACGTGCTGTTTCTCCGATGCTTCTTGTTTTGACTAAGATTCGCGTGTGCATCGCTGGAAAAAGTAATTCCCCTGCTGTCTTTGGTATCTGCAGGGTGCCAGAGTTAGGGTGTTCATGTACCCCAGTCGTATTTGAAGAGGTGAGCCTTTTGTAGTTTATTGGTTATGTTCGAAATCTAGATGGAATGCCTATGTAAAAATCCATTCATCCTCCTGTTTAAAGAGTTGCGAAGATGGTAGTTTTACAGAGATCTTGTTGTGGGTGCTGTTTTAGACGGTCCGTGTTTTCGTTCCCTGATGTATCTTAACAGATCTCAATATTTGATTATGTGCAGAATTTTTCGGTACTCCCTAGGTATGAGGCGCAAATAGTGGGCCACTCGGTGAGCGTAGGAATCCTGGAGAGAAATGCTCAGTTTTTAGAGCAAAGCATCTAGGAACCTTGCCGATGCTTGAGAGCGTGTGGGTAGCGGCACTTTTCTCTGTTTCGAAAAGCTCCGTATGCATATTTGACATCGAAAATTTCTGTCCTAGTCTCTCAAGACTGCCCTATCTCACGAACCCATTATTAATCTTTATCATATTCTTTTAGAATGTGAAATTAAAAAAAAAAATCTTCCAAAAAATTCTTGTATACCATCCCAGACGCTTCGATTCTATATAATTGATCCGTCGTTGCTCTCGTTGGATATTATCCTTCGGTCTTCCATTCTTGTGCTAGCAGACAAATTCACGAGCACGACTAAAGCGGTTGACCTGTCCTTTCCGAACCTCAAATCCTTCATCACAATCTTCTCAAACGTTGGAACTTCACATTCACAATCTTTACCGCCACCTGGATTTTGAACACTAGGGGAGCACACGACAAATCGAGCCTGAATATGGTGATTGGCCTTCATCTTGATTATGACTTATTTGATAACCAGCTGATATAGGAGGATGAGAAGAATCTTTTCCGTTACGATAGCGCATACATGTTTATATCGGAATAATCCCTAATTGCTATCCTTATCCGTGATATACTGCAATCGTATTCCGTCGTTCTGTGGATTAGCATAATGACGTCCCCATGCATGGACAATTTCCACCTGGGTCGTTGTCGAAGGGATTGACGACCCTCTCCGAATTCGGTACGAGCAAATTCCCAGCAAGGAAAAAATAAAATTCTTTGTCGCCACGTATGATTCTATCAACGCACTTTATCAGGAGTAAGTTAATCCGAATCCAGATGAGCTGGAGTTCGACAATCCGGATCTCGTTATCGCTCATGTCCGGGCTGAGGACTCATCCACACAAACAGGTAGCTCTCCCAGTTCATCCACTCTCACGTCTTTCTCCAGTGGGTGTTGGGTTGTTGGAGGGGCGAAGGAGGCAGCCATTCCTTCAAGGATTTGATTGTAAGTCTAAACAGGAGGCTCGCGAGATTGCAACGACTGGTACACAGGCTAGTGGAGTGGCAGATTAAGGGATTGGCGGCTATGGCGCTCGCAGCTGTAGGGCGGTTTGCCGTGACCGGCAGTTCTCTACAGAGTGTGATCGGGAGTGAGAAGCAGTGCGTTGTGGCCGCACCAGCGGAGCGCATCAGCATCTCTTCTAGGCGCTCTAGCATTGCAGCTCCGCTTCGGGAATGTATCATTACTGGGTTGGCCCCTGTTACACGGACCTTTCAGCCTCGTGCGGTTACGGCTGATTATTTGGGAGAGGAATCTGAGGTTTTAGATGCGGAGAATGAGGTTGAGGAGGAAGCGGACAACCCTTTAGTTCCCAGTGCATTTGAGGTTAGGATTTGCAAAAATCTACGCTCATTTGTTTCCCACTACGTTGTCACGATGTTTGTGTATTCAGCTTGAATGTTTTCTTGATGGGAAACTGACAGGGATAGCCTCATTGTTATCCAGGTTCAGAATTTGCTCATGCAGGTCTGTGATGAGACCTCTAACATCGCCGAGGTTCAGCTGAAGGTGCAATAGCCAGCCATTGCTTTGAAATGTCTTGTAGGTTATCTGGATGTCTGTAGAGGTCTATGCATTGATTTTTCGTATGAGAAATCGGCTAGTTATGTGTGTGTCTTTACATTCCTCTCGGGAGTACTTACGAATTGTTCGGAGGGTTTTGTGTATTTATTTCAGGGCTCGATGCATCCACAAGCCATACTTAACTTAAGGTAGTGTTGGTTTACAGGTTGGGTCCTTCAGTCTGCGAGTCAAGAGGAAAATTGGCAAGGCAGCACCGGCTCCAAAGCCAGTAGCAGCAGGACCTCCAGTATTAGGCAAGCCTATGGTTGAATCCATTCCAGCTGACTCTGTTCCAACCGCCCCTGCTCCCAAGTCCACGAAGCTCACCAAGAACACCGCCCTCTCTGCAGCGTCGCTGAAGCCCGTCTCAAATTTTGGTCTCATGGAAGCAGCTGCTGATGCTGGGATAGTTTTCGTCACCTCCCCAAAGGTGATACATGCTTTTGCTTGCTTTCTTTAAAAGGGTTACACTTACTTGGTCGTAGCCCTCGATTTACTGCTTCAGGACTCTTCCCTGCGGATATGATCCTGCTAGCCAGGTGGTTTATGGGTGCCCGATTATACTTCACACAGTTAACTGTATTTGGCTATTGTATACATCCCTTCAGCGTTTATCACTTTCGTCGGAAACTGGGGAATAGATTTGCTAAGGTCAGTTGCGACTTCTCTTCCAAAGGAAGCAGTGGATAACTTTAAGTAGCAATGGAGTAAAGCTTTTATCCCTCTTCAACGTGCAAAATCTTACTTCATGGGTCGGTGTTATAGATTCATAAATACGTTATAGTTACCTCTACTTTGTTTAACTAGGTCCTTTTGATAGCCATCCTGAGGAATCGAATTCATTCTCGCCTTCGACAATTTATTCGCATTGAAACTAATCTCGATGGTAGAGTGTGTATTTTAGTACAATATACTGCAGCTGTCTCTGCTATTAGATTAACGTCATGGAATAGTTGCACTACCTAGGCCAAACCCCCTGTATATTACTCTATAATTGTTATCTACCCCATAATGCATGAGTTGGCAATTCTTAGATTTGTGTACTTGTTGGGTGATCAGGTTGGGCTCTTCAGAAAAGGAAGAACTGTGAAGGGAAGAAGTGGTCCTCCACTGTGCGAGGAGGTATTCTTTCTTTTACAAGCTATACAAGATTCGATTTGTCCTATTAGAATTGGACCTACTTTGTTCTGAATATGGTATTCTTTGTAAAAGTGAGAGCGGTTATCCGCATGAAGACGGTATAGATGCAGTATTACGTTTGCATCAACAGGTCATTATCAGCTGAAGAAAAATATGGTTTCCTAAATCATAGTGAGCTTAAAGAACATGAATTATGGATGTTGGTAATGATACACGATCAATTTCTGGAATCTATATTTATGTTTATGAAACTAACCTCTTTTTCCTTTTCTTTACACTTCCTAAGGGTCAAGTAATCAAGAAGGGACAAGTGGTGTGCTACTTAGAGCAGCTTGGCACACAACAACCTGTAGAGGTATGTTATAAATTTTAGCAGTTACTACAAAGTTCTTATTTGTGAATTCCAATTAGGTTTTTTTCTGGTTTTCTTTTATTGTTTATAGAGTTCTGTCTGCTATGTATTAGATTTTATTACAAGTCAATGCACAAGTGAAACGTCCATCTGTTGTATTTTTTTTGTCGCATCAACTCGGTAGACGTTGGTATGGGAGTCGCACGTAGAGGTGACGTAGAAACTATTTCTTAGCAGCAATTGCATCTTGAGATCAAGTTTCTTGCTTCTGCAGGCTGAGGTTACTGGTGAAGTCGAGAAAGTTCTGTGGGAAGATGGAGGTATGTGATTCATTTTGTTCTTTCTTTTCTTTCGACGGTATTCTTTTAGAGTCAAAGAGCGAAATTTTCCTCTGTGCGATATGAGCACCTCATCTGCGCAACAGTTCCAAAAACAACTGAAACAATATGTACACTAGCTCTCTTATTTCTAGTGCTGTTGCCTAAACCTTCGTAGTAATCTTTACATTCTGCTGTGCTAGTGAGAAACCCGCTAGTTATATGGAAATTGGTGCAGCAGGGTCGTGATCACTTTGTTATATATTGCATAAGCTCTGCAAGCATTTATTCAATGCCCCTCGAAAGTCTTTGCTAAACTCCTGACGTTTATTTTTGCAGCACCTGTTGGTTATGGAGATCCTTTAATTGCTATCAGGCCATCCTTTCCTGGAATTAAGGTTAAAGGACAGATACAGTAGCACTTAAATAGATATTTCGTTCTCTGATTTTCTTCGCAGCATTATGCTTCGTGAGTTTTCTTCACCATTTCCAGAAGCCGTGTAGGAATTTTCTTAAATGCCTGCTGTGGTAATTGGATAGTGGATAATCAGGTGCTTTTATGAGCTTGCATCATGCGTTGAAGCAGACAGCAAATTACACTTTGTGTGGTTTGTATCATCTTCAATAGTATTATCTCGGTGTATTCCAGCCTAGCGTATACATGTTAATGTCGGTATTCTCTGCAGTGGTATCTCAATGACCACGAGGTTTTTACTTTTGAATCATCGAACTAAGTCTGTACTATCTTAAATTATCTCCTGACATTCTGGACATTAATAACAGTAAAGAAAAAACAACAAACAATGAGATTCGATGCAAGTAACATTTGTCTTTGCACACTATAAATACCCATAATAAGGTGCATTTTAGAAGTAAAGACCATCTGCTGTTTACCTTTTGTCAGATTATGATCACCAAAGTCTTGGTTAATCTGAACATGCCCTGTTTTGCTTCTATTTGTAGAGCACAAGCAACAATGAAGTCATTTTAGCACATAATTCTGTCATACAATCTTTTGTCATACATTATTCAAGTCCAGTCAGAGTTGATTCAGGCTACGCACCAAGCTTTGTCTCCATTTTGGACCACTGAAGATAATAAATCTCATTTCTGAATAGCAGAGTTATTCTTTTTGATGAGATAAGAAAAACACGAAGTAAAGAGAACATTAATAAATTAGAAAATTTTGAAAAGATGTGACACATGGCTTTTGAAGAAATATAAGTAAACTTTCTTCTTAGCAACAATTAGCAAATTGAACATCAATTTGATTCTAGAGTAAGACTCTTGATTAGTAAGGTGCCTCAATGTGTATGTTGAGCAATAGTTTTGGAATAATAAAAATTATTATTATGCAATCCACAGATTTGTCTAATGGGGGGTGAAGAAACCAAGTATAGGACAATATAATGTTGAAAGAGAGTAATATTGATGGATGTTCATTGTTGATGAAAAGACTATAGAACAGAGTAAATGGTTGAAGTCTAAAGCAAGAAGGCTTGAGAAATATAAAGAATAAGTATGGAAAGGCTTATTATAAAGAAAGAAAATAAAATAATGTTGTTAGACTACACACAATAGACTCTACATAAGTCAATTGAATCATAGAGAAATAAATGAGTTCTTTCTATGAAAAATTAAATACTGAGTGAGATATTTTTGAGAGATAAATTTTTTATTCTACAATGTTAGATGCATTTTCGTGTATATATATTCAACAATTATATTATTAGAAATCTTTTGCATCTTAATTGTAAATGTATGAATCTAAGAATTAATCATATATAAACAAAAATATGCAAGCGCCTCTTGCCCTAGTTACATATAAGTCTTGTACATGTCTAGATATTCCTTTAAGTAAATAAAAACAAGCATTTACCTTAACTTTTCTTTGTGATTCTTATGCCTTTTTCTACATTTATGTACACTTGGATCAATAGAATATTACATTTAGTTTTTAGACTAAACATTTAACTATTCAGTTTAATTAACTTAATTGGACCATCAATAAAAACATCAACCATGTGCATGTGCATGTGCATGCTTAGACATAGAGGGAGTTCAATAATGATAAATTTAGCTCTATGTTTTCTTTTATTGAGAAAATCTGATGGAGGTTCAAGTATGGCTTTGAACAATGATTACTGCTCAGGTTTTTTACATTTATTTATCATTTCGTAGTATATAACTATAGGGACGATTCTATTACATATACACATCAAATTATTATCCAATCTTGCATAAATTTAAGAGATAGACACTTAATAATGTTGGATAGAATATGTGACTATTAATCCCATTCAAGAGGAAGGTATCAGCCTTATTCAGACATTCAAAATCTATTGTGACTGGATGTGACTTACATCCCATCAAACTTGGGGATAAAAGGAAAAAGAATATAGAAGTTAACATTTATCTATATATATATATATATATATATCTCTAAGAGAAGTGGGTTCTTTAATGATAAAGTTAAGAAATAAGTAATATCCTAAAACGCAAAATTAAAATAAGAAATCAAAACCCAATGTCCATAATCAGGATCTCATATTCCATTAGTAGAACCTGGAAAGATGTTTATGATTCTGCATTAATTTTTCATTTTCTAGGGCAAACCCACAACTGTCAGATGTCATACCATCAGGCATGCCAATTGGCTTGTACACATTAATTGTTGGCTCTGATTTGTTAATCTAAAGAACCAACATTGAACATTAGCTTGAAGAAAGTAGGCTTACACCATCATTTTCTTTCTAATTGTGTTGTTAAATCATTTAACCAAATTCCTTAAAATTTTAATCATTTTTTTGAATAATTTTGAATTTTTTTTAAAATGAAATATGATAAAAACATAAACAAGTGAACTTATCCTCTTTGATTCTGCAACAATGAACATTTGTGATTTTAAGATATTTTCTCAACTCCTAACAAGAAAAATAAAATTCTGAATAAAATTAAAAACAAGTTTATGATTTGATAAATGCAAGAATTGTCTTCACAATGAAAATTAAAACATTTGAATCATGTTTTATTTTAAAAAAATAACTGAAATAATTGGAACTATTCATTGGTGCCTTGAAAGGTAAATCTTTAACCGAGCATTTACATATGACATGATATAAATTTAAACATAAAAGTGTATATATATATATATATATATATATATGTAAAAATCTATAATTAACTCCTTTAATGTGGAGGCAAAGCTAAGACTACTAAGAATGTAGAACAATTATTAAAGCAAGTTCATTTACACTTTTGTGTGTGATCATACTGTACTAAGGTACTTTAGAATTTCCATAAATTATTTTGTTACATCTGAAATTATATATGTGTATAATAATCAATAAGTTATGCCATCTCTTGAGTTGGAAAGATTCATGTTGCATATATTTTGTTAAATAATTCATAGATTTCTAACAATTTTTTCTATATTTGACTATATATATATATATATATTTATGAATATATTATATACACATTTTTATTTCTATTTATTGGAAATAAAATAATATATACATATAAATTTATTCATTTGTTAAAAATTTAACTATGTTTCTAGTATGAAGTGAATTATATATTTTAATTTTAAAGATTTTTTTTTTTTTAAATCCAAGTAGTTCATAAATAAATTTCTTTTAATAAGGATAAGATCTTAGAAAGCACTTGAATTTAGAAGGAATAGTTTCTACAAAAATATCTTATTTCCAAGTAAAATATTTTTTAGGACTTTAATTCCAAAAAATAGATGTTAATTTTTATAAAATAAAAGTGGCTCAATTCCAAATATAATGGATATGGTGACACTTCCAAAATAATAGAAAACACATTTAAGCAATTGGAGCTAAAACATAGCATAGTAAATATTGATATTAGGATCAATTTTTTTCCTCTAAGTCTTAATTGCTACACCTTTCTACTATATAATCCAAATAAATATAGCCTCTTTGCAAGAATAGTAGTAAGACCAATTATCTTTTTAATTAAATAATTTTTATCTAAATAAAGCATCTTATTTTTATATCAATAAATTATTATTAGAATTATTCTTTCAAAGTAATTTTTTAAAAATATTTTGGTTGTATAAGTTATAAATTTTTCACTTGTGATCAAAGAATATAATAGAGGATCAAAGGTCAATTTACTAACTAGACCATAGAAGAAATTAATATCATATATATATATATATATTTTGTCAAATTTTAGCAATTTTCAAAACACTTTCAACTTGATTTTTATTGTCTTCTAAGTCAACGTCAAATAAAATTTTATTTATCAAAGTAAAAGATTCTAGATTGAATGCTTATACAAAAGATTTTAAAATCAACATAACAAGATAAGAGAAACCACTTATTTTCTTCTATTTCAATATATATTAAAGTATGTTTTTTTAAGAGCTTAAAAAAATATAGAAGAAATTATAAATAGAGCTATAAAATAGTAAAATGTATTAACACAATATTTCTTCTTCTTTAGTAAATATAGATATTAGCTTTTTAATAATAAAATTAATACAATAAAGATCATTTGAATCAAGAATTGCAACTTGATGGGATTCTAGGTGAATGTTAATTAAAAAAATAAAGATTCTATTATAAGAAATAATTCAAAAAATTATTAAAAAATAATAATAAATTTAAATTAAATTAAAAATAAAAATTTAGAATAAAAAAATATACACATATAGATTAAAATATTTTTAATTTTATTCCACCTTTAGATCTAATATTCTATTTGGAATTTGGCATCATTGACTAAAATAGATATGATAGTATCACAAACATATATATTTATGTAGATTATAAAAGTTAAATAGAGGTAAATAGAAATAAGTAGTTTTGATAATATCTTGTGGAGAAGCTTCCTAAAAGCTTTATAGATGCAGATTTGACTTTATATATATTTACAAGTAAATAGTAGGTTAAAAACTTGGGTAACAAATTGGTGACATATCACACATATTGGTGACTTGTGGTACAAGTTGGCCATCTAGTGCACATGTAAGAAACTTGTCTTACAAGTTAGACACATATCTTGTAAATTGAACATATATTGGAGGTCTTATAGAACATTTCTACATATCTCTTAGATAAATAGTATATATAGTGGCAAGAATGAAGCCTTTTTTAATCTTATCAATGACTTTCTTATTCTTAGTTTTATTTTAAGAATATCTATTATTTATTTATTTATTTATTACTTTTTTAGCAATAGTCATTTTTATTCAATATTATACTATCTTTATATATATATATATATATATATATATTCTTTTTTAGTGATACAAGAGTGTGTTGACATTCTGATTAATTAAGATTCATGTCCTTGATAATTTGACAAGAATGCTAATTCTTCATTCTTATTTTATTTTAGAAGTGAGTGTATTATTTTACTTTTTTTTTGTATTGAAAAAGTTGCAAAATAATTATCTTTAAACTATTATTTTTTATTTCATAATATTAATTTGTTTTAAAAAAAGTGTATTATTTTTTTTGTGGACAATTTTTATTTGGATATTAGGGGTTGTAGATTATTGTCTTCTAAATTGACTTATAGATTTATTAAAGTTATTTATTATATAGATAAAAGAAAAAATAATAAATACTATATTTAGTAGCAACAAAAATAAATTTGTAGTTATTACAAACCTTTATGAATTAGTCAGCACTCTTAGGATCAAAATCTCACATATTACTAATATCAACTTTAGAGATACTATTCTAAGAATAA